TTCCCTATTCTGTAAATCCCAACCAGGCCCTCATTAAACTGTCCAATGACAAGATGACAATAAGGTAACGACTAGGAAAGGTCATACATGTTTGTGAATGAATAACTTGATCATTACAAATACTCCAGTGACCATTCCCAAATAGTTTATATCATGCTATATTTGGTAATTCAAGTTCAAAGATCAAAGATAACCAAAACTACTTGAACACTTTTCCGGATATCTTTGAATGTCTTAATTTGTCTTGAACCCTTAACAATTTCAAACGGAACAACATATACATAATCTGAGATAAATGATCGAGATAAGAGAGAAAACAAGATCACTCGATTGGAAAAATTTGTGTTAACGTGAAAACTGACTAAGAACTTGGTCAAATAATCCTTAAACTAGAGGCTCTAAAGAGCCTGTGTCGCTCACCTTGGTCTATTTGCATATTCAAAAAGGACACTCTCCAACATTGTAGACGAGAACAGAATTCATGGCAAAAATCTCTGTTTTGTTGGTCTTGTATTGCTGATCATTTAGTCTGTTTAGTGTCCCTTTTTCTTCTTTAGATTTTGCTCAAAACACAAAAGAGGGTAAAAATAAATTCCCAATTTTAAGTGCAATCACTCCTACAATGAGTGACAGTCTACTAACTATATCAGCAAAATTTGACTTGTAAGTAGAACTTGCTTTGTTGGTCATTTTTGTGATTTAAGTGTCTATTAATCTATTATAATTTTGAACATATAAGGCAAAACGCAAAAAAAAAAATGGTAAAATTCGTCATCAAAGGGCAATAATTCCAATTAAGAGTCGTTGAATGATTTCCTCCATATTGTCTTAATTATAGATCTTGTCTTGTGGATCATTTTTGTTTATTTAAGTTTCTATCTATCTATTATAATTTTCAAGATATAAAGCAAAAACGCAAAAAAATGGTAAACATTGTCATCATAGGGCTATAACTCTAATGAGAAGTCGACTGCCGATTTCCACCATGCAGACTTATTCGTAGAACTTGTCATGCTGTTCATTTTTGTAATTTAAAGTTTCTCTCTATCTATTATAGTTTTCAAGATAATAGGCGAAAATGAACAAAAATGATAAAAATTTGTCATTTAAGGGAAATAACTCCTATAAGAAGTCGTCTGATAGTTTGACGTATATAGACAAATGGTAAATATCATCATTCTGAACATTTTTGCCCTCGTCAGATTTTCTCTATTTATAACGGTTTTCAAAATAATAGACAAAAAGATCTGAAAATACCAGGTGTCCTTTATTAACACAGCTGAAAACCTAAAATGTCAACAACATAAATATATTGTTAAATCACACATGTAAAAATAAGAAGAAGTGTATGATTGAAAATGAGACAATTCTCCACAAGAGACCAAATGACACAGAAATTAACAACTATAATAGGTCACCGTACGGCCTTCAACAATGAGCAAAACCCATACCGCATAGTCAGCTGTAAAAGGCCCCGAAATGACAAATGTAAAACAATTCAAACGAGAAAACTAACGGCCTGATGTATGTGCAAAATAATGAATGAAAACAAATATGATATACAGCAACAAACGACAACCACTGAATTATAGGCTCCTGACTTGGGACAAGCACATACAGAATGTGGCGGGGTTAAACTAGACTGAAGGCGCACAAACCCTGTCCCTAAGCTGGGACAGTGGTGTTACAGTTCAATATAAGAACAATCTATAAAAATCATTTGAAAAGGGCTTAACTCATCAGATCGATACAAAGCAGAAACACATCTAACAAAATCACAGAGTGGACGTGGCAGGGTACTTATACATCTCCACAACAAAATGACACTAAGAACAGATCTGACTGTACTAGCATGTCTGGAATATTCACTAGGGTCAGGAGTATACATGTAACATGTATCTTTCAAAAATTAAATTTCATGTGATGCATGTTTCCATAGAACCCGTAATTGTGATTTGCTGACAACAATCACTAGGCACTCTATTTTCATAACAGCGATGACTGCCCGTCATATCTGTGACGGTGTTAAAATAATGCAAAGAAAGACAGACAAGGAAAAGCTTGATATAACTCTTAATTTCATGGTTGTAGAATTAAAATGTAATCATGATTTTTATCATTTTATTGAAAAAGCGTTGTTCGGGCGCACATTTTTTTGTATGAAGCGCGTTTGCATCTCAATAAGATTGTAAAATGAAGCATTCAATCTTAATATCAAAGGTACTTGGGGACAGGACAATTTTTTTTGCCCTCCCCCTTTTTCAAAAATCCGCTATTTTTTTGTTTTCTATTAATTTCAATTATTTTTCGCGTTTTTCTGTATTATACGAACATAAATATGCTACAAATAACTTGTATTTGCTATTTACTATCAATTCCAAATTTACAATCCACAGCGGTCACCGATATATATCATATAGAGAGATATATCAGGGGGAGGGCAAATAAAAAATTGTCCAGTCCCCAAGTACCTATGTTTAATATAGGAAAGTAGTCTTTCACAGTAATTGAAATGTTTAAGATTTTTTTTAAAATACGGGCAATTCACATAAAACCTGACTGAATGCAAAAGTTGCAGCATAACTATTCAACATGTCTGATGTAGAAGACTGCATGTTGTCCTCTATGTGTTTTTCGGATACTTTTTTGTCTCATGGATGTTAACTAAAGTTCTCCTTTTATTAGTATTCGAATTGTGTTAATAAGGAAATGGTTGAAAGAGAGCCACAAATTTTATACTAAAGTTAGTTTCAAATCCACAGAGTTTTCAGTGATCTTTGGTGACTCATAAACATATACACATATAGAACAAGAAGAAGACAAAATAATTAACCACTTAATTCTGATTTTTCAACACGTACCTTTCAGATGAAATAAAACATGATAATTTATGTCACTTAAATAAGATTTTATTATTGAGTAGAATCGGGCACATAATTTAATTTTAAAAACAGGCGCAGAGCCAGCTATTTTGAAAAGGGGGGGGGGGGGGGGGTTCCAACCCCCAGAACACAATATGAAACGTTCACATATAATAAAAAAAAAATCGAAAAAGGGAGCTTGTTTACACATTGTATAGACACTTGACTTGTTGGACACAGTTTGTATACCTCCAAATGTCTTTTGGTTTTGTGTCGGTTGGTTGTTGTTCCATGGACATATACCCCACAATAATAAAAAGTGCCATTAAAGAATCCAAGTAAAATGAATATTTTCTTCCATAAGCAAATTGTTTATTTGTGGATAAACTGTTCTTAATTATCCCTGACAACATGGGCTATACGGAAATGTATTACGCATTTATGGACAGAGTGAAAATGAAATAAACATTGAACTTTTTTAAAGTCGAATTTGTTGCTGAATGTAGTATTTGCCACTGGGCGATACACAGTGGCAACGAACAATCAGTGATTTTTTTTAAATACCATAGATTGCAAGGCTTGGTCAAGCCAAAGACTATGAAATTGCACTTTCTCTGCTTAGAATACAAAATTGAGGGAGGAGATGAAAACTGGTCGGTTCAGAGTCAGAATGTTTCAGAGTATGGTGACCGTTCAAGCTCCTCCAGACTGTTACCGTGTGGGATTGTGCATAAAAAAGTTACATCATTCATCAATATAGCTTCCGTCTATAACGCGTTCTATACTGATATTTATTTTCATATCTTTACTTATGCAGTGGGGTTTTCCTTTGTCCCATAAAAGCAATGTATGTACAAAATCAAAGTCCATTCTTGTAACTGGCTTCTTTTATGGAAAATGGCATCAAATCTAGGGAAATTTTAGCGCTCACAAACATTTGAAGTGTAGCCAATTTGTGCCTGTCTTAAATCAGGAGCCTGTAATTCGATTGTTGTCCTTGGTTGTGTCACTCGTTTATTGTTTATAAAAAAATAGGCCGTTGTTTTTCTCGTTAGAATTGTTTCACTTTTTTGCATACCGGTGTCTTTTGCAGCTTACTCAGTATACGGTATGGGTTGTGTTTATTGTTAAATGCCGTACGTAACCAACTCTGGGAGATAGTTGTCTCATTGGCAATCAAATCGTATCTTCTTATTTGTATACTTATGAGAATGATTTGTAATTGACTGGTACAAACACTTTCAATACCATAAATAGAAGCATTCGAGATGCATCTATCAATTGCAGTTCAAATTTTCTCAAAATTTGCTCGTGGTATTAAAAGAAATATTTCTGAATGGAATTTTACAACTCATACACGAATTGTGAATGTAGGTAAATTGTTTCTTCGTCAATGAAACGAAGGAATAAGTTAGGACGATATAGAACTGTCTATATGTGAAGAGCCACTCTTATAAACTGTACCCCGACATAATAAACCTTCTCTCTAAACCTTTGGCACTCATACCACATCTTCTTATATCTATCTTCTCTCTAATGTCATTTATCTGCTCTGCTTGGACGTCTTTTTTTCTTAGTTATTCGGAATTCCATTAATACTTGATACAAACACGATTTTTTTCTGACTTAATATCAAGCTGGATTTTTATAAGAAAAAAAACCCATCTAAAGGTAATTAAAGACAATATATACAAAAATAGTTTTGTTGATTCAACCAGAGACCTATAATGTGTTATATGGCTCTGCTCCCACAATCATTTTAAGCAGTAGTAATTTGACTAATTATGTTTACCTGTTACTGAATTATGTAAAAGTTTATTTATTGCCAAAGTCAGAATTATTCCGTTACTTAAGACGAGATTACCAAACTTCTCTCAGGCCTTATAGCTATGCATATGTTTCCGGGTTTATCATTCAACAGATATCTTGGGATGGTCAATCCTATTTATACAATTTTCAACAATTATATTGTATCGTAGGTGTTCATTCATTAAACTTTCTGACCTTCCTGTTCTTATCGCCTATACTTCAACTCCGTATTTAGAACTACTGTCCAATGGGAATATTTACGTAAGCAAGACTATAAAAGTCACTGGTATATTCCGTCCTATCAGTATTTCGTTTTTCGTATAGCAAAGGATGTACAGCGCTAAGGCTCTGATTCTTTGCGCCGTCGCCGTCTATCAGACGGTGACACTTTCGAATGCAGCAGGTCAGTGCTTATGTTTGTTATAGGGTTTTCCCGCTTTTTTCTAATTTCTTTTGGTTCTTTTCTCGGTTTCATTTTTTTTACAAATAAATTTCGGTCCTCAATTAAAGAGAATACTTCAATACATCAAAGACTTTAGAAAACCAAAGACACAATCTTCAATTAGACTATATATATATATATTTTTTTTTTCTAATATAATTCAACTTATGTTATCATTTCTAAAATGAATGAATGCATTATTTTGCTAAGAAAAGTGAGAAAAAGTTAATGTTAATGTTTCATCAGAATAAAAAATATATGCCTTCAGGTTTTTTCATCACTCTCGTTGCTTTATTCGATGTTGAAATGGAATCTGAAGGATAAGAGACAAAAGAAACTACTTTATGTATTCATGTAATTTTTTTGAATTCTTTCATGTTTTATATCTCTGCTAGTGTCGTACAATTATTTATTTATAATTTTTTCTCTTTGTATTGTGTTTAAAGGAAAACGGTACATGTACTTTAAAAGAGCTATAAAGTATACAACCTTGCGTTGAACTTTTCGTCTTTTCGTACCATTCAAAATTCAAGGACCCTCTCCTAAAAAGATACAAATAGATAGCACTTATTGTCACAATACTGGTAACTATTCCGAACGTGTTTACAAGACAAGGTAACAGCTGACCAATTCAGTCTTACCTAACATAAGCACGAAAGAGATGTGATTATCAGTAACCATACGTGACTCTAGCTGTTCTTGCCAAATGATAAGACTTCATGGACTATTCATCTCCTCTTAACTCAGTTTACGATTTAGCAAACATTTTAAGTAATTCAAAATCATTATCATAAAAATTCTACTTTCTGTACATAAACTGTGTTACTTTTTGAATTTTTCATTCAATTTAAACGACTTTATAATTATGCTTTACAAAGGATATATACGATGACATACCATTAAAAAAAACTATAACGCCAATATGATCTGCAAGTCCGAAAGTCTGATGTACATGTCTGACATTCCATGTAGAAATATCATCACACAGTGCATATCTGAGGGACTTAGCGGAAGACCATTTGATATTCTTGGGGGAGGCGATTTTTTCCGGAATGATAATTTATTTTCATCTGTTGCCACGCATGCTAATTTTTATTTGTTTCTGGCATTTCGTGTTGCAGAATATTCATTTTCATCCTGTCTTGTGCAAAATTATTTATTTTCAGTTATAACCAGGCCAAGTTATTCATTTTCATAATTCTCATGCACCCCTCAGAAATTAAAATGGTCGTTCACTAAGTAAATGAATAAGAATGCACAACAACAATCAAGAGGTCAAGAAAACCGCAATATGTGACAGGTGTTTTTGTTTATTGTGTCGTTGTGTTGTTATGTATCGACTTATATACCGCATCTCCTTGTCTTCATTATTATATACCATATGATATCGTTTGAAGACCGAACGTATATAAAGTACTTTACCTGCTGATATAGTAGGGTCGGGGTGGGCGTCTTCTGTATCCTTTATTTTTTCATAAGATTTTTCTCTATTTTTTTCATGATATTTTAACCCCCTCCTTTTCATCTATTCAACTTCATTTTTTGTATTGTTTTATCTGTTAATGGTAATTTTTCTCTATTCTTATATTTTGTTCATTATTCTCTATACTTAATAATTTAACACCCATTATTATCTATTCTTTTTTTTTAAACTATTTTTCTCTATTCTTTTTTATTTATTTTTTTGCCCTTTATTCTGCACTTTCTGCTTTGTTTTCAATATTCTGCAAACCCCTTCCTGACCAAGCTCAATTACCAGTGGACTACCCTCTTCGAAATGTATCTTAACTTTGACGCTACACTGTTTATATGTATCAACCTATCAATTCTTCTGCTTATAACGTTGTTTTGTCGTTAAAATAGAATTCAGAATGGAACGGGGAATGTGTCAAAGATACAAAAATCCAACCAAAGAGCATAAAACAGCACAAGGCCACCAATGGGTCTTCAAAGCAGCTAGAAAATCCCGCACTTGGGGGGGGGGGGGAGGGGGCTTCAGCTGGCCCCTAAACAATAACGTATAATAGTCCAGTGAAATGGACGCCACACTAAACTCCGAAACATGTTAATAATGAACCAAAATAAAAGAAAAACACACACACAAGACTAACAAAGGCTAGACGTTCCTAACGTTGGACAGGCGCAAACATGCAGCGGGGTTAAACATGTTTTGTGAGATATCAACCCTCCGCCTATACCTCTGGCCAATGTGGAATAAAAAAAACACATACAGCAATACACACAGTAAAACTGTATATCGTATACACGGTAGATACCTCTGCTGGTGGACTATCAGTCCCTGATGGTATCATCAGTCCAGTAGTCATTACTTCGGTACTGATATGATTTATAACAAACATTTTTAAAATTGTCCGTTAATAAATTTTGAAATTATTAGAAAGTAAGGTTTCAACTCCCTCAGGCAAAGTTGACCTTAGATGGATTTGGCTATTTTTAAGGTCCTTTTTGGTATTATAGCTATTCAACTGTTTCGGTTCTTGTACATCATTGTCTTTCAAATATTAGGCTTTGAGCGTTCCTGATGAAGGTAAATCCAGAAAAGCGTTTCGGACGCATACAATTTATAACGTATTGTTTACGCATTTATAACGCATGTTTTAGTGAAAGACATTATTGTAAGTTTTTCCTCTCTCTGCGATGTACGTTTAGTGCTGCCAGTCTCAGATCATAGTTTCATCTTTTTTCATACATCGAGAAACAATACTCATTGTTTTAAGGATATGCATACATCGGTATGATAGAGTTATGAAAATTAATTCTGTGTAACGTTAGCTGGCAAATGCTGCCTATATTATAAACAGCAAGGTTTTGTCATAAAGAAAATAAGGAAACTGGGTGTCTTAAACTAAACTAAACGTTTAAGTGGTGGAGGTTGGGTGGTGGCAAACCATTTTAACTCGCACTCATAGTATATTATCTGTACTAACTATCTTTTTACAGGATGTTCAACAAAAGCAGATGTAACATTCGTTTTAGATTCCTCAGATACAGTCGGACAAACAAACTTTGCAAAACAGTTAAACTTTGTTAAAAATACAGTGAACAATTTAGATGTAGGTGGAGACAAAGTGCGCGTTAGTACTGTGACGTTTAGTTCAGGTGTGCATAATCAGTTTTTCTTGAACAATTATGCCACTAAAGCAGACGTTATGAATGCCATTTCTGGCATCAAGTATCTACCAGGAAACACAGATACTGGTGATGCTATCAAATACGTCACACAAACAACATATACTCCACAACACGGCTCCAGGAGCGGAGTACCACATATCATGGTTCTCGTCACCGATGGACCGTCAGTAACTAAGGATATAACAAAGTTAAGAGCGCAAACCGCCAAAGATAACGGCGTTATCGTCTATACTGTTGGTGTTGGAGGTGGATTTGATAGAGATGAATTGAAATCAGTCTCCAGCAATCCAGACTCCCGTTATTTCCTAACGGCCGATAACTTCGATTCCCTTAACAGCTTGTCAGAGCTTCTGGCAACTAAAGTATGCAACGGTAAGTTGGCAATAATGGTCGTAAATGGGAAACAATAACTCGAAAAACTATGAATTTACCATAAGTGTACGTTTGATTATCTTCTTTTCTTATCAAAAGCTAAATTCAGATTTTATATTTTCAAGTCTTTAAGTCTGGGCTTGTACAGTTATTGGCACTGTTGTTCACTATCTATATATCTGCTATAATTGTGTTTATTACTTCTAATAACTAGTATTGAATAATTAAATTAGATTATGTTATGTTGCTTCTAATATATATATTTATTCAGTTCCCATTTTTTATTTTCTCCATCCCTTTCAGTCTTGCTGTTTCTACTTATCATTTGTGTGACTATGTAAACGTTTCTATCCCGTTATTATTTCAACAAAATCGAAATGATAAGTCACATTATCTCTTTCAGAGGTACCAGATCGTAGTATGCTGCCAACATCAACAGGTAAGTTTTAATAAGCTTAGTGTCAACCATAATAAAATGCGTCTCGGTATGCTGTTTTTGTTTTTTTTTTCTCATTGACTTCAATAATTAACTTGGAGAAACGTTTCGAACAGACTGTTAAGTCAGATGTTTGTAATTTTAAATCGTAGTAAATGTACAATCCATGAAGTGAAAACATATTTGTATATACTCAAAGGGGCATTAGCTACAGTGTTTTGTCTCAAACATTAATAAAAGCGGAATATTGAAAAAATAATTTCCGTTAAGCAGCAATTTTGGCTCAATGTTTTTAAAGTAAGCTACAAAACATAGCTCCGTGATATATTGTTGGCTTGCAAGACAATAATTCGATCTCATTTTGGGTCCGTATGCATGCAAACTTTAATTTGACACTAAGGAGGCGACAGTTTTCGCACGTGTTCAGCATGTTCAGTTGTTAAAAAGAATGTTAAATTAAAAATGTGAAACAAGGAAACCAATAGCTAGACCCATTCCTTTATATGCTTTGGCCCACAGTTAAAACATGATTAACATTTTAAATAAAATATGACATGAAATGAAACAGACTTAGAAAAATCGTCATTATACCAAAAAAACGTCCATGTCTGTCTATCTATATTTATATCAAATGACCTTCGGTAGTCTTCAGGATTCATCTCGATGGTTAATTAGAAGGGGTTTTGTCCTAAAATACGGACGAAATGGGATAATTCTATTATGATTTCATGCATTTCTTGTTGTTTCTATAATCTGTTTTTAATTAATATTTAGTTGGTTATGAATTAATGTTGCCTCCATGCCTTTTCTAATCTTTTCATAGTTACAATTGTTATAGCCATGCACATTTGATAAAAGGATTACCTATGTTGTTTCCATATGTACCATAAATTCATTTTTCTCCCAACACATAAGCAAATAACTGAAATTCTTTATACTCACAACATACTCTACTGATTTACATGTAACTGTAAATTAATCTCTACAAGCTAACATGTCACGTTATGTTTTTCAGGTTGCTTACAAAAAGCTGACCTCGTCTTTATGATAGATTCGTCAAATACAGTTGGTGCACTCAATCTAGAGAAAACAGAAAACTTTATTAAAAACTTCGTCACGAAATTAAATGTTAGCAAGGATGGTGTTCATGTAGGCATTGAGCAATATGGCAGCCGTCCTTCGGCTGAGTTCCCTCTGCGCATGTACAACAATAGATACGATGTATTAAAAGCAATCCACGGAATGCAGATAATGGGAGGTGGAACCAACACCGGCGATGCTATTGAATTTGCTAAAACCACGATGTTCTCTCCAGCAGCAGGTGCTAGATCAAACGTTCCAAGAATCGCCATTATGGTAACTGATGGTGGTACTTCAGAAACAGCCGCGGCCATCGCTGAAGCTGACAAAGCAAGGGCTGCTAATATCGGCTTAATTGGAGTCGGTGTCGGTGGTCTTGTCAACATGCAGGAACTAAACGGGGTTGCCAATCAGCCATCAGCAAGTCACGTGATCACAGTCAGCAACTATGACCAGTTAGAAACAATTTCTAATCAGCTCATGACAATGGCATGTGGTGGTAAGGTTAAATAATTGTCAAACACATTCAAAAAGTAGTTTTTTCAGTTTCTTTTCTGATAGCAGTTTTAAATTGTATATTTTTTAATAACATAGGATAAGCAACATTTTGAATTTGATAAAAAAAAAATATACGTCAAGAGGATAGAATTTATACAGTTTGAAAATACTATGTTTTTCTTTTTCAGTTCGAACAAATATTAACTTTTCAACAAGTAAGTAAAATTAGAATTATTATATATCATGTTCCTTGTGTCTTACATTTTATTTAAAACCAAACTTAAAGTAGCTCTAAAGAATTTTTTTTGTTAGAAGAGAACGATGTACTTCACTTCACAGGTTAAAATCTCCCTTAGGCAAAGTTGTCTTTAGACTGATTTATTTATTTTATCGTTTTAGGTCCCTTTTTGGTAATATTTATAAATCCCCTGGCTTTCATTTTTGGGGTTTTAGCGTTCCAGATGACGGTAGATCCATAAAAGCTCTTCAGACGCATCAAATTTCTTAATTATATTTTTCTTTTTCATATTAAAAAGTAAGAAGATACCAATAGGCAAGCAAAATACATAAGTCAAAGAGTCACCACCATCGCCAAAAGACCGTGAACCCCCATCCCCATCCCCACAAAAAAGAAAAAAAAGAACGAGCAATATTCCACATACACTACATACAAAAACAAATAGTGTGCAATATTCCATAAAAATCGACAAAATTAAAACGGCATTGGTATAACAGTTATGGATACCTTTTCTGTTTTCTTGGAATGGATACTGTGACTAGGCTAAGGATAAATTGAAAAACTCATCGGAAGTGATTATACAGTTTACCGTTCATTTTTCCCATGCACGTGCATATGTTTTGCTTCATTCTGAAATGAGCTATACAAATAAACCGCTCAAACCGGTGCTAGGGGCCGTTTTTAACTTGCAGTGAGGTGAGAGTTTTTTTGCTCCGTGTTGAAGGCCTCACTGTAAGTTTGAGATGAAGACGCTGTTCCTTTGCGTTTTGTATTTTTTTTGATGTGCATCTACTGATCTTGTGTCAAGGATGGCTACCCAATATCTTTTCTTATCAAGTTTGTATACAATAACAGTCATGATACGAATGTCATGAGCTCGTTTTCTCCTACTTTATGCGTGAAATGTAATATTCTAAATTGTGGGTTTGTTTGGGGGGGGGGGGGTCAACTTTGCATCTAAGCAATGCCGATTCTTAAAAAAAAAATGTAGACAACTGATGAGATAAGTAGTTTAAATTTCACAATAATAACTTCATATTATAAGTACACTGTGGAAAACATACGATTTAATTTGGGGAATAAATGAAAGAGGAAAGATACCAAATCATGTTCTCTTAAAAAAAATGAATAAAAATATTTTCTTTAAATCGTAAAAATATATCCAATCAAATGTATCTGAGCAAAGTAGCAAAGCATTAACATCAATCTAAATGTTTTCTCCAGACCAAACTGAATGCAGAGATAAAGTAAACAATTGTCACGAGTATGGATCCAACGTGTGCAGTCAGTACAAAGTATGGGCATCAGAAAATTGCCAGGCATATTGTCAGACATGTAAATGTAAGTAATTGTAAATAGCTTATGACTTTAAAAAAAATACGGCTTTATGTTAAGAAAGATGGCGTGATTTTTGTGTAAACAATTTCAGCTGGATTGTCAGATATTTTCATGTTTTCAATTGTTCATTTATTTTTTGTCACCATGCTAAGAATTATTAACGTCTTGAGTTGTTGACATTTATTACAAATTAATTTTAAATCAACTCACTACAGGGAATAATGAGAATTGATTTTTATAGGGTTTGTTTGGATATCATTTTGAATAAATATAAAAAAAAATCGAAAAAAAACCCACTTTTTCATTATAGTATTGCGGATTTAGAAATCTACATACAAATTTTTGTATTGTAATATTGCGGATTTAGAATTATATAATATAATAACATGGTTTGCCTAAAAACATCAGACTTCTGAGATTAAAAAAATTCCAATTCCTTTGTGGTAAAAGTCAGATATATATATATATGCTCTTGAACTTGAACCATTATTTCATACACTTGAAACAAATCAAGGACATTATTAACATATAAGTTCTCTAGTTTATTAAAAACAAAATATGACATATGTTTCACTCATATGAGAAAAGATTGCTTGTCTTTTGTCTCGTAAACAATTCCTGAACAACGAATATTACAATTCAAGGCAAATAATAAATGAAATCAAAGATTTTGTAACTACGGAATTAAAATTAACATCTAAATCTAAATTAAATGGTCCCCCCCCCGCAAGAGGTTATATTAATAATCTTTTTGATGACTACCGTATCCATAAATCATTCTTTATATAAAGTATTGAAATGTTGAAGATTATAGCTATTTAATAATGTATATTGTTCTCTACCTTCAGTCCAATACACTGTAACGGAAACATGCACAGATGCTGTAGGAAATTGCGCCAGCTATGGAAAAAGCGCGTGTACGCAATTCAAACAATGGGCCCAAGACAACTGCAAACAATCTTGTGGATTTTGCAGTAAGTGCATATTAATTGTTTCGAAAAAAAAAAAAAAAAACTTTTTAATAATAGTATTGCGGATTTAAAAATCTACATATATACATATTTTTGTATAATAATATTGAGGATTTAGAATTATATAAATAGTAAAAAAATTTGCCTAAAAACATCAGACTTCTGAGAGTAAGAAATTTCCAATTCCTTTGTGGTAAAAGTTAGATATGTATGCTCTTGAACTTGAACAATTATTTCATACACTTGAGGCAAACGTGCAGTGGAATTTTTGAAGGTTCATACTGGCAAGTTCGTTATTTAAATTATCTATAATATGTACTGCTTTCCAATTTTATTGTAATTATAACTCATCTGAAAAACTTTATTTAGGCTGTAGTTACTGTATAGGATGTCATGAGATGACGTTTCTTCTCCGAACATGAAACACATGGATTATTTAAGTAATGTTGAACGACTGCTATCTAAATTTTTGTTTTTGTTTTCTTTCAGCTGCTTCAGCAGTGACAGGTGGATTCTGTAAGTGTAGAAAATATGACTTTTATCTTGGTGTATGTAAAAATTTATACCAGTGTTTTCACTTGGTCCATCTAGGAGATTATAAAAATCCTTATAAGAAATTGAAACATTGTCCGTAGTTCTGTGAAAATAGATTCTAACATATCAATTACTGTAAATGTTGTTTGAAATTATAGTATGTATAAGTGCTAAGGAGTTTACGTGTCTGTCATATTGGTCTGGGAGAACATGATTTATTTATAATTTGTTGATGGCTTTGACCTATAGCTTTCATTAACTGAAAGTAATCTTACATCGGTACATTGTGTCTTTTGTCCTTTTGTTATATTTTTGTGTGTGCTTCGATCTTGCAAATCTAACGAGTCTAGCCATTTTCAACTGCATGATGTTTACAGTTTGTTCTTATGTTATGCTGTTGTCACATTCTTTATATGCCTTTCTCAAGTCAGGAGCCTTTAATTCAGCCTTTTAATTTTTGCAATATGGTAGTAATTCTGCATGGTGGAGTTTTATAATGAAACATGTCATGAATTTTTTTTGTAATTTGGCGTACCTCCAACCCTGTTTCATACAATCAACGTTTATATATATAGATGAAAGTTCTGTCTTACCGCTTCGGCTTTTAGATTATAAAGGATAATCCTTACATAGTTTGAAAAATTATCCCAAACACGTGATCCCAAATAATTTTTGTATATACCAACAAAGGTCGGATAAAACTAAGAGGGTGGTAAAGGGTTATTTTCGTGCAACGTGTTTTGCCATTTTTATTTCACGTGCAGCCGTGAAAAAGGTTCGTTATTCACGTGTTTCGTGAAATCTGTAAAAAGATCAACATGCAAGACATTTTTAATTGTTCGTTCATCGTGAAATGGCACTTTTATTTCGCGTTCTTCCGTGCAGATACTGATTGGTAGTGCAGATGAACAAATTAACTACAAGAGGGTAATTTTTTTGGAATGTCAAAAATATCAATTGGATGCAATATCGCGGAGGTAATATAACAATGGTAGAAATTATTTGTCAATGGGTTCAGTATAAATACTTATACTGTTAAGTTGTCTGTAAAAACTGTGTACTGATCTTTCTTGACCAATAATATGAATGATCCCATTTGGTTTACGTCTAAAGATGTCATAGATTGTATTTCTGATAGCTGGAAACATACAGCAATTGGTTATGATTTTCCTAGATAAGATATTTTATTGGTATAAAATCCAAAATTATAGGATTGTTACCAAGACATATACATAAAGAGGGTGGTAAAGGGGGGGTGCTTGCACGGAAAAAACGTGAAATAAGACATAATTTCACGTTGAATGTGAAATAATTTCTGTCATGAACGTTGCACGAAAAATAAAGACTGTTGTGAACCTTTTGTGAGGCTGAGTCACTGTCTTCTTGTATATATAAACTCTCTGATTTACTTGTTATTCCCGATTTAGTATACACATTTATGATGTAAATGGTTTACGGCTTTTAAAAAAAGTATTTCTTGACGATCCCTGCCAAGTATTTGAATTTTATTTGAAAATACCGAGCACGCAAAATAAGCATTTGAAAATCACGATGCACGTAAAATTAAATAAGCAGAACACGTTGAAAGAGGCACCTGTCTTGCACGACTGAACGTTAAATAAAAAAGTAAAAACACGTTGAACGTGAAATAAAAAACGGCGATCACGTTGCACGAAAATAACCCTTTACCACCCTCCATGATAAACAACTAAACATATATCTGACCACATTTATAAACATTGTATATATATATTTGTATATCCCCTCCATTGTTAAAAGAAAATATTGTTACATTAATAAATGTATATAATCTCTGTTGAGGAGGTGGTACCACAAAGTTATTTAGTACTCAATAAAGCATTTCTAGAATGCGAAATTATAGAAATTAAAGAACATTTCCTATGAAATATATGAATGGGAAGAGATTATAGCATACAGCACTGAAATCCGACTGGTGGTTGTGTAAACAGGGGGATGTAAACAAAGAAGTATGAAATTTTCATTATAATTCTATATGTCATACTTATATAAGCTGGGTCTTTTGTAAATTTATGCGTAATCATGGTCATTAATTATATAAATGAAAACGAGGCGATAAGGATAAATTGTTTTTTGCTCGGTTTCTTTCCCCTTTCACTGAAGCCTCCATTTACCCAAACATTGGAAACATTTGTGAGTAAAGATTCGTTGGTGTTATCTGGGACTAATACTTAATATATAAGTACCAGGTGTTTTCTAAGAAATTGGATATTTTAAATATACAGTTCCTTGATGTTTTCAAGGAATTTTAAAATCTGTGGTCCTTTAGTAGGCATTACATACATTATTATAAGATCTTATCACATGAAATTCGTGAGAGAACTTAGAAGAGCCCAGAGGGTGGTAAAGTGGGGGTCTGAACACGGAAACACGTGAAATAAAAATCGCAAAATACGTTGCACGGAAAATAAAAATCGGGAAAAACGAAACACGAGAAATAAAATCGTAGGATGGTATTAGGGGGGTCTGAACACGGAAACACATGAAATAAAAATCTCAAAACGTTGCACGGAAAATAAAAATCGTGATAAACGAAGCACGAGAAATTAAAAGTACCAACACGAAACACGGAAAATAAATAAGGGGAATCACAAAGCACGCACATCGAACCAAACATGAGAAAACGAGAAATGAAACGTCAAAACACGAAAACACGTAAAATAAAAAGGCCAAAAACGTTGCACGAAAATAACCCTTTACCACCCTCTTAGAATTATGGAATTTTCATTTGAAAATTAAATGTGAATAAACCACTTTCGAGTATGTCCTTCTTCACAGGAAAACTTTGTCAATTATGCGTGCCTTTGCGTCATTTACCAGATAAAGGGGATCCCCTGGGTGTATCCCTGCACTATTAAAGATCTTCAAGCGTCTTTTCATGATTGTCATTATGGAGGATGAACTAGATATAATATTTGTTTCGTAGGTACTTTTACTCACAATTCCCTAATAACAGCAAAGCTGATTACCAATTATAAGAATTTAATTTGCCGAATAATTGGTGCAATATAGCATCATATTTTTTCAACCGCTCGCTCAACATTGGAAGGAAGTGACGATGCCCCTAAACTCACAAATGATATGTTCACTAAGTTAATGACGAAAATGTAAAAAAGTGGTCTATCCTGATTGACATCACAGATATATTTATGAACCTCAAAATTCTCTAAGTTGTCAAAAAGCAGAGATTTAAACTACCATGGTTTTTGTCTGTTATTTGTCTCTTCAATAAGAAACAAATTGAAGGTTCAAGTGGACCTTTTGACCAAAAATGGTTGTCTCTACACCTCAGAATTAACACTGAGTATATACATATAAACTTGTGCATATGGAATAGTTTTATAAAAAAAGGCATACATGTAGCATGACCTAGATCAATAAAATTCAAATGCATTTTATGTTTTAGAAAATTTAAAACTAACTTTATTTTGCTGTGCACCTCTTCCCCCAACTGTGTTTATTTTGGCATCTTCTGTAGGTTCAAAAAACAGGTGCTATGTCTTGAAACTATTCCAGATTCACAGGTGTATCTCTTCTTAGATTCAATTTTGAGGTATTAACACTTACATTTTGGCCAAAAGGTCCACATGAACCTTAAAGAAAGTTGAGACCTGTTTTTCCCACTTAATTTCCAACTAGCACCATGCCGTATGCTAAAATCAGTCTGTAAAGCTTTTGTACTTGAATATGCAAATTGATGAATAATGACATATATGTACAATGTAAGCTGATATATCTGCATTATACAGGAGCTAATGTCAATAAAAATTATACCTTTTAGTAACAATATTGTAAAGTAAAAGTACAGTGTAAAAATGACTTTTTTACTATATATTTTAACAAACACAAGTACTTCAGACCTGTGCTTTGATCATTATTAAGTGTGGATCCAGGATTTTAAAGAAGGGGTCCCCCTGGCAAGACAATGTTAGAAGTGGGACTTGTAAAAGGTCTATGAATTAACCATATTGTAGCTCCATGTGACGAACCCAGGCCCCTTCCCTCTAAATCTGCCTTTTATTGATACTATAATAGCATTACAAAATGTATATGCAGGAAATGTAGTTGCATATATACAAAATATTTCTTAATTTGCAGAAATTTCCAAAAATTTACATTGTCCATGGTTGATGAAATAATACTAAATGAAATGATTTCTATTGTCATTAAAGATAACAGATGTGCATACAAAGGAAAATCGTACAGTCCCGGACAGAAATGGAATGATGGCTGTGATTATGAATGTGTATGTCAAGATGGAGCCACTGGACGTTACCAATGTTATAATAGGTTCGTAAAATTGTTTTTGAAACAAATTTTACCTGATCACTTACACAATTACTTGCTATTTAAACATATAAAATAAAAATGCAAGATACAATGTATGCTTGAACGTTGGTCTAGGACAAATTTATCATTTTTTTTTGTATTTCTTTCAATTCAATCAACTTCATCATGAAGATAAATAAATTTATGATGGGTTGAAAAAATTTATGGTTGCAGTCAATGCAGTGCAGTATTTTTCCCAAAGTGTTTATGAAAGTACCACAGTTACTTGCTATTTATGGCAACTTGAATTTCAAAAAAAAAATAAATTTAGCAAACATTGCTTACTTTTTTTTACAAATGTTTGCCCCATAATAATGTGATGTAGCCAAACTTTAGGACCTCCTCATCTAAACATTGCAAGGGACCACAAAGTACAAGCCAAGTTCTAATTTGACTAATTTATATGTTATTCCACAGTTATATGCTCCTAAACGCAGAAAAAAAATCTTTGAAGTTGTACTATACAGTTATGATGCGTAATAATGAATAAAATAGACAAATTTAATAATGGTTTTCACCTCAAAATAAAAGGTACAATGCATACTTGAAGGATATATTACGACAAATTTAAGCACAAAAAAAATCTTTTTAAAATTCAACATTTTTGTCATATTTTCACTTAAAAATTGCCATAGCCTAGTCTGTTTTTGTTTGGTTTCTTTCACATTATTAACATATTTACCCCCATTCTCCTTTCATTCATGATTTGCTGAACTCAGTTATTTTTTGAAGATTGTGCATACATGTACATGTACATGGACATATTCTTTTATATTTTAATGGTTATTGCTGCTTTCTGAAGAGATCCAACCACATTCAAGAGTTAATGATTATCATTTTCTAATTGTCCAGTAGCAAATATTTTAAGCATATTCTGAACAACACTGATGACTAATTTTTTTTTATTATACCTTAAAATATTTCTAATTCATTTGAGAAAGTGTAATGCTATTTACATTTTTACAGGTGCCCTGTGTACTACAACCTACCATCATTGTGTACCCTTGTTAGAAAGCCAGGAGAATGTTGTTTACAACCTGTCTGTAATTTTAATCCATCTATTCAGAAATTTGAATCAGCAGGGAAAGGACAAAACCAGCAAGGAATTGGTATGTGTTTTCATTCAAATGCACACTTATATTTTATTAAGGATGTTCACTGCTCTGATTTGAAAATAACAAGCTTTTTAAAAGACTGCTTAAAAATTGATAGTACAAATGTATATAAATTAACGGAACTTAAAAAACAGAAAATAATGAAAGATTGTGTTCTCCTTTTTTGAGATATAGGCCTATGAAAATTTGGCTGGATATGATTCTCTCTAGATTTTCCATATATTTAACATTGACACCCATTTTTTTTCAAAAAATATGAAAAATAATAAAAGAAAATGTATAAGATTTAAAAAAAATGGGTGTTAAATCTATATGTGATAAAATTATGAAAAGAAAAGAAGGGGTTAGCGGGCAAAATTTTTAATGGCACCACATGGACAAAACCAGAGGATTCTGAATATCTGACAAAAAGTCAAAACAAGATTAGCAGACATCTTTTAAAGAAGAAAGGAAAAAGGACAAATAATTCAAGCACTGTATACATTCAGATGAGATATGAAGAAGTGATAACACTGTTGAAATGCAGTAGTCTGGACTTCTTTTGTATGAAATTATGTTTGAAATTTGTATTTGGAAGATCTGTTGCCAGTTGGATTTGAAGAAAGTCTGTATTCTTCTAAATGTTGAAACTTGTTCTACATAAATGTGCGCAAGTTTATTTCTACTCAGCAACACAAAATTATTATATGTTATTTTTTAGACTTGTTATTTAAATTTCATTGATATTTTGCAGATGTCTGTGTATACAAGGGAAAACAATATTACCAAGACCAGAGTTGGACTGATGGATGTGACTACCAGTGCACATGTACTAATTCTAAAACAGGTCTCTACCAGTGTGAACAATTGTAAGTCTTTAAATATTTCAGTATTAAAGATTGCTAGATTTTCCAAAAAAGAGAGTTCATACATTTCTTAAAATAAAAAAATGGATCGAAATTAAATTCTATGGAAGTTTTATAATTTAGCTTTACAATAGTTTACTATGATGGATCACTGAAAGATATTTCTGTTTATGAAATCTTAGAGTTAATTGACTCATCTTTCTTTGGAAGTACCATTAGTTGTAGAGCCAGGTGAGCTATCGCTCTTGGCTTCCATTATCGTGTCTGACATCATCATTGTCTGTCATAGTCAACATTGAAAAAAATCGTCGCCCTTGAAACTGGAGGGCAAGTTGCAATCAAACTTCGACTAAATGATCCTAAAGATATTTAGATTAAAATTTGTTATTTTGATCCTGCAAATCTTCCAACATGGCTGTCATGGCTAAAAGTAGAATATAGAGAAAAATGCAAGTAATAGACAGGCAGAAACTGTACAGTGCAAATATGACTGACCGAAAGTGTCAGACAACTTTTCTAGGGGTCATAGGGTATGTTGTTTAAATCGTCATAGATTGTAAACTAACTTAAAATTGAACTATGTTTTCAGATGTCCATCATATTCTGTTCTCCCCCAGATCTGTCATTTAGAACAGACACCAGGACAATGTTGTAAGAAACCAGTATGTGAATTTACACAACAGGCTGGTACCTTCTCTGGTAACGGAATGATCAGTGGAAATGGAACCAGTAAGTTTAAAAGTTGTAGAACTATTTTCCTGGTAACATAATTTACCAGCTTCCCCATTCCCTAAACATTTGCTAAAATCTTAAAAAATTTAAATATCAAAATGCTGTGGCCTAATTGTCTGTAGGTATGTCCCAAAATTAGTTTCAGTTCTCTTTCTTTAGTTTGCCTCAACTAAATGTTATGAGACTTATACACAATGCTTATTACTACAAAACACACATCAAGTTTGAATTTGGGTTGCGTCACTTTTACCGTTCTTGAGTTATGACCCTTTATACATGAACAAAATTGCTGAATTTCCATTCACTAATTTAGTTTGCCTCAACCAAACATTTTGAAACTAATACTTAATGCTTATTACCACAAAACTCGATCCAGTTTGAATTTGGGTGCTCTAGTTATGTCCCTTTATAACGTTATATGCAAGTGAGGGCATCATCTGTTTCCCATGGACATGATGGACACATTTCGCCATTTATTTTATGTTGAATTCCACGCAAGGATGATTAGCCGGTTGCTTTTATCTTAATATCTATCTACTTACTTGTGAAGAGATACTGCATGGTTCTTCATTCTATGATGAAAACTTTAAACATTTAAACTTTTTTACTGATATGTCATGTATGTATATTTCTAGGAGTTCCCATACCATATTTCACTAGAATTTGTATTGTCTATGTACATTTATTTTATTTGGAAAAATCCTTTATAGGCATGCAGGCACCATTCTCTACTGGACCCTGTGTTGATTTGGTAACTTGCTCTACATATGGAAATAATGTGTGTACACAGTATAAAGATTGGGCCATGAAAAACTGCAGGAAGACATGTAACTTATGTAAGTAATCTGCATTTAAAACAAGACAAGGCCTTGGTATATTTTGAATTTGTCCAAAAAACTTTGTATAAAATGGCCTCTTAGGTCAAATATGTCATGTACATGTACCGGGTATGTCAATTTCATCATGTTTATGCATCCTGCAATTTTCATTAAAATTAAGACAATAATGAAAGGCTTGAAAAATTTACCATTTCATTAATTTTTTTAATTTCAACTTGTGACCAACAAACCCCTTAAGAGATTTATGACATGGTTTTTTTTTATGTGCAAAGGGTATGGTGCTTTCTCAACACGAGGAATCATATGTATTGTCCCCAATCCAACCAGATCTAATTGTGTATTTATACGTCCAGCACAGTTTAAATCAGAGGTCCTTTCACCATTTGTTCTTATATCTGAAGATTCCTTTCTCTTAATTCTTACACGATTTATCCTTTTCCTGGCCTGTTGATTATTTTTATTAAATCAACGTGTGGTTCATTTGATCTCAGTTCTTCATTGGTCAAAATTGCATTATGACGTCCAATTTTCTTGCTTTCCTCTGAATTTCCTATTGTGACGTCATGAAAAGAGGCGACCATGCCTGATGACGTCACATAGAAAGAACACATCTTTTTGCAGATCATTCGAAAGAAAGGATTGAATTTGTCTGCATATCGTTTAAAAATCATTAGAGAAACAGATTCCACCACAAAATCTTGTGCAATACGATATTTATCCACTCGCGACAGTGAAATTTTAGTTGTCTCGAGTGGATAAATATCGTATCACACTTGATACAGTGGTAGAATCTATATTTACACCAGTCAACCTTAGGGTTAAGATTGTGATTAACAAAAGATATTAAAATGTGATAATTGCAAAGATAAAGATGACCTAAATAGATTAGTTGTTGTTGTAGTACTACAATATATGTACTTAAATTAAACTGTAAATTCAGAAATTATTGCAAATAATATTGTGACTGGGTGAGGATCACAGTAATAAGAACTCACATTCTGATACATATATATTTATGCAGATTTTCCTAACATCACAATAATTAATCTCATAAGGAGTTCTTGCTCTTTCGTGATGTCTTTTACCAATATTTTACGTTTTTGCCTATTATCTTGAAAAACTTTAAGTGATAGATGAGATAGACACTTTGAATAGCAAAAATGATCAACAAAATAAGTCAAATGTTGCCAAATCGTTAGGATGGCCTTTAAAGGAGTGATTGCTCTTAAATGGCAATTTGTTTGTGTTTTTGGCAAAAACTAAAGAAGATAGAGAGAAACTGTAAACAGAAAAAATGATCAGCAATACAAGATCAACTAAAAAGAGATTTTTGTCATGAATTCTATTCTAGTCCACAATGTTGGAGAGTGTCCATTGTTGAAGATGCACATAGACCTAGGTGAGCTACACAGGCTCTTAAGAGCTTCTAGTTTTTCCAGATTTTTTATAATATTCATTTGGATATACAAAACGTTTCTGTACCTCTGAAAAATAAATATGATATACAGCAACAAATGACAACCACTGAATTACAGGCTCCAGAGTGACTTGGGACAGGCAGTCAACATTTGATGATCAGTGTTATATAACAATGCATCTGTATCTAAATAAACTTTAATTTTTTTTTTCATGTTTTAGGTCCAAGCACACAAACTTCAGGAACAAACGGTAAGAAATTTTTATTTTGGAGACATATCATATCTGTCAATATTAGCCTTGATAAACTCCATCTTGTTTTCAGAACTATAGATAATCTCTCAATATATATGTATGTTACAAGATTTATTGTAGTAATGATTATTATTGTCATTATCATTATGTTCATTATTATTATATTTATGATGCTGTTATTTTTATACGACGGCAAAAAAATTTTTGTGGTCGTATATTGGTATGACGTTGGCGTCGTCGTCGTCCGGCGTCGTCGTCGTCCGGCGTCGTCGTCCGAAGACGCATTAGTTTTCTCACTCTAACTTTAGTTTAAGTGAATGGATCTCTATGAAATTTTACCATAAGGTTCAATACCACAAAAGGAAGGTGGGGATTGATTTTGGGGGTTATGGTACCAACAGTTAAGGAATTAGGGGCCAAAAAGGGGCCAAAAATAAGCATTTTCTAGTTTCCAGACAATAACTGTGGAACGGTGTATGGATCTCTCTGAAATTATACTACAAGTTTCCATACCACAAAGGGATGGTTAGGATTTGCTTTGGGGGGTTATTGCTCAAACCGTTTAAGAATTTGGGGCAAAAAAGGGGGGAAAACAAGGTTGTCCTCATTAATGGACAAATACTTTAGTACAAAACATAATTTAAAACACAAAGCAGTGTAAGGGAGATAAATCAAATACATCATTGAAATTATCCCCCTTACACTGCTTTTAAATTATGTATAAAGTAATGGTTAATGAACAATTAAGATAATTTAAAACAGTGTAAGGGAGGTAATCCAAATACAACGTTTTGGTTACTTCCCTTACACTGCTTTTAAATTATGTTTAAAGAAATGCATATTTATAAAGGAAGACCAGTATGGCACATTAGATTTGTAAAATCTTTGACCACATTTATTTATTTGTTATGTCAAATCTAACCGTGTATTTAGATTTTTAATTTTGGGTCCAGTTTTCAAATTGGTCTACATTAAGGTCCAAAGGGTCCAAAATTAAACTTTGTTTGATTTTAACAAAAATTGAATATATGGGGTTCTTTGATATGCTGAATCTAAACATGTATTTAGATTTTTGATTTTTGGCCCAGTTTTCAAGTTGGTCCAAATTGGGGTCCAAAATTAAACTTTGTTTGATTTCAACAAAAATTGAGTTATTTGGGTTCTTTGATATGCCAAATCTAACCGTGTAATTAGATTTTTAATTTTGGGTCCCGTTTTTTAGATTGGTCTACATTAAGGTCCAAAATAAAACTTTGTTTGATTTCAACAAAAATTGAATATATGGGGTTCTTTGATATGCTGAATCTTACCATGTATTTAGATTTTTTATTTGTGGGCCTGCTATCAAATTGGTTCATATTGTGGTCAAAAGGGTCCAAAATTAAACTTTGTTTGATTTCATCAAAAATTGAATTATTGGGGTTCTTTGATATGCCAAATCTAACCGTGTTTTTAGATTTTTAATTTTGGGTCCCATTTTTTAAATTGGTCTACATTAAGGTCCAAAGGGTCCAAAATTAAACTTAGTTTGATTTTAACAAAAATTGAATTCTTGGGGTACTTTGATATGCTGAATCTAAACATGTGTTTAGATTTTTGATTATGGGACCAGTTTTTAAGTTTGTCCAAGTTGGGGTCCAAAATTAAACTTTGTTTGATTTCAACAAAAATTGAATATATGGGGTTCTTTGATATGCTGAATCTAACCATGTATTTTGATTTTGGACATTGGACCATAATATGTAAATTAAAAAAATTGAAGTTCTTAGACCACATTCTTTCTGTGTCAGAAACCTATGCTGTGTCAAATATTTAATCACAATCCAAATTCAGAGCTGTATCAAGCTTGAATGTTGTGTCCATACTTGCCCCAACTGTTCAGGGTTCGACCTCTGCGGTCGTATCAAGCTGCGCCCAGCGAAGTATTTTATTGTATTTTGGAAAAGATCAGAAAACAAATTAAAGTGATAACTTCTAAATGAAATAATAAATAGGTAGGTTTGGAACACTTTTATAATTGAAATTTTTAAATTTCAACATTAGAGTAGAATGCATTGAGTGTGTAGATAAAGGTAGAATATTAGGTTGGATATAGGAAGATGTGGTATGAGTGCCAATGAGACAACTCTCCATCCAAGTAACAATTTATAAAAGTAAACAATTATAGGTCAAGGTACAGCTTGCTTGTTAGCTAAACCGTGAAGTCATTATTAGGTTAGGTATACTAGTCCTACAGACATATAGATTGGTTATCTGTCAGACTAGTCTACTCTTAAAGGAGGGTAGTTTACCTCACCTAATAATGACTTCACGGTTCAGCTTGCAAGCAAGTTAACCAAAGATATTACCTTTACCTACACACTCAATGCATTCTGCTGTAAAATAGAGTTCAATGATGCAGCCAGATTCTATCTGCGAGTGTATTCTTCATCATTGCATCATCATCAAAATCTAAAAGAATTTTGATACCTAGCCTGATATGGTAAAATAAGGCAGTGATTGCTTTAAAAAAAATATTTTTAATTACTATAGTCAAAAATGACAGATCACTGGACTCTCATGAAAATATCTATTGAGAAAACCTACCATGTATACATTTTTGCATTTTTTTTTCTAAAGGAAAATAATTCACAACATCAAAAATAACATTTTTTAACGATATTGATAAAAGTTACAAGTTAAGTGGATTTCTCTTTGAAATTTGCAAAATACAGGATAGATGAATGAAAGACACTTGACACTTTTGAAATATAATTGAATTTCCATGCAGTCTGCTTACAAAATTTGATGTATCAGTTATCATGTGTTTCAGATCGTTGTGTATACAAAGGAACATCATATAAACAGGGACAAGTTTGGTCCCCAAAATGTGACGAGAGATGTTCCTGTGAAAATGCCAGATATGGTTATTATAGATGTGTCAACACGTAAGTTTGTAAAACATGATAATTTTCAAAAATTTCAAGTATATGTGTAAATATTGCTGATAAAAAAATTTGGGATTGTGAAATATGAAACCCACACTTATAAAATTACCAAATGCAACTTATCACAATTCCCAAATTTTTACTTGAGAGGAATAACATGACACATGCCACTAGTTGGGCAGGAACTGCTTACCCTTTTGGTGCACCTGCTGAGTTCATTATGTGTTATTGCAGGGGTTTGTGTTGTTGAATCTTAAGTTTTCTCTGTCGTTCTCTGTGGACTGTTGTTTATCTGTTTGTCTTATTTCTTTAGGCCATGTTTACGTTTGTTAAAAAAAACATCTAGAGATCAACTTATTGTATTCAACAGTAGACAGATGTCTATACAATAATGTATATCAGAGGAAGGAATTTATTTTTATATCATATGTTGATAATTTTAAAAATCCTCATGAAGGTCCTGTAGAACTATAAAGAGCCTGTCCATGAGGAAACCATGCAAAACAGTCAGGAAGCCGGATTAGCTAATCTTCATAAAATCTTGTTTATAGTTTAACCTTAGTCCTAATACCACTTCTATTGTAAATACATATGCCTGTTTTTATTCTATTTATATATCTTGGTGGTAGGGAGTGCCACTTCAATTCCTTCAACTTTCATGTGAAAATCAATAGAAAATACAAAAAATAATCATTTCAATAAATTTTACCATTTTTCCATTTCTTTAGGTGTCCCACATACACAAATTTACCATCAGGATGTAATCGTATAACACCAAACGGTGCATGTTGTCAAAAGATACAGTGTACAAATGGAGTGTTTCTGACGTCTGCTACAAACAGCTTTTCTCTTGGAGGTGGAGGTGGAATTCAAATCATCAATCAAAATCCAAATTTGTTCCCCATACCCACAATACCTGGACAGCAACAAGGAGGTTCAGGAACAGGAATTATGCCACCAACAATTGGTAAACTTTACATCAGTGATACAATAATAAAACTACAGTATTACACTTCTGATTCATAGAATAATGGAATATAATGATTGTTTTGAGTTTTGGCGAACATTTCACAGACACTTCCACTTTAGTATCTAATGGCATTGTGCATCTCTTTTTTAACCTGTATGTTTTTTGGGTTTCCCGTAGCAAACATCGATGTTCCTAAGTTGTAAAAGAGAGGCAAAAGATACTAAAGATACTATACTTTGAAAACAAACTGACAACATAATGGCAAAAAACTAAAAACAAACAAGATACAAACAACAGTTTACAAAACACAACATAGAAAACTAAAGACCAAACAATATGAATGAAAAAAGGGTGATCATCTATTATCAGCAACTTCTCTTAAAATAGATAACCTTATTTCATTGAAACTTTCTTGTATCATGCCATTTTGCATCATCTTATCTATATTTATTGATCCAAATAATTATGAGGGTTTTACTTGGCAAATATGGACAATGCCATATCTTTACAATTTTTTTGGATATATTGTACACATTTATTATTTATTTTACAGCAGGATGTCTTTATGATGGACAATGCCATATCTATACAATTTTTATATGACCGCAAAAAAATTTTTGTGGTCGTATATTGGTATGACGTTGGCGTCGTCGTCGTCGTCGTCCGAAGACACATTAGTTTTCGCACTCTAACTTTAGTTTAAGTGAATGGATCTCAATGAAATTTTACCATAAGGTTCAATACCACAAAAGGAAGGTGGGGATTGATTTTGGGGGTTATGGTACCCACAGTTAAGGAATTAATGGCCAAAAAGGGGCCAAAAATAAGCATTTTTGTAACTTACAGACATAACTTGTGTGTAAGTGTATGGATCTCTCTGACATTGTACCACAAGGTTCCATATCACAAAGGGAATGCTGGGATTGATTTTGGGGGTAATTGCCTCCAAATTTTAGGAATTAGGGGCCAAAAAGGGGCAAATAAACAAGCATTTTTCTAGTTTCGTGACAATAACTTGTGTGTAACTGTATGGATCTCTCTGACATTGTATCACAAGGTTCCATATCACAAAGGGAATGCTGGGATTGATTTTGGGGGTAATTGCCTCAAAATTTTAGGAATTAGGGGCCAAAAAGGGGCAAAAAACAAGCATTTTTCTAGTTTAATGACAACAACTTGTGTGTAAGTGTATGGATCTTTATGAAATTGTACTACAAGGTTCCATATCACAAAGGGAAAGCTGGAATTGAGTTTGGGGGTAATTGCCCAAAAAGTGTAGGAATAAGGGGCCAAAAAGGGGCCAAAAATAAGTATTTTAGTTTCCAGACAATAACTTGTGTTCAAATGTATGGATCTCTCTGAAATTGTACTGCAAGGTACCATACCACAAAAGGAAGGCTGGGATTGATTTTGGGGGTAATTCCCTCAAAATTTTAGTAATTAGGGGCCATAAAAGGGCAAAAAAACAAGCATTTTTCTAGTTTCAGGACAATAACTTGTGTGTAAGTGTATGGATCTTTATGAAATTGTACTGCAAGGTTTCATATCACAAAGGGAAAGCTGGGTTTGAGTTTGGGGGTTATTGCCCTAAACGTTTAGGAATTTGGGGCCAAAAAGGGGCCAAAAAACAAGCATTTTTCTAGTTTCCAGACAATAACTTGTGTTCAAGTGTATGGATACTTCTGAAATTGTACTGCAAGGTACCATACCACAAAGGGAAAGCTGGGATTAAGTTTGGGGGTGATGAATCATAAGGGGTTTAAAAAATTGGGGAGATTTTTTTTCCTTTTTTTTCTTTAAAATTTTCCATTTTAAATTGGTTATTTCTGATTTATATATAAAAGCAAATAATAATGATATGGTTTGAATAGGTAAATTAAAAAATTTTAAGTTCTTAGACCACTTTCATTCTGTGTGAGAAACCTATGCTGTGTCAAATATTTAATTACAATCCAAATTCAGTGCTGTATCAAGCTTGAATGTTGTGTCCATACTTGCCCCAACTGTTCAGGGTTCGACCTCTGCGGTCGTATCAAGCTGCGCCCTAGCGGAGCATTTTATTTTGGATATATTGTACACATTTATTATTTATTTTACAGCGGGATGTCTTTATGATGGACAAGTCTATTCACAAAATCAGGCATGGATGGTTGGATGTTCCAAATACTGTGTTTGTGTAGATGCTTCCAAAGGCCAATTGTCATGCAGGGAAAGGCAAGTCTTTTCTGTTAAGAGTAAATGTAAATCATGAAGAAATGGGTATGTGAATTTTTTAAGATATAATATAGATAGCTATTATTTCTTGAAAGATTTAGACCTATTTATAATAGTTTGTTGTTAATCTCAAATTTAGTTTTAAAAAAAAACTATTGAACATCACTTTTGAATTATATTGAATCATGCATCTTTCTATAAACATCCCAACCATACTCTAAAGAGGATGACTACATTTGAAAATGTCTATTTCTTCAGTCAATAATCAAATAATGAGGTCTAGAAATATTTTTTTTACACAAGAATATGCAAAATGTCAGAAAAATTTTGGGATAATTGTTATTAATGGTGATGAAACAAAAAAATATAGTGTTAACAACACAAATGTTAAATTTCAGATGTCCAAAATACACAAACATGTCACCAACCTGTGTAATGAGCACCGACCTAAATGATCCTTGCTGTACTGCTCCAAAATGTACCTACGATGCAAATCTTGGTAAAGTACCTCAACCATTACCAACGTTTGGAAAGTCTTCACTGACATACTCAGTTGTCTCCCCTAAGACTGGAGCAACCCAAAACATGGGATATACTAATGCACATATTCCCTTGATAAACACAGTTCCCACACCTCAACCGCCCACTGTTGATCCTGGAAAATTGTCTGCTGGAGGTTAGTTTAGCACTTTATATAATGTACTGTGGATTCATTTATTGTTGTGAAAACCAATTTTTGTGGATTGGGAATTTTCTTTTATCACAGATATTTAATTAGTGGATATGCCATTTAAGTCTGCATACAAATCTTTTCGCTTATTTGAACTACGTTGAACATTTAAATTTGTGGTTAATTTATACCAACAAAATCCTCAAACATTAGTATCCCACGAATAACATGAATCCACAGTCTTCAAACAAAGTACATATTTTGTATTCTCATATGTCTCATAATTGTTGGTAAGCGGTAAGCCATTTTAATCATATTACAGTTGAACTAAGACTGTGTAATTTACTAAGACTGTGTAATTTCTGCATAATATTTAAGTTTGCTTGAATTTTAGTTGAACCATGAATTCTTGACATATCATTATGTTTTTAATATTTATTTACAAAAATCTCCATCCATTGATGATCAGGTGAGTTTCCCCTGAAACTCATTTTGCATTTATTTCCTATCTTATAAGATCATGTTGAATCAGTTTTTATGTAAAAAAATATAATATTCAACCTCTTTCACAGGAAACACCTGCCGTATATTACATGTTGGAAATCAGATATACAAAATTGCAGGAAATCATATTCCTTTTTATGATGTTTCATGGAAAATTAATACCACAAAAAACACGAAAAACAAGAAAAAACGGAATGAGTTTCTGTGCAAATGAACTTAAATTGAAAGTTTGGATTCATTTTTATATTGATTATTTTTATTATTGGTTTTGTTATTGTTATTGAAGACTTTGTCCTCATATAAGCTGTAATAAATATACATGTATATATAAATATAGAAACTAATTTTTATCTTGAGTTATGTCCCTTTATAATGTTATATGCAAGCAGGGGCATCATTTGTGTCCATTTACTTTAGTCAATTTATATTTACTTACCTGTTCCACTGATTAACCATCTGTAATTACAGGCTTCTATTAAACTTTATACATTTCTTGTACATTTTATTTAATTCAAGAAAGTAAATGTAATTTCTCAACTTTAATTTTGTGATACATTTCAGGATTCTGTGATTATAATGGTAAACGTTACAACGTAGGAGAGACTTGGGAGGTTGGCTGTCAGTATAACTGTATATGTGATGACGGTATAACAGGTCATTACAAATGTGTAGAAAAGTATGTACCCTGACATTTTCAATATTCATATGGAATGTTTTGTTCTTTCTGTTAGAATACACGGTTTTGCTTTTGATTTTAAATTTACATCAAGTTGTCAAATGTTGACATTTATTTATACCCCCTCTTCAAAAATGAAAGTGGTATATTGATTTACGTCTGATCGTCCATTCTTCAATTCTTCTTTTTGAAGGTTGGTACTACCTTTCTCGTAAACTACAAATCAGATCTACCTGAAATTTGATATCAAGCTTTATGTGAGCATTCTATAATGTTTGATGCATTTTCAGATTCAATACTTATCCACTCCGGTTTACCAAATACTTATATGTTCTTACACATAACAACATATGTATAAAATTTGGTCTTATTTTTGGATAAAGATTGCATGAAATGCAATCAAAACCCTATGATCCTGACTTAATATCTAAATCTTCCAAACTTTGTCACTACTTTTGAGATACACAAAATATAGTGCATTGGTCATAATATTCTAAACATCCTATCCATGAACATTTCAAGAAATTTATCAATGAAATATATACTCAGATATTCAAGTTATAAAAGGATGTTATACTTTGTCAAGAAAATTACACAACTTTTCCAAGGTGCAGGAATCTAATATCTGTTCTAAAAATATCAATGATGTTATTGTTTAAGTAATCTTTAAAATTGGAGTTATCTTCCTTTGTCCATAATTGTAGTTGTATCAACTACAACCAATGCTTTATACAATGCAATGCTTAATTTTACTTTCCACTCATAAATTAAAGCAATCTTTACCCTTTAGTGCCCACAGGCACTTAGATTCTCAGGAACTGAAAATAAGAGATACCTTTAATATATATTTGATAACAAGCTTTATGTATAAAGCATGCTTTACTGTGAGATGCTTTTCTAGATGCGTACCTCATTCATTTCTTATTAACTGAATACTTATACATTCTTACACATAATGGACATGTATCAAATATTGGTCACATTTTCTCAAAGAACAACAAATCAAGGCTATCTAAAATATGAAATCAAACTTCATGTAAGCTTGCTTTACTGGGGGTTGAGTTTTAACATCTTTCACTTATCAACTTCCTGTTTGATGAAAACTTATAACAGGGGTATCATTTGTGAGTAATTGCTCACAGTTAAATTTGTTTTTCTTTGTCTTGATGTTATACAGCTACATATTTATCATATGAAAATGAATTTAAGTTATTATTTTATCCTGAAACATATCAGAGACACCATTATTAGGTTGCCTGAGTGGAAAGGGGTATGATATTCCTCATCATGTTGAATCATTTATCTATCACACTTTATAATTTAGTGAGATAAATCGCTGTAAATGTCACATCGCTCTTTTTATTTTTTTTAGGTGTGTCCACTATACAAATTTGCCACCAAAATGCTATCTTCTTCAAGATCCATTAAATCCATGTTGTAAAAAACCTGAATGTCCAGTTGATCCACAATATGAAATTATCACAGGAGTAAGGACAACACCATCATCCAAACAGGGTAAGAATTTTGGGATTAAGATTATATTCATGCAATCAAAAACCATATGTGGCTAGCTTGATAGTTATCTAGTTATCTATATTCCAGACTTTATTACTACGTTTGAGATAAACAAAAACATAGTGCATGGAGCACAACATTCTATACATAAACATTTCAATAAGTTTATTAGACATAGACATAATTTGTATGATGAATCTAATTATCAATGATGTCATATCTAAATTTGGAGTTATCTATCATTTCAAAATAAGGAGATGTTGTATGATTGCCAATGGGACTACTATCAACCAAAGTTCAGATGAAGTGTATGGAAGCAATTATAGGCAACCGTACGGCCTTCAACAATGAGAAAAAACATAAATTGCTAATAACTGTAGTTGAACCAAATACAAGTATGGATAAATAGTATTGGCCTTTCAAAGCTTTTCAATGCAATGTTTAATTTTTAGTTCCAACTGCAAAATGAATACAATTTTTACCCTGCAGTGCCTGCAAGCACTTTGATTACATTAATTGATGTCATCTTATATCCAATTATATCATCTTTTGATTGAGTCTTAGTTTTATGTATTACCCATTCAATTTTGATAGAACTGTAGTGTAAAGTTTGATATGTAATTCATTTATTTTCGTTGATTCCAATTTTTGTGAATTGAACAAAAATTGTATTTTCGTGGATATTTGAATTCCTGGTTTTGTGGAAGTCTGCATACAAGCCTATAGAATATTTGCACTTAGTTGAACCTTCAAATTCGTGGTTTACCTATACCCACAAAATCCTGGAAAACTTTTATCCCATGAATAAGAATGAATTCACAGTACTCCAAAGTATTAAAATACATACGAGGAACAGCATATGTAAAATGGTATCATTCCTTGACCTGCTCTTAGATGTCATCAAGGGATGGTTGATTGATTGATTGTTGGTGTTTGACACATGTTAGGACTATTTGCTATCTTTAGTGGAGGAAGCCGGATTGCCTGGAGAGAACCACTGACCTTCAGAAAAACTAACAATCCTATTCATTTAAGATAAGAATTGAATGCACCTGCCATGTGCGAGGTTGGAAATAACAATTCAGTGTTGACAAGCTAGTGATTGCTGTAGATGAACTACTTAGACCACTTGGCCACAGAGGCCCCTGGCTGGTATTGAAGTCTCAGTGTGATAAATGATAAGGCCTCTATAGAAAAAAAATCTCATAATCTGTAAAAGTGAAAATGTGATATTGACTCGCACCATGTTATTATTTTTACTGCTATATTATTTATGCCTCAGATGTTAATTCTATGTAATTTATTTCTCTATTATTCTCAAAATCTTTACTTTGGATAAAATATACAAGAATTGTATCTGTTGCATAAACTTATGTTGAAAAGTGTGAAACTTGAGTCATGTGTAAAATCTATGAGAATTAGATTACAACCTCATTATAACATTTATTTTTCTGTAGGAGTATGTACTTACAAAGAACAATACTACCAACAAGGACAAACTTGGTATGATGGTTGTAGTTACAGATGTACCTGTGAAGATGCTGAGAACGGCATTTACAGATGTCTAAGTCGGTATGCATCCTAACATTTTGCATTTTCACAAATGATGTAAAAAGATTTTTAGGGCTTGAATGGTGTATTACTCAGGGATCATTATTGAGTAATTTCCAAGGGTTGAGCTTAAAAAATAAATACAGTTTATGAAAAAATATTTATAGAATTTTCACATTTTGCAATATATGTGTCTTCAAAGTGTATGTAACTTATTGTATAACAAAAAAAATAGAAGTTAATTATAATCTAAAAAATTATAGTGATTACGAAATTATTTTCCAAACTTATCTCAAATAATCTAAAAATTGATGGTTAATACTATGAACAAAAAGAGTTGTGCTAAAAATTCAAGGGATATCTGTTACCTATTCTATTTAGATGTATTTACACTTGTATGCAAATTTGTCTGCCATTACTGAAAATCCTGCACATTCCCATAAAATTTGCATCACAATTTAAAAAATTTGACTTCATAAAAATTTTAAAGTGATAATTGCATGAATGTAAGTAAATGTACAATTTGCTTTAAGCGATTGTATAAGTTTATAGTAAAATTGATTTTTTTGTAAAATGAAATGTGTGTAGGGAAATTGTTCTTTTAATCTTTGAAATGAACTTTGGTAAGCTGTTTCCATGTTTTTATATGCAATCAGCTTAAATGAAAACTGTTTCCATGTTCTAATATTCTATATGCATCTAAATATATATCATATAACTATTTAATAGATGTCCAGAGTATCCATTTAGTTCTGATTCGAAATGTAATCTGATCGCCGATCCTCGTGACCCAACATGCTGTCAAATGAGAGTCTGTTTAAATGAGACTTCAGGAACGCAGTCACCAAATCCAACTCCTGCTATAGTACCACCTGCAAAATATCAGGGAATAGAGACTGGTATCAATGGTAAATAATCCTGTTATACTAATTCACTGCTTCAGAACCTATGGACTATGGGTTGATTTCATTGGTTGAACACCAAAATGAAAATGCCATGGTTGATTTCATTGGTTGAACACCAAAATGAAAATGTCATGGTTGATTTCATTGGTTGAACACCAAAATGAAAATGCCATGGTTGATTTCATTGGTTGAACACCAAAATGAAAATGTCACATCATTCAATGGTTGCATGTTTATTGTTTAGAACATTTTTAACCAATCACCTTGTTTTGGTGTTAACTTTTAAAAATATTTCTCATAATGCTTTAGATTCTGAAAGGTGTGCTTTGCCCTAGAATAACATTGGAGAATAATTTTATTACTGAAAAAAAATGTATAAGAAAAGGGTGTTGGGGATTGAAAGGTCCTAGAAATTTAGCATTAAGGTGGTACCAAACACCTTGACTAAAATTAATTTGGCTCGTTTAATTTTCATAAAATTTTGACAAAATATTTACTTTGAATCTTTGACAAAAATATAAAAATTTCAAAATACTTGAACAACACCCTTTATCGGAAAAATTTCATTTGATATACAGCATTTTGACAAACACTAATTTTAATCATTGAGAAGCTTAATATTTCCTTAACAATAGAACGTGATTAAAATGTTCAGTTGATTTTTACAGAGTTATCTCCCTGTAGTGTTATGTACCACCTTAACCGGGTGATTCTATTACAATAAAGGCATACATAAAGTAAGACATGAATGGAAAAAATAAGTTACAAGGAACCTTTTGTGAATTGTTTATACAACAACTAATGTGAGAATCATTTTCTGATATTGCAAAAAAATGTTATGGAAATGACCAATTGTTGTATAAAGCAATGCTTCTGAATTAAATTGCATTTTCACATTAAATAAACATTACAATGATTTAATCGAATCAACAGTACATTCCATCTGAAGAAAAGGGGATATTGGGGATTGTTATGATAATTTTACTTGAAAACAATATTAATATGTTTGTAGGTAAAAGTAATGTATGTATATACAAAGGTCAGGCATACAAACAAGGGGCTATCTGGGAAGATGGTTGTGATTATACATGTACATGTGAAGATGAATTAAAGGGAGTGTACTCTTGTACAGACAGGTAACAATCTCCTTATAGTTATAAAACTCCAAATGTGTCCAACAATCTATGAGAAATCGTATTTTATGAAAATTTCAGCTCTAACATACAGACTAGATCAAACAGTTTTACCATACCTTCTGATTTTCTATGGAGTCATAAAAAATAAGCATTTTGATAGCACAGAACTCTTCTTTGTAGTATGTTTATTTTGATGTCGTTGTGAAAACAAATAGTGTCAGCACCAGAATAGATGACACTACTACAAAAGAGCGTTGTTTCAAAATTTGATTATCTGAAGAAAAAACCCAGCAATTTCTAAAAATAATTGTAGCCATATAATAAATAGTTACTTTTCATAAAAATTTCTATCAAATGGAAACAAAAATACTGTATTAATATATCTTTGATTGTTATTCATTTAAAAATAATTCTCTGTATTTTGTTGGATGATTTTGTCTTCTGTTTCTATCAGAACTCTTGAAAATTTGTATTTTATGAGGTATATTTAAACCAGATATGTCTGAACCATTTATTCTTGGAAGTGGTCCATTCTATTTGGATATTTTATGAAGGGTTACTTAGGTAAAACAAATTGGTCATACAAAACACATTTTAATCTGACCTCACTTCACCTGAAGCCTGCAGTTTCACAATGAGCAGTGATTTTCACATCTAACAATTGTTAAAAAAAGATGTTGATAAAATTTGAATTGAACTGACCATGGACAAAATGGTTAATACATCACTAATTTCTACTGTAAATATGTGGATTCCTATTTCTACAAAGTCTACAAAAATCCACAGTGTATTGAAAAGCTGTTGTGACTTAAGCTTTTTTTACTTGTTTCCTTACCGTTTTGAACTTTGTGAGGGAGAAACAAAGTTTTATTATGCTAATTTATCCTTTATTTATCGTTAGGTGTCCAGTTTACATCAATCTACAACCTGGTTGTGAGATGGTCAGAGACTTCAGTAATCCATGTTGTAAGAAACCCCAGTGTACAGTTACTGGACCCCCACCTACACGTATCTACTATAATGTAACAAATCTTCCACCAACACTGGCACCTCAATTACGTAAGTTGATATTCAAATGAGTTTTTTCAAATCTAGAGCACAAATTCAAAAGATGACAATGATTTTATATTGATCACAAAGTTGTTCTCTATACTCACCATCAATATTAAATAATTGTAGACAAGACATTATATAAATCAAAGTTAACCCTTCCAACTTCTACTGTAAAGTTCATAAAGTTAGAAATATTCGTGAGAGGGTTTAATTTTCTCTCATTTTGCAATCAAGATAAAAATCATGAAAATATCCCATGTGCACAAATTCGATGTATAAGGCAATTGAGAAATATGAACTTGAAAAAATGCAAAAAAAAATATGTCTGTAACAGGTATGGCATTACAAAATGTGGAATTTAAATCCCACAAAAAATTAATACACTTTACATTTTGACTGTGGATTCATTTATTTTCGTGGGTACCAATTTTCATTTTCTTGGAATGAGAAAAAAAAATAAATTTCATGGATATTTGATTTCGTGATTTTGCAAAAGTTAGCATACATGCTATATAGAAAATATATACTTCATTGAATATTTGAACTCGTGGTTCAACTTTACCAACAAATTCAATGAAAATTGGTATCCCTCAAATAATAATTAATCAACAGTATCTCAAACATCTCGTATTTGAATTACTTCTTGCATGTATGAGATTATTTGAGAATTCTCATAAAAAACATTTAACTCTTGCAAGTTTTCTTTATCAATTAAATTCGAATGATTTTTTTATCTTGAACATTGCAATACTCTTGTATTATCTTATTTCTTCTAACCCATCAAATCAAGTTGCAAGAACTATTGTTAAAAACGATAGATGATGAAATCAAAAGTGTTTCAATTGAAAAAAACATAAATACAATTTTAGGATTAGAACTTTTTATGAAGTATATTGTGAAAGATGCTTCAATGAATTTTGTTTTGAATATAGACTTTTGTGACTGGATAAAGTTGAAGATAAAAATTTTTTGTTCATTGATGTAAAAGTTTATTTTATTAATAAATAAATAATTTTTTTTTTCTTACAGAGTTTTGTGTATACAAGGGAGTACGCTACTTACAAGGCCAGGAATGGGACGATGGATGTAGTTTCAAATGTAGATGTGATGACTCAAGCAGAGGAATATACACTTGTAATCAAAGGTGTGTTAGAGAATCATTTAGGAAATGAATGCTTCTTTTTGTAATTTTATTGGGGTGTAAAGTGTTGTCCGAAGCACATTTTGTATGAAGCGCGGAAGCGCTTCATTCTAAAAATGTGTGCAAGATCAACACTTTTACAGCCCACTTAAATTACAAAAAGAATCATTCATTTCTTGTAATTATATTTTTATGCTTATAAGACCATGAAAAAAAAGTTTTATCAAGTTTTTCTTTTATTTACCTGTGCACTTTTTTGTGGAAGCATGTGTCATCATGAATGTAACATTTTGATTTGATAAGGTTAATTTTTGAATGACATGTGATTGTTGTTGGCTAATCAAACTAATGAATTCTCTTGAAAAATACATGTAATGTAATTATTTAAACATGAAAGCAACTGTGAATTAGCCTTAAAATTATTTGTAAGAAGTGCATTAGTGTCTATTTTGTTTGTTACTGTAATCTCATCTGGCTGATGAGAAAGGGAGAAAGAGAATTATGAATTTTTTGTAAAGGAACAACTGCTACAGGTACCGGAAGGAAAGTGTGGTTGCTGCATGATATCACAAAAAAACTAGACTTAAAAAAAATTCCAAAAGTTGGTTTAAGCAAGTTGTTACTAAAATTTAGGAAGATAAGAAGTTTGAAAGCATAATTTTTCTTAACCATACACAGATTCTGTCTGACCAATGCAGTGTCTTTGGAGTCTTTATGACATAAGTTTTGACCTGTATTTTTCAGTTTGTATAAATAAAAGTCCTATTATTTTTTACATCATCTGATTAATTATTTTGTATTGGGATAGAAGAGCCTTATAAATTTTAAATGATATCAATATTTCAGAGAACAGAAATAGCTGTCCTGGTTTATAAATGTATTATTGAATCTGAATTGTCAGTTGTTAGAATTGAAGTATTTTGATGCACTTTTTATTTGATATTGAGGGATGAAGAAAGAGCTTAAAGCAAAGGGAGAAAGGAATTATTGAATACTTTCAACCCCTGAGATATTATTGTATATATGTGATAATGTTTTGTTAGATGTGCTGCAATTGAAGCAAATATTCAACCTGGATGTACCCTGAAAACAGATCCTAGAGATGCTTGTTGTCTGGCCCAGGTCTGTACAGAAGTTACTCCAACACCAGCTCCAGGATCAACCAATGGACCAACACAGGTGCCAACACTGAAGCCAAATCTGTTCACTGGACAGGTCTATATACCAACCCCATCACGTATACCTGGACAACCAATACCAACTCCTGCTAAACTAGGTAATGTTTTTAGTATTAAGAGTTTGATACTAGCTTACATTGACCCCTTTAGCTTGTCTTTTTGTCTGTTATCCATTTGTCATGAATAATTAATTATAAAATCTCATTTGAAATCACTGGTTCAGTTAAGAAGTACAAATTTCAGTTTTTAGTTTTGTTTTTAATGTTTTTAATGTTTTTTTTCTTCATTGAATGTTCTAGTATCTATAAACTTCACACAAAAGCAGGGGCCTCTGTGGCCAAGTGGTCCAAGTAGTTCATTTATAGCGATCACTAACCAGTGAACAAAGAGGTTGTGAGATTAAACCCCTATCTTTGCAGGTGCGTTTGACTCCCATCTTAATTGACAAGGAATTCCAGTTTTGATGCTGAAGGTTGGTGGTTCTCTTCAGGTTCTCCTGTTCCTCCACCAATAAAAACTGGCCACCACGATATTTCAAGCATGCTGAAAGTGGTCTTAAGCACCAACAATCAATCAATCAATCAAACAAAAACAGTTTTTTTCTTGAGCTTTTAGTTAACAGGCTGATTTTGCAAAAGAAAAAGAATGTACATCTTTAGTGAAAATTTATAATTGACGAAAAGGCAGACGGCAAAAATTGTGAAGTAGAATATGATAAAGCTACATGTAGCTTTGTAACTGGCTTTGTAGTAAAAAGTAAAATCACAAAAATACTGAACTCTGAGGGAAATTCAAAAAAGTAAAACACTGCAAATTTACACTCTCCACATGTTGAGATTCATGAATTTATTTGATGTAATTGATATATAGTAAAGACAAAATTCAATTTATATTGATGGCATAATTATATTGAATATTTTGTAGGTGTCTGCATATACAAAGGTCGTCAGTATTCTCAAGGTCAAAAATTTGATGATGGATGTGACTTTGATTGTGTTTGTTTCAATGCAAATGAAGGAAAATACAGATGTTCTCCAAAGTAAGATTGTTAATTATTCATCTAGAAATTAGAGAAATTAAGAAAGTATTCTTTTGGTGAATCATTAATGTTACAATTATATCCTTTTTTCTTTTTTATGGTTTGTTTTATTGCACCATTACACGTGAGGGTCAAGTGTGATTTCCTTTCATAACCATGTCAGAGATGTTCTGATAGGAAGTCCAGTGTAACTGTAGAATATTTTACAAAAATATTTACTTGTTTTATTTCAATTTTCATCAATTTAGAATTCTATAAAGATTTGACTACATTTACCAAAAAAGCTAAGATAAAAGCCTTATGATGAATCTTTAGATTGCACAAATTATTAATTAGAAGTAATGTAAATGTATGAGTGTGTGTGTGCATGTGTTTTCGAGGGAAGTGAAAAGGAGCGAGAAAGATCAATACATTTTTATGATGTCTTGATATTTATTTCTCAGGCCATAATCTTGTCGGCGAAATGACGATTTAAGAATTTTGAAAATCGCTAAATCTCGATGGCCTACTGACTTCATAGCGAAGTCAAATCACTATCAAAATCGGTAAAAGGGAGACAACTTGTGATTGACAAGTCTCACAGGTAAAAAAAATGGTGGCTGACAAGGAAAATCGAGATTTTCGAAATGACCCAGGACTAATACTGTAAACGATCAAATTAAATAAATACAACAGCGACTTTGAACATCCTCGGATATAACTTTAAAACTGTTCAAACGGAAAACTGACCGTCTGTTTAAGTTATCGTTTTACGATGATTTTCATCTGAGGATGTTGCGTAATCACTCAGCTGATTTGTTTTATTTTTATTATCTACACGAGTCGATCAATTTTACTATTTGGTAGGTAAAGGATGGGAATTAACGGTAGATTTATTATATTCATTGAATAAAAATTGAAATATAAAAGGTAGAAAGACAGCTGATGGATAATGTGATTGCAAACGTACGACACTCGACCAGATTGTGATCAGCAGTGGATTTTTTCTCATGACCACTTCGTTGATATGGATGATATTTTTAAAAAATGATAGAAAGTAGCTCTTTATCGGATAATTAACTTGATATTGAAAGATATTTTCATTTATAGACTTACAATCTTTAACGATAATCTCAATTTACTACAACTAACATAAATGTCCTGGTTATTCAATAATGTTTTACAAAACAATGACAAGTGGTGATATAAATTAAATTCTCAGTCATGTGAAATTCGTCATATTTTTCTGGAGTTTTAAAAATAAATTGAGGCAGATGTACATGAATTTAATGCATCATAATCTTGATAATATTACTAGGCTACTCCCTCATGTCCCAATCAACAAATTTTATTTAGAACACATTATGGTATCAATAAATAAATAACAACTATATATTGTCTAAACCTTTTTACTTAGAACTTTCTATATATACATTGTGTACAATAACATATGTAAAAACTGCAAGTACATCTTTTATTGAATATAAAACAATTTCCTTAGTGATAAGCTTGAAAACACGATGCAATCGAAATTGTAATGGAATCTCACTTCTCCAAGAAGTTTACCACTTCTCCCTTCTCTCTCATGGAAGGATAAGTCACTTCTCCCTCTTCAAAATCCTAGATTAGGCCCTGATTTCTTATTATTATATAGGGGGCCTTGGTAAACAAGTGGTCTAAGTAGATCAACAATTGTATTACTAGCCTATCAAAACTGAGATTGTGGGCTTGACTCCAATCTTAATTCACAAGGACTGTCAGTTTTCTTGCCGAAGGTTGTGGTTCTTTCTGACACTCTAGGTTCCTCCACCAATAAAAACTGACTGCCATGAAATAGCCAATTGTGCTAAAAGTGGTGTAAAACACCAATCAATCAATCAGTATTATTATGTAATCTTGATTTCCAATTTGCATCATTGATATCCAATAATACAAAGCCAGTTAAATGTTGCTGCTTTTAATTTGATTTTATAATGGTTTTAACTGTAATTTGTAAGTTTGATTGCATTTCAGATGCCCAGTCTATACAGATATCCCCACAAGCTGCAGATTAGTCAAAAACCCAAGAAAACCATGTTGTCAAATACCTGAATGTTATAGTATAGCAACGCAAACTCCAACTCCTGGTGTTGTCACACTAAGTCCAAAACCATACACTGGCCCAGTAACACCAACCCCAACACCAAGTGGGACACCAACACCACAACCAAAACCAACACAGCCAACAAGTGAGTAGATTTTCTGGATGTTTTTTCTGTTCACTATATACATTGTGTGGCATAAGGAGTTTAAGTCTTGGGATTTTGGGGTTGAAAGCACTTTTTACTATATTTCATCATGCAAAAGTTTTTATTTATATTATTTCCTCTATATGCCTAAGGCTACTTCAAAAACGACCACCACTAATACAGTTTTTGTCCTCTGAACAGAAATTTTTTGAACAGTTTTTAAAATAAGGACAAACAAATTGTATTTCAAACCGTTTAAAAAAATCAATTTTTAATGGACCATTCCAGTCACTGACTGTAAAAAAGTCTGCTTCAAAAGGACATCTCATTGCTATAGTTATTTATATATATATATTTGTAGATGTGTGTGTTTACAAAGGTGTTCCCTATACACAAGGTCAGAAATGGTTTGATGGATGTGATTTCTCTTGTGTATGTGAAGATGGATCAACTGGAGTATATAGATGCAATAATAGGTATAAACTATTTACTATGTATAAAGTATAATCTTGTTTTACTGCATTTAAGTATGTTCAGAAAAATTTTCAAGTTTTTATGCCCCACCTAGGGGCATTATGTTTTTCCATTCGTCCGTCCGTCCATCTATATTTTAGAGCAGAAGGTACATTCTTATTCTAAATTCAAAGAATCATTATTTGAGGTGCAGAATGCCTTTTTCTGGACATCAGGATATGGCCTATATTTTTGCAGGAATTTGGAATTGGGCCTATATTTTCATGGTAATTTTGGATTTACCCTTATAGGGACTCAGGAATTAATGAATAATTTTTAGGCCCCACATAGGGGCATTATGTTTTTCAGTCTGTGCGTCCATTTGTTCGTCTGTCCGTTCATTCGTCCGTCTGTCCCGCTTCAGTTTAAGTTTTTGATCAAGGTAGTTTTTGATGAAGTTGAAGTCCAATCAACTTGAAACTTAGTACACATGTTCCCTATGATATGATCTTTCTAATTTTAATGCCAAATTAGAGTTTTGAACCCAATTTCACTGTCCACTGAACATAGAAAATGATAGTGCGTGTACTATGGACACAACCTTGCTTGGGATCTGGGAAAAAATGCTTTATTTTTTCAGGAATTCAGGATGACACCCCCTCCTACTGTCCCTCTTATTTGAGATTTGGTGTGTGTATGACTGTTTGAAATAGGGAACCTTGTTGGTTATATGAACCAGTTTGATAAAATCTTACATTATATACAATATTTATTTTAGATGTCCCCAATACATGCAGTCTGACTCAAGCTGTTCTATGCAGCCTGATCCAAAGGACCCACTATGTTGTAAAGTACCAGTTTGTACCCCAAGACCAGATCAGACCACACCTCAATACCAGACAATTCCAACCAGGGTAATTGATGGTGGTCTTGGAACTGTGACACCATCACCCAGACCTAATGTGAAACCAAAACCTGATGTAAATGTCACACCTGTAAAGGAATTTACACCTTACCCATTACCTACGCTACAAACTCCATCAACAGAGATGATGACAGATCCAACACCTTCCCAGAAACCATTATATCTACGTAAGTATATGAATGCATTAAGTATCTTATCAATACCATGCATAGATATAACCAATGGTACCAATCCATACTTAAAGGTCTTTATGGGTTTCTTGAATATAGAAAACTGAACCAAAAATTAAAGAATAGAGAAAAATGTGCCAAAAAAAGAATAGAGAATAACGTGGTGCTTAAATACATAGAATAGACAGTAGCGGGGAAAATAAAGATTTTAAAAAAGGCTTAAAAATTAAAGAATACAGAAATGGAAACATCTCATAATCTAAAAAGATTTTTTGAAAATCAGGCCATCATGACCTACATTTATGCTTGGAAAAGTGATATTTTTCAAAAAGGTTTTTATATTAATTAAATTTGTGTTTTGTTAATTTAAGCCAATAAGTGTGTATACAAGGGTAAAGCCTACAGTCCAGGACAGAAATGGCAAGATGGCTGCCAGTATGATTGTGTCTGTCTAGATGATCAAGGAAACTACAGATGCACAGAAAAGTAATTTCATTATAATTGAAACATTGAGGAATTTACAGCTTTCCATGTTCCATTGTTCAAAACTATAATCATGGTGACAGTTAGATGTCTTTTTTTAATGAACATGTGTAGTTGTGATGCTGCCTCATTGATTCTTATACTCAACATCTCTTTTTCTTATTCACATAAAAAATTCTGTAAACAAATGTAGATGTGGGGTATATGTCAATGAGAAATCAACCAAACAACAAAAATAACAAAAGCTAGGACATCAAGATGGCAGCATACATCTTCAACAATAAGCAAGTGACAACAATATGTCATTATGAAATTATTATCTGTTTAATTTAAAAAATTATTACTATTATTGTGTAAAGACTTTCAGGCAAATTGCCTTTCAAGAATCTAAAGAATTCTGGGTAACTTTTTTTCAAATGTGTATACCAAAAGGTTGTGATTGGTTAAAATATCCTTACCAAATGATATTCAACTAATGATGTGATGTTATTTTTATTTTGGGGTACAAACAATAAATTTACCCATAGTCCTATTGATTCTGAAATGGTAAATTCTAACATTGATCACCCCAATGACTTCCTTTCATTCTGTGATAATGCAGAAATTAAGTTTTGATTTTATTTTATTATAAGTATTTTAACAGGATTATTTGAATATACCAAATCAAGATTGATTAACAAAGTTTTTCTAATTAGTGTTCTTTTTTCAAGACATTAAGTTACATGCAAAATTTTAATTGTATTACTTTTTTTCACCATATTTTGTTTACATATTGGAAAAGTCATTCACAATGACATAAAAACAATTTTTATTTTTGTTTTCTTTTGTTTCAGATGCCCAGCCTACACTAATTTGTCACCAGGATGTCGTCTGGTTATGGATGCTTCAAATCCCTGTTGTCAGAAACCATATTGTCCACCTACACCAACTCCAAATCCATTTACCATAACTCCACCAAAACCACAGACTGTTCTACCAACAAGTAAGTATTGACCTTTGGTCTATAAACATCCAATGTTGATCCATTTTGTTACCTACCTCTACTTAAACTAAGGACAGCCCATGAAATATCATTTGCAATCTTTCAATATATAGGCCATATTTTCATATGTTTGCACCTAAATTGATTGTTGGAAACCTTACAAAAATATAAGACACACTTTTTGTAATATCATAAATAAACCACTGATTAATGAAATACCGTAAAATTTGATAAACAACTGACAGTTAGGATTGATTGATTGATTTTTGGTGATTAACGCTACTTTCAGTACTATTGACAATTTTGTGTCAGTCAGTTGTTATTGGTTTAGGAAGTCAGAATTCCAGGAGGGAACCACGACCATTGGCTGGCAATCCTAGTCAATTAAGATTGGAGTCAAGCGCACCTGCCGGGTTCTAACTCACAACCTCATTGTCGACAGTAGTTACTAAGACAACTCCGCCACCAAGACCCCAATAATGACAGTTAGGCATTTGTTTTTTTTTTGTAGAAAAAAAATATCCTTAAATATATATATATATATATCATTGCAGCATACTGTCTTTACAATGGAGTACAGTTTAAACAAGGTCAAACTTGGAATGATGGTTGTGATCTGCGTTGTATCTGTGAAAATTCCAAGACAGGCTTCTACAGATGTGACGACAGGTAATAATTATCCATTTTTAAATTGGTAATATCAGGTAAAAAGTCATATTTACAAAAAAAGTGCTATCTATGGATTTATTATTATTCAGGGAGTACCAATTTTTATGGATTTCATGGGTACAGGTGAACCATAAATTTAAATGTTCAACAAAGTAGATATTTTCTGTAGGCTTGAATGCAGATGTGCGCTAAACTACGAAAACAAATATCCATGAAAACACAAGTTTTCCATAATCCACGAAAATTAGTATGCACAAAAAATTGGTATGCAGAAAAATTTGTATGCAGGAAAATTTGTATGCAGGAAAATAAATGAATCCACAGTATCAATTTTATATTTCATTGGCAAATTTTATTAGTAATGTTTTGTTAAACTTTCAGTTTGAAAGATAAAGTAGAAAAAGTCAAATTTTGAAAACCTGAATTTTTCTAACAAAGCAGAAGTTATGTTTTCTGATACTTTGAATTGCAAGGGGAGATAAACTTAGGTTGACAATTGTGGATCCTTGTTTCTATTGAATGTAAACATCAAACTATGTATACACTAAAATTTTAGATGTCCACAATGGCCCCAGTTACCACAAGGATGCAGTCTTCAAACAGATCCCAATGATGTTTGTTGTAAGAAACCAATTTGTGTGCCAGATGTCATGACACCACCGTCAACATATGTACCAACTGTAGCTCCAACATTATTTCCAAACCAACCAACACCATCACCACAACCTACACAACCACCAACACCATATACATTTACACTACCTCAGCCAGTCAGAACAGGATACTCAGGTATGCTAGAATAAGATATGGAAACAGCAAATTTTACCCCACTTCATCAGTACTTCAAAGGTCCAATTCAATGGAAAAACTTGGAAATGGAAAAACAAGAACAATTACAATAACAAATGGACATTTTCATGACATTTTACAGATAATTTAAAAAAAAAAAATGGTGCTCATCATGTTTTCTTTGTTTCAAAGTAAGCAGCTTTTTAAAAGACTGTTACAAATTGATAGTACTTATATAATGGAATTAAAAAAGCCAAAACAAATTCAAGTTCCATGTCCTTGTTTTTGTATCTCTGTATTTTTCGTAAAATTAGCATTGGCACCTTTTTATGCTTCCGCCATAGGCGATGGGGGGTATCAAGTGTTACCCTTGACCGTCTGTCTTACCGTCCGTCCGTCCGTTCATCCCATTTTCATTTGTTTGAAGCTTGAGTTTGGACATTTGTGTCCTCGGACACATTCTTCTTTTACTTGTTTCAAAAACTATGAAAAATAACAAATATTTTTGAAGATTTTCAAAAATGGCCTTTTAAACTATACATGATAAAATTATGAAAAGGTAAGTCGGGGCAGTGGGCAAATTTTTTTTATGGCACCACATGGATATAACCAGAGGATTCCAAACATCTGACAAATTAATTGTGGCAAACTTTCCTTGACAGTTTATAAAAATTCCAATTCTTTAGATTAAATTTGTGTCAAGCTGAGAATCATCAAATCTTAATGAAACATTTTTTTCACTTGTTTATCGTATTTATTATTTTTTGAATTTGTTAAAATTGTGAATTTTCCTTTCTGTGGAATCATTCCAAGAATATAATTTCAGGTTTTATGTCTTGAACTTACCATTGTTTATTTTATGCTAGATAATTGTATGTACAAGGGAGTCGCTCATACTCAGGGACAGAAATGGGACGATGGATGTTCACTGGCGTGTGAATGTCTGGATCAAAAGACAGGAAGATATCGCTGTCAGAGCAAGTATGTATACCAGGTTTATTGTGAATCAAATATTTTTTATTTGAATTTATTTAAGAATGTTACCTCCTTTCTCAATTTCATATGATAGGTGTATTGTGCAAGGGAACATCAATCCTGTTGTGTTAATTGTTTGAGGTTGTTACCTTTTTTTCCCCCTTGAATTATTTAAATTTGAATTATAATAAGTATTTAAAATAATTTTTAGACAATAAGGAATTAATAACTGATTAGATTAAACCATGTGTCAGATGGGTGGTGGATATTTGAGGGATAATATTGTAAGATAATATTTGACAACTTAGCACTGACAAAGTACTCACTTTAGTCTGAGTTTAGTAATTTTCATGTATGTACCATGGAATATTATCAGAAATTTACCATAGTATTCCTGTAGGTACCTAAGAATAAGAAATTTTCCTGAAAATGATATTAGTTTCTCTAATTTTTTCACTATTTTCACATTTCCCAACCGATTGTGAAAAAATTGTTCTCCTCTCTAGTGAAATATCTGTTCTCGGCAAAAGATTGGTAGAAATTTAATTATGAGGTCAAATTTTCTTGGTTTCTTCTGAATTTCCTAATGTGACGTCATGAAAAAAGGCAACCATGCCTGATGACGTCACATATAAAGAACACAACTTTTTGCAAATCTTTGAAAAAGAAGGATAAAAATCATTAGAGAAACAGATTCCACCACTATAACTCGTGTATTATGCTATTTCTCCACTCTCAACAGTTAAATTTTAATTATTTAAAAAGCTCGGCAATCCTCGCGCTTTAAATATCAAAATTTAACTGTTTTTGAGTGGAGAAATATTGTAACATACTTGTTGCAGTGGTGGAATCTATATATCCATTAGTTATCACTCCTGAAATGAACTGCATATATACTTTGTGTCATTTTAAAGCTTAGTTAACTTGCATGATTAATTTGGACTGGAAATTATTTCTTATTGTTTGGCTATTTGGCATGCCAGAAAATTGGTTCAACTCACCTATTTCATTTGCTAGTCAGAATTTGACATTCAATTATCATCGACAATTCTTCCAATCATATTTTTTTTCAATATCTAGAATTGGCAATTGACCTGCCAAGTATCCTTCCTATGTTTTACTGTAAATTCAGAAATTATTGCGTGCATTTATTATTGCGATTTTGTCATTTTACACTACAATGCGATTTTAATTTTTGCGATATTGAGAAAAATCCTGTTTAATTCATATTAAATATTTCAAAATGCGAGTTTGAATTATTGCGATTATAACCCTATCGCATTTTTCGCAATAATAAAAACATCGCAATAATTTCTGAATTTACAGTACTTTGATACCCTAGATTTGCGGAGTATATTTAGGGATAATATCACACTAGGTTAATTTATTGTAAGGATTTCTTTTATTGCTTTCAGGTGTCAAGATTACTCCAACTTTCCTAGACCGTCTTACTGTAATTTGGTCGCTGATCCACGTAATCCATGTTGTAAAGTAGTACAGTGTAATCCAACAGCTCAGCCAAGCATATCACCAAGACCAGGAACAACATTACCTACAGTATCTCCTGGTGTCAACCCATCACAATCATCAACACCAAACCCACCACTCTTTTCACCTACCCCATCTCCACAGCAAAGTAAGTATTATATTTACATATTGATCTGAAAGAGTTACCTGCCCTTGTTGATTTGCAAGATTTGTCTTTCTTCTGAGAAGTTAGTCTCAATCAAAAAACCAACACCAAACCCACTGATCTCATCACCTTATTCATCACTACAACCAAATAAGTATATTTACAAGTTCATTTGAAAGAGTTACTTGCCCTTGTTCATTCCAAAGAGTTGTCTCTGTGAGCAGAATCCAAATGGTAAAATTTTGAACTTTGTACATGTATAGAAAAAATATTTCTATGCAGTCAATAAAAAAATTATAAGATAATTATTAATAACACAGAAAGATTACTTTTGCAGATCTGCAGAGCATTTTAACACAGTGTTATGTTTTATTTTGTTCTATATGAACCAATTCTTTTTTGTTCTATATGTACCAATTCTGGAATTTTTAGATAAAAATCTATCTGTCTCCTCATCATCAACCCCACACAAGAAACCAGAGGTCAATAAAAAAAAGTTCAGATGTGCTGTTCCATCAGCATTTTCTAAGACAGCGGGTAGTTAATAAAATGTTGCAGACTTGCGTCTATTTTTAAGACCAAAAAAACCCCAAAGACTGACAAATTGAATAATTAATTAAAGAAAATTGTTAATTTATTTGGTTTTGATAATGCAATATTTGAATAGAAAAATTTAAAAGAAAATCTATCTTAACTTTCTAAAAACATGGTACAATATATTAGTTTTGAATTTGCAGATATATGTGTATATAAGGGTGTGCCATACACACAAGGACAACAATGGTACGATGGCTGTGACAAAGTATGTACTTGTGAGAATGGTATGACAGGTTATATACGATGTCGGCAGAGATGTACAACTTACGACAGTATTGCTGCAGGATGTACAATGGTACCAGATCCTAAAGATCCAGTCTGTTGTCAGGTAGGACATACTGCAAAACCTTAGCTCATATTTAAAGGAATAGAAGCGATATGGTGTATTAATTCATGTCGGACATAAATTCTCTACATGCACTTGAAAAGGATGAAAATAATGGAACAGTTCTTTTATTATTGTTCTTCATCATCATCACATTGGAGGCTATTAACTATTTGTGGTGTGGTACATCTTATTTTTTAACACAGCTCTTCATAAAATGAAAATAGAAATGTTTACATTTTACTGGTTCTCTGAAAGGGGATAAAAGTTTACTTCAAAAAGATTTATTTTTACTCATCAGGAGCCTTTAAAAAACATTGATGTTATCCTGGGGGAGGGGGATACTTCAATCCTGTTGTGGTACTGTAGCTGAGATATCCAACACCCCACCCTTTTTATATATTTTGAATAAAAATATATATATAGCTGTCATGATTAAGTTATTTTATGAAAAGATAAATAAATATGACACAATCTGATGCATTTATGACTGAGATTTTAATCACATCTGTAAAATAGATTGACATTTGATTAGTACTCAGGATTCATCAGCAACCTTTTCATATATTTCTGTTTAACTTCTCGACCTTATCATATATCAGGAAGCTTGAAATAGTGACCTATTCAAGCAGCTCATCCCTACCCTTCATTACATACCCTCCCTTTTCCTGAGATGTTATCATATCCTCGCCTTTGGAAACCTAGTATGAATCATATGCGTCACTTTATAGAGGCAGTTTATGAGTAATGAAATGAAATATCATTTATTTAAGGTAGGTGGGGTTCTCTAAATGTTTGACGATAGATTTTTCTTTAACTTCTGCAAAAGGCTTCTGGGTCAATGTACTTTCAAATTTCAATATAAAAACTGAAGGTCACAGACCTTTGTTTTTTGTTAAAATACATTGAAATTAATGAAATCACAGTTATTTTACATGTTTATATGAGTAATTTAGGGGAAACTTAATTTTTCCTTATTGAGGAAACATTAAAAGAAAGAATTGGTTAAAATTCAATGAGAAAAGTACTTTTCATAAATACTTCTGAAATATTAAATAATGGTATTAAAGTGGGTCACAGGCCTTTTTTCTTGAATAATAAAAAAAACCCATAAAACAACACTTAATTTTTAGCTCACGGGACCCCGAAGGGCCCCATGTGAGCTTATGCCATCACTTGGCGTCCGTCGTCTGTCGTCGTCGTGTGTCGTCGTCATCTGTTGTCATCTGTTGTCGTCTGTCGTCGTAAACTATTTCAAAAATCTTCTCCTCTGAAACTACTGGGCCAAATACCTTCAAACTTTAAATAAATGTTCCTTAGGGTATTTAGTTTATAAATTGTATCCGAAGTTTTGATCCATCAACAAACATGGCCGCCATGGCTAAAAATAGAACATAGGGGTCAAATGCAGTTTTTGGCTTATATCTCAAAAACTAAAGCTTTTAGAGCAAATCTGACGTGGGTAAAATTGTTCAATTGGTCAAGATCTATCAGCTCTGAAATTTTCAGACGAATCGAACAACCCATTGTTGGGTTGCTGCCACCGAATTGGTAGTTTTAACAAAATTTTGCAGTTTTTTGTTATTATTTTGAATATTATTATAGATATATATAAACTGTAAGCAGCAATAATGTTCAGCAAAGTAAGATCTACAAAATTTAATATGACCATAATTGTCAATTGACCCCTTAAGGAGTTATTGCCCTTTAAAGACAATTTTACACAATTTGTTCATCAAGTTTGCTAACATTTAAAAATCTTCTCCTCTGAAACTACTGGGCCAATTACCTTCAAACTTTAATTAAATGTTCCTTAGGGTATCTTGTTTATAAATTGTATCCGAAGTTTGTATCCATCGACAAACATGGCTGCCATGGCTAAAAATAGAACATAAGGGTCAAATGCAGTTTTTGGCATATATCTCAAAAACTAAATCTTTTAGAGCAAATGTGACATGGGGGTAAAATTGTTTAATTGGTCAAGATCTATCGGCCCTGAAATTATCAGACGAATCGGTCAACCCATTGTTGGGTTGCTGCCACCGAATTGGTAGTTTTAACAAAATTTTGCAGTTTTTTTTGTTATTACTTTGAATATTATTATAGATATATATAAACTGTAAGCAGCAATAATGTTCAGCAAAGTAAGATCTACAAAAAAGTTAATATGACCAAAATTGTCAATTGACCCCTTAAGGAGTTATTGCCCTTTAAAAATCTTCTCCTCTGAAATACAAGTGAGCGATTCAGGCTCTTGAGAGCCTCTTGTTTGAAAGTTTAATCTTTACATTTCAAGTTTTAGATGTTTTTGTTGTATATTGAATGAAAATTTTAAACGAAATAATATTTTTGCAACATGCTCAGAAATAGTCACCCCATCTACGTATACCTTAAGTTTATTTATTTTTTGCTTTAGATCCCATCCTGCATACCTCAGGTCCAAACAGTTGGACCCTCCGGATCAACAATATTTTTCACTGGACCAACAGGTAAAGTGACAGGCTTTGGTACTGTTACTCCACAACCAACAACAAGGAGACCAACACCAGGAAATGGACCAACTGTATCACCACCATACAATGTTACTCCTACTCCTAAACCAAAACCAAGTAAGTATATTGATTGACCGTTGGTGATTAACATCCCAGCAGTGCAAAAAGAATAATTCAAAGTGGTGAAATTGAAATGGGTGAAATTTTTATGTGCCTGAGTCTAAATTCCTGAGGAGAGACATAGTTATGCTACAATCAATTGGGGAGGGGGGTCCGCTTCAATGTTAAGGTTGGTTAAAGTTTTCGAACCCAAATTGTAAATAATTTGGTCAAACTTCATGCAGTTTTACAAATTTAGACAGAAACTTTCTTATGATAAAAAGACAGTATCAAGCGTAAAATTTAAAAAAATCTTTTTTTTTCTTTTTCTGTATTTTACTGATATTTTTATGCAGTTTACATTAAAATACAGTCTAAGGTTAAAGTTTTTCAGACATCAGTTACCTTTGTCAAATCTTTATGAATTTTATGACAGAAGATTTTTTATGATCAAATGGTAGTAATAAGTATCCAGAACAATATTTTTTACGTACGTATTTTACTGATAAAACCACTAAGTTTTTTTGCTGTTAATGTGTATTTTACTGATATATTTACTTGGGTTTTTTTTTGGTAGTTAACATTAAGATACAGTCTAAGATTAAATTTTTTTGGATTCAAATAAATTTGTCAAACTTTCATAGAATTTTATTTATCTTTGGAAGAAGCTTTTTTTTTAAATTAAGAAATAATAAAAATTATATAGATTTTTTATTTTAGTTTTTTTATGTAGTTAACAATTACATACAGTCTTGTATTACCCTTTGTATTTTAGACATCACTTTCAAGTGACTTTGTTAAACTTTCATGGAATGTTTTGAAACTTGGAAATAAGCATTTTCATTACCAAGAAATAGCATCTGTAGAAAATGTTTTAATACCTTAGTATTTTTTCTGTATTTCTACTGAAAAATAGACTTAGTTTTGGTGAATCAATATTACACTTGTACACTGACAACAGCCATCCCAAGTCAGACACAGTGTTCTCTGGAACCCTTTACAAAATGTATTACAATAGGTATAATAAAGATCCCATGGTTCACTTACACACAAGCAAACTTATCTTTAATGTGTCAAGTACATAAATTAAATGAAACAAATATATTTTAGATTACTGTGTTTACAATGGTGTTCAGTACAAGACTGGACAGAAATGGCAAGATGGCTGTAAATACAACTGTGTGTGTGAAAATGGTATGACTGGATTTTACTCATGCAAAGAAAGGTGTGTACACTAGGTGGAAATTAATTAGGAAATATACATTTGCAACTAACCATCAAAAGCCTCTAGGATAACCTTGTTAACTGTTACGACCAAAACCATACATATGTGAACCTATTTTTCAACTGGTGATACTAATTTGAATTTTATCAAAAGCTACTCAAAGAATGTTCAATTAACTCAAGAAATTCAACTTCTGTCCAAGTATTTACTAAAAAAGGACATCTGATATAGAAATAAGGAAATATAAAAATGGGGAGATGTGGTATGATTGCCAATGAGACAACTGTCCACCAGAGTTAAAATGAAGTGGTAGTAAGCAATTATAGGCTACCAGAGCCAATTACAACTTTTAATAATGATTTTCCCACAATGCAACACCATTTATGACTATTTCAACTGTTTTATGTTTTGAAGCACACTTAGATTTCCACTAGAGCAATTTTGGACATTTGTCCCTTATGTTAAAGTTTTAGTTTAAGGTAGTTCACCATGAAGATGTGGTCACATCAACTTCAAAGTTAGTACAGACATTCATTCTGATTTGAACTTTGAAAAATGTACGCCAAAATAAGGTTTGACCCTGATTTTACTGAACATACCCATGTGATAGTGTGAGATGGTCATTGTGTCCTATCCAACACCTATTCTTGTTTAGTTTTGAAAGAAGAGTACACTTTTCTGTGAAGCATTTAATTAAGTCTCACACACTATTTCGTATTTGAAATTGGTCATGATTTTTGTTTCAGATGTCCATCTTTCCCAGCAGCTTTGCCGCCAACCTGCTCATTGACACAAGATCCTAGCGATTTCTGTTGTAAAACTGTTGTGTGTGGCCAGAAGACAACACCATCTGTTCCCTTCATCCCACCAACCTTAGTACCAACATACAATCCACTAGAACCAAAGACAACACCTCAGCCATATACAACAAAATATCCTGGACAAAAAATAACCTTTACACCTGCACCAACACCACCAGGTAAAAATTAAATGTTAACTGTAAGTCTGTTGGCAAAGATTTAACAATATTTTTTGCATAGATATTATAATAGTTTTTAAGCAATAGTGGACTACTGTCACCGACACATTGTCTGATCAGCCTAATACTGTATCCAGGAAATTACTATGTCCAAACTATTTCTAATAAACACTTTTTTCAATTCTTCTGTATTGACAAGTTGCAGTCATACAATGTGGATTCATTTATTTTCGTGGATATCAAATTTCATGGATTGAGGAAAAATTTGGACTTCGATCGATGAACATTTAGATTTGTGGCTAACCTTCATTCACCAAATCAACAAAAAATGGTATCCCATGAATAACAATGAATTCACAGTAGTGCTCTGCTAATCATAGTGCTTTATTTAGAGAAATCATCCTTTTTAACTCTCACATGAAAAGATGGGAGACATTTTTTGTGTGTCTATAACAAATTTTACTCACAATTTTATTTTCAGCTTTCTGCGTATACTATGGTGTTCCATACAAACAGGGACAGACATGGGACCAGGGATGTGAGAAGAGATGTCGATGTGACGATGCTACAAATAATTATTACACATGTTTTGACAGGTACTTAATATATCAGAGAAGCTTTATCATTTTTTAAAAAAGAAAGATTACATCTTGGGGATACATTATTTGTAAGGGGTATTTGTTTTTTAAAAGTCAACAAATTGGTTTAATAGACTTGTGAAAATAAAGCATCTAATTAACATGGATCAAAATTCTTAAAGCAGACGACATCTCCTTCATATAGTGGGACAATTTTTATAAAATTTTGTAGTTTCATTTGGTTGAATTGGCATGTTTTATTAAATGCAGAGTAGAAACTTAGATAATAAGACTATTGTTTAACGAAAGTGTTGGCTGTATCCCCTTTAAGTGATAATGTTTTTGAAATACAAAATGATATCAAAGAAATGTTTAGAAAACAAATTCGGATTTAGGACCTATAGTTTTTTATGAAACAACTATATGTTTGATAGTAATTTTTTCTATGAATTTTGCCAGCTAGAAATGTGTAATGTCTGTAAACATTTATTGTGATAAGAATAAAATTGTTTAATGAAACTAATGTCTGTTGTTTAAAGAATAAAAATCAAAATTGTTTTTAAGACTTGTGCCTATTATGAATAATAATGCAATACCCTAAATGAACAATTCTTAGAAGTTTGTCTTGGACAAGGACTTGATACTTGAATAGAATGAATAATTCCCCCCTTTGTATACATTATTGAAAATTTTCAGATGTCCAACATTCCCCAACCTTCCTCCAGGCTGTTCTAAAACAACTGATCCAAATGATGTCTGCTGTCAGATTCCAGTTTGCCCAACTGCAGCACCAACACCACAGCCAACTCCTTATACAGGAGTTCCAACTCCTTCTCCAAGCCCAACACCTTACCATGGTCCTCCAACACCAGAACCAACACCTTACCAAGGTCCTGCCACACCAAAACCAACACCATATACAGGAACACCAACTATGTCACCAAACCCAACAACTTCCAGATATCCAGTACCAACATTACCAAACGGTGTCATCCAAGGTGGTCGACCAACTCCAAATCCATACAGCCAATATACTCCAGCACCATCTAGTGAGTATATAAACAACTTGTACATCATCTTGTTTCAAATCAACCATGTGAGCTTTGCTGTTCATTCGACATCCAATTAAGAGATAACTGTATTGTATTTGAAGCTTTGCGGACGTCCATCGGTAGTTTTACTGTAGCAAATTTAGGTAAACTGATATTTGCGACAGTAAAACTACCGAAGGACGTCCGCAAAGCTTCAAATACAATACAGTTATCTCAGAAGAAACAAATCATTCAATTTTAATCATTATTACATCATAAAATTTTCATTAAACGTAAATTCCACGAAATGATGTTATCTTATTTGGCCCCTAAACTAGGTGACGTCATAGGTATGCTTCCCACGTCAAACGTAAACACCGGGCTTTTTCCGGCTTCTTGTCTGCCTCAAAATGTAATAAAATTTGATAAAAAGAAGATTTCTAGTTGCAAATTGTAAGTTTTTTTGCTTATTATTTGAGAAATTACATGTCAATACATTCCAGAATTCAAAATTTACAGACAGAGAGATAGAGAATTTTACGCTTATTGTCATCCAATCGAAACCATTGATACAAAATAATTGCATTAGAATATCTATTTAAAGTGTTTTGATTGGAGGTAGTAAATATTTGCCTGCAAAGTTCTTTTAACGTCCAATTCTGTGATGATTAGTAGATGTTTCGATAAAAGCAATTATACAATGGCGATGAACATTTCCTGATTAATAGCATTATGTATTAATACATATACACTTAAGACAAATGATACTTTAGGGTTTACTGTTATACAGTATTATAAATTATGGGATATTAATTTTTATGGATTTGTTTTCTTTGTTATACAGGTGAACAACAAACTTAAATGTTCAACAAAATACAAATTGTCTAAAGGATTTTTTGTAGAATTTATTGCAAAAAAAAATAAATTTTCAAAAGTACCCAATTTTTCTACAATCCATGAAAATTTGGACTATTGAAAGTAGCCTTTGTTAGTCTTTGTTAGTCTTGTATCATTTTTAATTTTAGTTTCTTGTGTATAATTTGGAGTTTAGTATGACGTCCATTATCACTGAACTAGTATACATATTTGTTTAGGGGCCAGCTGAAGGACGCCTCCGGGTGCGGGAGTTTCTCGCTGCATTGAAGACCCATTGGTGGCCTTTGGCTGTTGTCTGCTCTATGGTCGGGTTGTTGTCTCTTTGACACATTGCCTATTTCCATTCTCAATTTTACAGTTTATACCTTGAATAACAAATCATGGTTTTATGTTTTTGTGGACTAATATATCATGGTTTCATGTTTTTGTGGAGTTATATATCATGGTTTCATGTTTTTGTGGACTAATATATCATGGTTTCATGTTTTTGTGGACTAATATATCATGGTTTTATGTTTTTGTGGACTTACATATTATGGTTTCATGTTTTTGTGTTGAACCTAAGGGATAGTAGTGTATATTTGTATGTGTAAGTTATTTTTTTTTTTGCAGAATACTGTGAATACAAAGGAGTGCGGTATTCCACTGAACAGAGATGGCGGGATGGCTGTGATTACAACTGTGTTTGTGTTGATGGAATGTCTGGTCTTTATCAGTGTACTCAAAGGTAATGTTGATGAATGTCATGTGTAAATTATGGTTTACTTGCAGCAGAATTAATGATGTACTGTAAGTTCAGAAATTATTGGGAGGTTTTTATTAATGTGAATAATGTGACTCCTTGAGTATCGCAATAATAAGAACTCACATTTTGATATCTTGTACATACATCCGAATGTAGCTTTTCCTAAAATCGCAATAATTAAATTTGCATTTTTGTTCATTCTTCAAAAATCGCAATTATAAATGCACGCAATAATTTCTGATTTTACAGTATTTATTGATCAGTTTTCTTAGCAAAGGGTTAATCCTTTCAGATTATAACAAGAGCTCCGAAAAAAAAAGTTAAAGCTGTTGAAATCAGAACTCCTCTCATTGAACCTGTTGCTTACTGTGGATTCATTTATTTTTGTGGGTACCAGTTTTCGGGGATAAAGGAAAACTTGCGTTTTTGTGGATATTTAATTTTGCAGTTTTAACATAAAAACTGCATACAAGCTTATAGGAAATTTGAACTTCGTTGAACATTTAAATTCGTGGTACCCCTATACCCACGAAATCCACAAAAATTGGTATCCCACGAATAATAGTGAATCCACAGCATATGCCGATTTCAACTGTATTAGTTACTGTAAATTCAGAAATTATTGCGTGCATTTATTATTGCGATTGTTGAAGAATGGACAAAAATGCGAGTTTAATTATTGCGATATCAGGAAAATCTGCATATGGATATATGTATCTGATATTATAATGCGAGTTCTTATTATTGCGATACTCACCCAAACGCATTATTCGCATTAATAAAAACCTCACAATAATTTCTGAATTTACAGTATTGCAGCCTAATATTCCACTCATTTTTTCTTAGAATTATGTAGTGAACCAATTGATTTTTTTTTATCATTTGGTTTGTTACTGAAATCAAGACTATCAAAGAAGCTAGTTTGATTGGGTAACCACATTCCATAAGATATTTTTTGTTTTTAAAAAATTATGTTTGTTTGGCAAATGTATTATTATTTAAAAGATAACTAAGTAGATAATGCTATTTTGAACCAATACAATTTGACAGATTAAAAGGAGCAAATTGGAACTTTTTTGATGGTGAAAATTTAGGATAGTTTTATCCTTCAGGCCTGTAGCCAGAATGTCCCTGAGGGTGGGGGGGGGGGGGTCTTTGGGGTAATGATGCTCTGAATTTAATAGTCAAACTTCAATATGAAACTCATCTATAGTAGTCTTTGATAGTACTTTTGTTTTCATAGGGGTTAGGTGGAACCCCACGGGGGGGGGGGGGTCTATTCCTATATGAAGGTATATACATATGTGCCGCTGGAATGGGTGGGTCCTTTTTTTGATACATCAAATATATCAATGGGGTGCAATTTTACCAAGGAAATATATCAATAGGTAGTAATTGACCAATTGTGATATATCAATGGGTCATAATTTTTCAGTTTGTTTGCAACGATCTTCACTGAATGGGTTATGATTTCGCTGTGAAATATATGTATAGGTAGGGATTTCACAAATATTAAATAAATGAATGGGGGTGTTTTTTAAATACCAGCTGCACAACTGTACGCAAAATCCCATGTTGAGACCCCCCTTGTGGAACCCCCAAATGAACCCCTGAATCCTCAGTCCTTTCTGGACACAAGGAAGTATTTAACAAGACCATTTTTTGTTTTCAGATGTCCAAAATTCCCACAACTACCAGCAGGCTGCACCATGGTAACTGACCAGAACGATCCATGTTGTCGGGTACCAGATTGTCCAAAAACACCTGCTCCAACATATGTTCCAATACCTGGTGGTAACTCTAATCCTTCACCAACAGGGGGAGTAACTCCAACACCACAGACTTATCCATTCCTGCCAAATCCTAAAGGTATGATATATCATACATAAATACCAAATATACTAAGTAAAAAAGTTTAGCAACATATTTTAATGACAAAACTTTAAATTCAGATTTTCCAAAGTTGTGGAAGCACCTTTTTAATAATTTTTGGTGGGGTAATCATTACTTTTTATGGTTTATATTCTATGTAACCGTAATCTTTTTATTGATTGTGTTTAGAAGAAGATTTAAAATAGTAAATATTCATTGCTAAACTTTTTTTATTCAGTATATGTTATAAAAGATCATCAAAATCCCTATAAGCACTGGCTAACTATATTTCAACCATGTTTTGTGTGAGTACACACAACATAGAGGTCAGTATTTTTTATAGAAAGTTTATGTATAGTTTTGGTTCCAGTGCAGTAATTAAGACTGCCATCCCTTAAAATGTGTACCCAATTATTCTGTGTTGTGAACATATCCATGATTATGTCAAGATAAGTTATATATTTTGTGTTTTTTAACGCTCACTCTCATTGGGATACTATGGATTCATCATGATTTGTTGGATACCAATTTTCGTTGATTTCCTGGGTATACGGAAACCACAAATTTAAATGCTCAACAAAGTATGCATTTTCTATTGTCTTGTATACAAACTTTGGCAAAACCACAAATTCAAATTTCCATGAAAATACCATTTCCCCTGATTCATGAAAATTGGTACTTGCGAAAATAAATGAATCCACGGTATATACACCACATCCCCCTTTATTTGTATCTTATAGCATATCCATATGTTAAATTTTCCATTTATAACTTTTGTAGAAGTATGTGTATACCAGGGTAAAACATACACACAAGGACAGACATGGTATGATGGCTGTGACATGAAATGTGTTTGTGTCAATCAAAAAACAGGTGTATACAGTTGCTCTCAGAGGTAGGCTTTTTTTCATGAAAACTAATGGCTTGTAAATTGCTTAAGGCCTTGACTAGGAGAAATAATTCTTAAAATTCATAATGAGTCTGTAATAGTCAGTTTATCTTGCTTTTTTAGCATTTGATCCTGGCCCAACCTCCTCTTCCTCTTTGCGTCAGTAAGACTAGGTGTGATAAAATCCACGTGACAATTTTCAAGGGCTGAACCGCACTGATTTACTGTGTATGTGTCACATGGACATTTCTTGCCAGATTTTTATTAAACTTATATCAAAGGTTTAATGGCAATTGATTATTGTTTAAAGAGTTAGAAATATTAATTATATGGAAATTTTCATTGTAAGTACTTTGAAGCCTACATTCCTTTTAAAATATTTACCAAAAAGTTTTAAAGAACTAAAAAAAAAAAAACCCAAAAGTTGACAGATAAATATAATCAAAGCAGGGGACATTGGAAATCTGTTCTTTTAATTTGTTTAAACTAAAAACTTGTCTTTCTTTCAGATGTCCACAGTATGATCAGAATCCTAACTGCATTTTGATTCCTGATCCCTCAGATCCACAGTGTTGCAAAAAACCACAATGTCCATCCCAGAACACAAACCCACCTGTAATTGTTGGAACAAATCCACCTGTATACATAAGTTTTGGCCCAGGTGGTTCATTTACAGGTGGAACCAGACCAACAGCCACACCTCCTCCTAGTAAGTAATGAGCAAATAGTTAGATGCAGTTTCAACTCAAGATATCCTTTAGTTTTACCGTTTTATCAAATACTTACATGCAATTTGAACTCGAGTTATCCTTTAGTTTGATCAAACTCAAGTTATGTTTTAGTTTGATCAACCTCGAGTTATCTTTTAGTTTGATCATTTAACACAACTTCTGAGTTTGTCAGCCATTGCATCGAAGACCAGTAAATTTTTCAGTTCACACAAGATGATTCTGTCAAAATCACTCCTGCACATTCAGGTTTTGAATGAATCACAATCTTGATTTTTTTTTTTTTTTTTTATATTTTTGAAAATTCTATTACAGATTGAATAGTATTGGTTGATTGATAGAGTGATTGATTGTTGTTTGCTTAATGTTCCATTGAAAACGTAGAACTGCTCTTTTTATGCTTTCTGCAAAAGTAGAATTGTCTTTCAATATGGGCATTTTATGTTTAAAAGATACTCCCACAGTGTAATTTTAAATTTACCTCATAGTTAAATGTTATGATATGCTTTGTAGAAGTGTGTATTTACAATGGTAAATCTTACACACAAGGACAAAGATGGCAGGATGGCTGTAAATACACATGTGAATGTGTTAATGCAGATATAGGAATGCATAAATGTATTCAGAGGTAAGTTAGTGCTTAAAAAGAAATAATGTGGAATGATTTATTTAATTTTTGCTTTTGTAAAATCATATTCTATTAATTCAGAAATCGATGCAGAGATTGTATTGGGGAAAATTTTCTACAGAGTATAAATAACATTAAAAAAAAAACAATTGCTTTTCATTTAAACTAAAGATTGGGTGGATCCTGTCTGTGGTAAACGAAAAATATAATTTTCTCTAATTGTCTTGCATTACATTTCAAATTATGTGTATGCATATTAATTGAGTTTAAACAATAAGTATTTTTGTTTTTATTGATATTTATTTCATTTTTGGTACAAGTTTATAAATGTTAGAATTGATTGAAATAAATGTATACAGTATTTTTCATTTTTTTATATTGATGTCTTTATTGGTTTTATCCCTCATTCTCTACATTGAATATTTTTACCAACTTCTACTTAGTCATACTTAGATAAACACAGATCTATTTCATTTTTTAGATGTGCTGATTTGAGCAAGATCCCACCAACGTGTACTCTGAAGTATAATCCTCAGGACCCATGTTGTCCATTACCAAACTGCCCTCAGATATATGTAACACCCATTCCTGGAACCAACAGAACCATCCAACCACCAACATACAATCCTAACATGCCACAGCCTAGTAAGTACCAAATATCTGACAACCAACCTATATATATCTTACATGCCACAACCTAGTAACTATACATTAATCCTAATATGTCACATATAGTAAGTTCCAATAACCTAGCCATCAACAATCATTTAAAACATGCTGATCTAGTTTCTGCAAACAATCAAAAGACTAACCACTAGTCCTATCACACATCCATGTAAATACCAATATATGGTTTGACACAAGTAACAACAAACAAGTAATACCAAACCATCTGCCAATTGTTTATCCTAACAAGCCTGAACTCATTAGTTCAAAAAATCAAACCACTTACCATCACTTCTTGCATGCTATGTACAAATAGTTACTCATCAATTTTTTTATTCTAACTATAGCATGACTCAACATTAAGCACAACCATCAACCTTAAATCACCAAAATAGTCCCAAGAATATGCCATTAGGCATAGGCCTTGAATGTTCCAAAACAGTATATTATAAATTGAAAAGGAACATCTAATTGCCAACTCTTAGACGGTGCAATTCCTCATTAATAGACGAGTATTATCATATCTGCAATAATACTTCCATGAATATGTCATTAAAACTACCAAAATCCTCACTGCAAGAAAATTGGTTCAAGTTGTTTATTAAAATCAGATGAACAAATTTTGACAACTCAAACATGTTTTTCTGCATAAATGATACAAAAATGTATTTCATGGATGTATATGGAAGGAAACAAAAAGTGTTTATTTTTACAATTCTTTACAGAATATTGTGTATATAATGGTATACCATATACACAAGGACAAACATTCAATGTCGGTTGTGAAAAGAAATGTCGCTGTGATGATGCTTCTATGGGTCTGATTAACTGTGATGACAGGTAAGTTACCCTTATTCTAAGCCGATTTATACCTTCCCTGACATTTTGATTATTTTTTATAATCAAGATGAGGTTCTTTTCATCTCAGTTCATCATTGGTCAAAATTCAATTATGGAGTCAAATTTTCCTGCTTTTCTGAAATTTCACATTGAAAGAACACACTGTTTTGTAGAACATTGAAAAAGAAAGATAAAGTTAGTCAACAGATAGTATAAAAATCAATACAGAAACACATTTCACCACCAAATCTTATGCAATACAATATTTTTCCACTTTTGACAGTTAAATGAATATTCAAAATGCTCAGCAAGCCTCATGTTTTAAATTAAAAAAATTAACTGTCTCCTCCAAATTATTCTCCACATACAGATAACTTGCATTACATGCTGTTTTTTTATTTCTGTTGTAGATGCCCTACTTATCCAGCACTACAAGATGGTTGTCAGCTTTTGACTGATCCAAATGACCAGTGTTGCCAGGCTCCATTATGTGTTGGCAAAAACCCCAATAATCCATACCAAGTTATTACAGCTCCTACGGGATCATTTACTGGAGGCAATAAACCACCAGTCGGACCAAATGGTCAAGTTCCACAGACATCAAATGGAAGTAAGGAAGAAGTTTATTTTCTACTTTTTGATATCGGTCTTTCTTTTTGTATCCATCTCCAAACTTGTCCCCCCCCCCCCCCCCCCCCCCCCCCCCAAAAAAAAAAAAGAAGAAAAAACACAGCAACAAAAAAGAAAAACATCAGCTCGTATTATTTTACTATAATTTTATCAAATTAAATAGTATTAAAGCAAACTATGAATGAATAAATGTATAAATGTATAACACCCACACAAAAGCAGTTAATCTTTATTTTGTTTGACATTTAGGACCTTACCTACATGTCTATTCACCATTGCAAAATCTATGGGACTATGATTAATTTTGTTGTGAAAAAAGATGACCTCATTGGTCATATATTTCAGTAATTACAATTTCAATGTTTATTTTAATTCATACCACTGGTTGCAATGAAAAACTGATTTCCCATTAAATAAAAACCGATAATTTCACATGTGAAATAAATCCTATAATTTTACTCATCTGATCATGATATCATGCAAGTTCCTTGCAGTTTTAACTTTATTTCGATCAATGAAAGTCCATGGTCAATGTAAAAGAAGAGTAATGTTTATTTTGATATCTTTGACAATGTTTTTTTACAGAGGCATGTGTCTACAATGGACAGTCATACAGACAAGGACAAAAATGGAAAGACAGCTGTTTATTTGAATGTGAATGTTTTGATGAATCGACTGGACGTTACAGATGTTCTGAAATGTGAGTTTAAATCTTATTCATGGGAGTAATAAATTCTGTTTTTCCTCTTTGAAAATTCTTAAAATGAAAAAAAAAAAAAAAAGGCAAAAAAATGTTCTAACAATGTTACAGAAATCATGGATAACAGAGTACTCAGCCAAAATTAAAGATCAGAATCATGCACTTTTAAAAGGATATTGAGAGTTTGTTTCTTATGCCCAAAAATTGACAAAAGGTAAAAAAGAACAAACAAATACCATTCCAAAAAAAATACATGTAAATCCAAAGATTGAGCAAATCGAACCCAATCTAACACAGGGTGTTAACTACTGAATAAGATATCACAGCTAGAAATATTGTCTTACGTGAGAACCTCATGCAAACATGTCCTTAAAAGTCTTTTATTTTATAAATTTTGAAATTAAGAAAATAAGCGGGTTTTCTTCTTTTCAGATGTCCAAAATTCCCACAAGTTCCTTCTTACTGTACCCTTGTACAAGATCCAAAAAATACTTGCTGCCAGACAGTTTACTGTCCAGTACAACCAACTCCAGGTCCAAGTCAACAACCACCAAGTCCAGGAACATATATTACCCCAAAACCAACACGTAAGTTTTACAAAATAATGAATACTTTCAAATTTTAATGCTGTCGTCGTAGTAAATAGTTAGGATTTCTGTTTCTACTTTTTATGCCAAGCATACAATTGTAGAGGCATATTTCGTTTTCAATTCTGGTTGTGCTTGTGTCCCTCCATCCATCAGGTTTGTATCAGGTTTAAGTTTTGGTTTAAGGTTAAAGTTTACACCCCTGATTTTGTTGTTCACTAAATATGGAAATGAACACATATTGTTGTGTTATTTTGTATTGCATATTCTCATGAATTGCCTAAATGGTGTATATTTCAAATCAGTTTTAGTTTTAAAATATTTTTCTAAAATTAAGGGAGATAAATTCATTTGTGTGAGAAACGAGCGGGAAAAATTCCTACAAAAACAGTAGAACACTAAAGTTTTTGGACTGCAAATACCTTTAACACAACACTTTCCATTGTTTTCCAAACAAGATTTCAATCATATAAATCAATAATTATGAATCTTTGTGTTTGAGCTTTTGATTTTGCCATTTGATAAAGGACTTTCTGTTTTGAATTTTCCTTGGAGCTCGGTATTTTTGTTATATTTACTTTTTTCTGAACAAAATCATTTTATTTTTGCAATAGATAGTTTTTATTGATTTAGCCCCATACAAAAATAAAGAAAAAAATGAAACTGATTATGTTTAAGAAAGGAATGAATAAATGAAAACTGTAATTTCAGAAATTATTGTGTGCATTTATTATTGAGATTTTTGAGGAATGGACAAACATGTGAGATTATTTATTGTGATTTCAGGATAATTGCATATAGATATATGTATCAGTTATCATAATGCAAGTTCTTATTATTGCGATACTCAACCAGTGGCATTATTTGCACGAATAAAAACCTTGCAATAATTTCTAAATTTAGAGAATGTAAAAATTCTTAAACTTATTTTAAATTTCAGCAATCTGTTTGTACAATGGCGTAGCATACAGACAGGGACAACAATGGTATGACGGATGTGATTTGGTCTGCAGATGTGAAGATGCAATGGCAGGATTCTATCGTTGTCAACAAAGGTAAAATACTATTCATTGTTATTACATTTTACATAAAGCAATTTTTTGCAAGGAATAACATTTTGCTGTGGGAAATACAGATGATTGAATGAATCAACACATATATGAATACTGTACACCAACTTATTTTCATGAATACTTTGTTTCGTTTTAATTTCTTTCTAGCCAACCTCACAGTGATTTATTGTCGCTATTTTATTATTTTCTTGATATATTTCTATAAGGGGAGATCCAAGTTTCACATATTCACATTATTTTCTACTCAAAATTCGCAAAAATAAATCGCTCACGAAAATTAGTTTGTTAACAGTAGGTCTCAAAATATTTACTCGCCAAATATTATTCAGGTATCACATTACACAGACTTTGACTTGATATGATAGAACAGATATGTGTTGGATGAGCACCTTGTTAATTTGGCTGTGCAGGGCACACATAAGTTTTTATGAAATTGCTTGGCAGATGAGACCAATAGATGAAAGATTTTCATGTTTTAATCCCAGTTGGCAGCAAATAGAGAACAGTATAACCATACTCAATTCCAAAAAGTTAAATATTTATTGCTAGTGTGTTTATCCATGATGATTTGAAATAATAAGATGTCAATGAATACTTGAGTATTGCTCATTAGTATAGAGTATCGAATACCAAAATAATACTCAATTAATCAGTTTCCTGTGAACATTGCCCCTTTCTCTCTCAAAAAAAGATTTTTCCGGAAAACGCTCCTCGGAGAATAAAATAAAATCACTTAATAAAAAAATGGTTAAAAAACGTTTTGTATGTTTGCTCGAAATAGTACATGTAATAATTGAGCAATTAGTTATGTCTAACATAAATTCCTTGATTTCAGATGTAAGAGTTACAGCAATACACCTTCATATTGTACTTTGGTGCCTGATCCAAAAGACCCTCAATGTTGTACAGTTCCACAATGCCAACTGATACCAGATAATGCCACACCTACTCCTGGAATCTTCACTCCCCCAGTACCAGTCTATGGGTCATTTACTGGCAGTGCTCCAAACCCAACACCGCAACCCACTCCAGCACCAACCATGAGACTACCTAATGGACAGATTGTCACAGTAACTCCTCGACCAGGACTGCCGACACAACCAGCACCAACTCCTCAGCCAGGTAAATAGTTTAAATAAAAAGGGAACAGTTTTTTGTGATACAAATTGTTATGTTTTTAATTTTCACAATCAGGTTAGCAATAGTATTAGCCCAATGTAAGTTGTTACAAGATATAAATACCACACCCACTCCTCAACTGAAATCTTTCAAGTACTGATTAATTTTTTTACATGGATTCAGGCAAAATTATGATTTAAGTGGTTATTTGATTTTGTGGTTTTGCCAAAATATGCAAACATACTCAAGTTCCTAACTGTGACTTTGAAATGAAATACAGCAATAAAAGTACTGTTCCTTTGCTTTTTGTGTTTTTTTACTCTACACATACTGATTTTGTGTCATGGATGGATACCCTATATCCTTTCTTTTCCACTATAGTAAATTTGTACTTCATTAAACATTTAAAATCGTGTTTTACCTATAAACCCGAAATCCACGAAATTTGGAATCCCAGGAATAATAATGAATCCACAGTATTCAGAGTGTTGTTGCAGTCTTTTAAAAACTTGTTGGCATTTTATATCAAAGTTGTTCAAGTGAAACAACCTGCTTCTGATGACTTTACCAACACATGTCTTACCTAAGCAATTCACACAGCTATCACCTTTTGAAAAAGCTGTTGCAACAATATTAAATAGATTGAACAACTTTCTGAAAAATGATCAACCTAAAAATGGCTCCTGTTGTAATGGCAGGACTGTATTCTGATGAGAGGTTATTTAATGTTCATTTGGAACTATTACATGCCTTCGAAGGATGAGAACATGTTAATATCATTTGATTATCAACACTCTTGAGCTTGGTTATAATGATGCTAGTTCACAATCTATAAGTATGCAGGATGACATGTCACCCTTATCAGACACATTACTCTGACTTTAAGCTAGCCAGTATTTGCACGTATTTCAATGTGTTGCATGCATCGTGGAGAAGCAGCTTTTTCTAGTTTTAAAGTCTTAGATTTAACCTGTTAGGGAATCAAACAAATCAACTCTCACGATTGTTGCAAGCTCTCTAAGACGAGTGTGGGAGGTCATGGATTCAATCCCCAGCTGAGTCAAACCAAAGACTTTAAAATTGGTATTTGCTGCTTCTTGGCTAAGCATGCACAATTTAGGAGTAAGAGCAGATGGGTCAGCCCTGAGTTAGAAAATGTGACTGGGTAGGATGACATGTCCCCTGTGGACTGTTACCTTGAGAACTAGCACTTAAAATCCTGCTCAGCATATCAGTCTAGCACAAAGCAGGGTTCATATTCATATCACATCAACATGTTCTTGCCCTGAATATGCATTTGATTTGCCACTAGAGGTTTAACAACCATCCATCCATCTATCTAAGAGGACACTTCCCAGAGAGTAGAATAAATTCTGTATCAGGCTTTTAATGTATATAACTCACTTTTTTCATACCTTTTATATCACCCCTTTGAGATATAAATCTTACTGTAATCAGTATCAAGAAAGATTTTTCATTTAAATGTGTGAAATTTTGTTGTTATATTGAAAAAGAGTGATGTCAACATTGATTGATTGATTTGTGTTAAAGCCACTTTTAGTGCTATTGGCTATTTAGCATGTTTAGTGGAGATCAGTTTTTATTGGTGGAGGAAGCTGGAGAAAACCACAACCTTTTGCAGGAAAATTGATAATCGTAGTCAGTTAAGATTGGAGTTGAATGCACCTGCCACATGCAGGGTTGAAACTCACAATATCATGTTGACAGGCTAGTGATACAGTAGTTGGACTACTAAAACTACTCGGCCACAAAGGCCCCTGATGTAAATATGAAGACGACCATAAAATCTACACTAAAAAGTCATGGGCTGCGATAGTGGTACAATACTGAAGGCATCAAAGGTTTATACATGTATGTTTTATTTCAGGTTGTTTCTACAAAAATAAATCCTACAAACAGGGACATACTTGGGATGATGGCTGCCAATACAGATGTGAATGTGTTAATGAGATGATTGGACAATACAAATGTACTGAAAGGTGAAGGCAATTGTTTCTCCCCCCCCCCTCCCCCCCCCCCCCCCCCCCCAAAAAAAAAAAAGCACTCCAAATAACTCAAAAAACAAAACTTTTCTGACCTCATCTAACAAACAAACTAACAAACTAGGCAATTTTTTAAAGAGAAATTTTGAGATAATTTCATTGTTGGATTTTAGCAATGTCCTTTTTGTTGCTGTCTGATCTTAAATCAATTAAAGTGTTACCACTTTTGTAAGGCTTGTTGATGGAACATTTAGCTGTAATATGTCATTTGGTATCATCTGCCTCTCTTTTTAAATGACTTATCATTATTCAATTAAGAATGAAGTTGTCAGATTTAAGATTTTAAACATAAATGTCTTTTGATACAAGTGTCAAATGCCTCTAACTTAAAGCACCTGAGATCACCCCAAGTTTTTGATGGGGTTTGTGTTGCTTAGTCTTTAGTTTTCTATGTTGTGTCATCTGTGTTATTTATTATTATTATATTATTTATATTATTATTTGTCTGTTTGTCTTTTTATTTTTTGCCATGGCATTGTCAGTTTGTTTTCGATCTATGAGTTTGACTGTCCCTCTGGTATCTTTCGTCCCTCTTTTAAAACCTCAGTTGTGTAATTATTTACCTTTTCTTATTTTATAGATGCCAGACTTATCCTAACCTACCACAATTCTGTACATTGATTCAGAATCCCAAGGACAGCTGTTGTCCAGTGCCTTACTGTGACAAAGTTAACCCAACTCCATCTCTACCAGCAACCTATCAACCATATCTCCCAAGTACAAACAATCCATTGTTTGTGAACCCAGAAACCAATCCTCCAAAGACAGGCCAGAATACTCCATCACCATTTGGAAAGTCTGGTGAGTATAAATGTTGTTGTAAAATGTTATAAAACACTATAACATCATCTTCCTATGTTACCATCTTATATTAGTACCGTTGTGCAAATCTTTTGATTTATATAATTTTTTCCTTATCTGTGCAGTATTGTCTATTCTAGATGATCCATTACATATTAAATCTGCTGGTTGGTCCTTTTTATAGACTTCTATATAGATATATTAATTATCCACCAGAAATTATTGCTTCTTACATAATTCTTTTAAAAGTTTTAATTGAGGAGAGTAATCATTTGGTAATTACATCAACAATATGTATTTTGAAGTGACTCACCTGGGCCAAAGTTGGGAAGTGGGAATCAGGGATCTTCCTGCCCACTATGATTGTTGATAAGGGATAGGGATGGTGATGGGGAGATAACCGGGTTGTATGGACTGATTCCTCACATCAATAAACTAATGGAAAATTATGCTAAGAAAAATGCTGCAAAACTTATAACAATAACCACCATCAACATGTTGTCAACTTTTACAAATAATAGAAGAGAAAAGTTGGAGAAGTTGGTTATGACCAGAAAGTTGTTTTTTAATTTATTTAGGATATTGTGTATACCAAGGAGTATACTACAGGCAAGGACAGACTTGGAATGATGGCTGTGAAAAACGTTGTAGATGTGATGATGTAACCACAGGCCTCTACAGCTGTACACAGAGGTAAGATATTAAAGTATGAAGTACATTCATATGGAAAAATTACTTCATGATAAAATTCCAAGCATTCAAGAAAATGTGGAAGTACAATTATTACAAGTAGTTCTTTAAACACAAGTTCTCTTGTAAATATCAAATTAGTTTGAATTTACAATTGATTTTAAATTCTGTAGTTGTAAGATTGACAAAGCCAAAGCTATGAAGAACAAAGATCAGTAAAAACATCACTAAAAAGATGGGGGGGGGGGGGGGGAGGGGGTTGGAAGGCACTTTATATTAATAATACATGGGTGTCAGAGCAACTTTTCTCACTTTAATGCACTATGATTCTTAATTGCAATTGCCCCTACATATTTTTCTGGAATAGCCCTTGAGGGATCTATAGCCGGAAAAATAATATAGACACCTGTCTTTTGAAGGCACATATTGGCTTCTTGATTCTTTTCCTTTTTTCTGTGTTTATTGGTTACTGTCTCATTGATGTTAACCCTATTTTTCTTATTCAACAAATAAAAGTACTTTTTATGGTGATCCATATTTTTCTACGGAACACATCTACTATATTTTATTTTACAGATGTCCAGTATTCAACAATATACCCTCATCATGCACTTTGGTTGCTGACAAAAGTGATCCATGCTGTACCGTACCTCAATGTAATCTTTTCCCAAGCACTGCAGTATACACCGGAACAGGCACACCACCAACAACTGCCAGACCAAACATCATTGTACCTACTCCAATTCAGGGTGCTATTACTGGTCAAGGAACTATTGCTCCTAACAATCCCCTTGTGCCTAACTACAACCAGTTTGCTGGAAATGGAACAGGTAAATTTATTTATATCTTTGGTTTAATGCATTAAAAACACATTCTTGAAAAAGTTTGCCCAAAGAATCAATAACTGATTATAATTTTTTATTTTTTGAATGTTGACCATATGAATAAAAGGAGGCAATTGTCCAGGTGCCAATAGGTAAAAAAACTATAGTTAAGATCACCTGAAGTAAGCTTTTTCACCTTGTGTAATATCAAATTTAAATACCTTACAGTTGTTTTAAAAGCTTGAAAAAGATTTTTCAAATTGAACTGACCAGATATAGGAAAATAATTTAAACACAGGGTGTTTTTTTTTTGTCATAGGATAATTTAAATCAGATGTAGTACAATTTAACTTGCCATTTCCCATTAAAGGTGAGCTTTGAGACTAAATAGTTAAGGTTTCATACACATTACCTCTTAGTTACAAAAATCAGTAAATAAATTATTTTATGTTTTAGAACAATATTTTGTAAGAAATTATAATGTTTATTTATACTTTAAAAGACCTTATGAATTTTTGGTACAGGCAAAGTATATATGAAATAAACAAATTCATTTTCTTACCAGGTTATTGTGCGTACAAGAGTAAGACCTACACTCAGGGACAGAGATGGGACGATGGATGTAATTATAGATGTCAGTGTATTGATGCCCTTAGAGGTCGTTACAAGTGTGATTACAGGTAAGGCCGTACAAAAGGTGAAAGGTCATGATAGAAGATACCATATGTTCAATTCACCGTTTCAGAATGTAATGCAGTCTGGGTAATATTTTAAAAGCATACACCAAAACTTTGTGATTGGTTTAAAACCTACTAAACAATGGAAATTCAACCAATGACATAACGTTATTTTCATTTTGGTGTACGAACAATGAGATTACCCAGAGTCCTTTAGATTCTGAGTAGGCGAATGGCAGCTGAAGTCTGTATTAATCATATGACTCTCATTGCAAAAACTCTTCTATCTATTGGAACTTGATCAGAAAAATAATGGTTACACAAATATAGATACATGCCAATGGGATGTTCATTAAAATTAAATTTAATATTTTCTATGATGGTTAACCCTTTTTTAGGAGTAAAGATTGCACTTACTGCAGTCAAATCCCTATATTTACTGGCTGGTTAGCTATATTTCTGCCATTTTATACCTGTTTTTTGTGATAAAGCAGAGCATTTTTTTAGATCCTTCCCAGTTCATTTGAAGCAATTTATGAATAATGTATGCCCAGAAATTAAATATTCAAAAAGAATGATTGTTTAATATTACAGATGTCCACAATACTACAATCTGCCTGCTTATTGTACCTACCAACAGGATCCAAATGATGCATGCTGTCGTAAACCCAGATGTGATCCAAGTCAAACTGTAACACCATATCCAACTACAAATGGACCTTCAATTACTCAAGGACCAATAACACCAAAACCATTTAGTAAGATTGTAATAAGATAGAAAATAAGATGTGATGAAATTTTTTATAGTTTAAGCCACATAGAACTAATGTTTAGATTCTCATCCATTTTTCCAACAATAAAAAATTCAGTAAAGTACGGAGTATTTTTACTTTTCATTTTTTGCTGATTTTGATGATACTGACATTAGTTTTTGAAATTGAAAATGATCAAAGATATACAGGTAAAAAAACTGAGGCTCGCCTATCTATTAATTCCAGATGTCAATCATGATTACAATGCTTGAGCAAACATTTATACAAACAAAGCAAGCAAGTCAACCAAACCTTTAAACTACAAGCTTTAGGAACAGAGCTCTAACAGTCAAGTCAGGACAATACAATCGTTTGGAAGCCCTGGTTGGATGAGTGAATATTCTGTAAAAAATGTTGACTTAATGATATAAAAGGGAGATAACCTAAGTCATGCATTAAATTGCCATATATACCATTATTCAAACTAATAAAGACCTCATGGTCCCTTATTCTCTCTGCTTAATGATGGAGTGAGTGTAGAGAGCAGAACGTAATTCCTGGATAGTTCTGAATATAAATCACACTAATTTTGCCAATAATCAAAAGTCAACATTATGCAATAAATGTTTTGTTGGAAAAATAAATTATAATTTAGTCCTGCCTGAAACAATGTTTAGGACAAATGTATTACCCTAATGAAATGTCTTTTTAATAAAAGTTTTTTTATACTAGTGTGCTGAAAAAGCTGTGATTCCATATATGTGCCTGATAGTAAGGTGTTTGATTTCTCCACACTATTTTAATGAAACAGAAAGTTATTCACTGTTGTTGGATGGTAAGAATATTTTGATTACATTGCATTTGCTTTATACTAAAAACAACCAAAAGTCAAATTATCATGAATTATTTTTACAATTTTTTTTTTACAGATATGTGTGTCTACAAGGACAGGACCACACATGCACAAGGATCAAGCTGGGATGATGGTTGTAACCTCCACTGTACATGTGAAAATGCTACCATGAACATCTACCAATGTCAAGCCAAGTAAGATTACTTACTGCTTTTTACCTTTTGTTTTATATCTATACAAAGATATCTACAAATTCTGGTGACATAGATTCTTTATTGTTAGGAAGAACAAATCAATTTGAAAACAATAACAAAAAGATCAACTAAGATTACATTCACCAAAAAAAATATAAATGCACATATATGAGACAACATTCCAATATAATATCTAATACTGTCAATTCAGAAATTTTGTTGATGCTTTTATTAATACAAAAAATGCAACAGTATCATGTTCACAATAATAAAACCTCTGTTCATAATTTCAGTGGTGATTTTCCTTCATAAAATTTTTGCAGTCCCACATTTTTACCAGTAATCAGTGATTCAAATAATAATTGCATCAATTTCTGAATTTACTGTAAATCAAAGAAGAAAATTTTGTATTATTGATCTTGACAACTGCAGGAAGCTTTTTAAAGATGAACTAAAAAGCTGATATCTGACAGTGAGGTCTAGACAGCTCCTATGATTTACTTCTAGTGGTAATCTTTGCTATGAATTTAGTGATAATTTCTACGTACTGTGGATTCATTTAATTTCATTGATACCAATTTTCGAGGGAAAATTGTATTATTGTTGATATTTGATATCCTGGTTTTGCTAAAGTCTGCATACAATTATATAGAAAATTTGTGCTTGGTTGAATATTCAAATTCGTGGTTTACAAATACCAATGAAAACCACAAAAATTTGTATCTCACGAATTATAACGAATTCACAGTAATAATTTTAATGAAGACGTCAACAAAGCATATAAAATGGTGAAGTTGTCTTACAAATTGAATGAAAAATCACCAAATTAACAAAATACACATATGACAATATTTTGATTATATATATACTTTTTAGATGTAAATTGTTCCAGTCGTTACCAGCTCAATGTAGTTTGGTAACAGATCCCAGTGATGGATGTTGTAAGATTCCAAGATGTGTCGCCACGGGAACCAACATTCCATTGAACCCAATCTACAACACATTCAATGGGTCATCTAATGTAAAACCAAAACCAGGCCAACTGAACCTTGTTCCAGTGGGACAATACGGTGTGATATCTGGCACTAACTGGCAAAGACCAAACGGAACTACTTATACTGGAGTTGGAGGAGGAGGTATTTATATAGATTCTACCATTCCATTGAGTGTGATACCATATTTCACCACTCGAGACAGTTAAACTTTCAAATTTAAAACGCGAGGCTTGCCTAGAGTTTTAAATATTTAAAATTTAACTGTCGAAAGCGGAAGTATATCTTAAGATTTGGCGATAGAATCTGTTTCTCTGATAACATTCAGAAGAAATGCAGACAAATTTAATCCTTCTTTTCCAATGATCTGCTAAAAGATGTGTTCTTTCTATGTAACGTCATCAGGCATGGTCACAATAGGAAATTCAGAGAAAAGCAAGAAAATTTTACCACACATTGACTATTAAAATAAGAATAATCAACAGGAAAATTATAAATCAGCTAAGAATTAGAGAAACTATCTTATCAACACATTATGTTTAAGAAAAGGGAGAATCCAAATGTAGGTAGGGTGAGGAAAGACGAAAGGGATGCAGAGTTTTGATAAATGTTTTATACCCTGTCTAATGAAATAGGGGGCTTTATGATTTCTGGTCCGGTCCTCTGTCCATACCATATCAGGTTAAGGTTTGGGGTTTAGGTAGTTTATCATTAAGTTGTGGTAAAATCAACTTGAAAGTTCATTATGATGCGAGATTTTAAATGATAAGCTAAATTACTGTTTTAAACCCTGATTGCATGGTTCAAAGAACATGAAAATTTGCAAGGCATATTGTTCTTTTGACACATACTGTTGTTCCTTTCCTGTTTTTTTCACCCCTTCTAGCTATAGAATTTATAAAAAACAACTCAACACCAAGCATATGAAAATTTTAAACCCTCTTCCAAAAGAGTGTTGTCTTGTCTGTCCATCCATCCCATTAAATTGCTATTGGATTTCTCACACGAACTTCAAATTATACATTTCTGAAATTTGTTATCACACTTTATGTCAGCATGATATACAATGTGTCACGGTTTCAGATTTAAAAAAAAGTTTTTTATCATTTCATTGTCATTTTTATCATCGTCATCAGAGAAGAGAACAGGTCTAATGAGTGCTTGATTCTGTTCGTCCTAAGCACATAAAAGGTAACCCCTTTACCGGACTTGTCAAACAGCTTTTTGTTTTTGCCAATAAAACTAGTACTGTATTGAAATTGTACGATTGTAGAGAAGGATGTTATACATCTGCCAATAAAATAAAACTAACACCGCTGAAATTGTACAACTGACTAGAGAAAAGTGCATAAAACTCATAGTGTCTTATATGTTTGACTTTTTACAGGATTTGGAGCCTGTGTATACAAGAATAAGGTGTATAATCAAGGACAGTCCTGGGATGATGGATGTGATTACGTCTGTACCTGTGAAGATGCAACTAATGGACAGTATAGATGTGTAGCAAAGTAAAGATTTATTCACATTTAAGGATGTTTGCTCCTGTTTCAAAATAACAACCTTTTTGAGAAACTGTTATGAACTGATAGTATGTGAATAACGGAACTTAAAAAGCAGAAAAAAATGAAAGGTCCATGTACTTTTATTTGAGATATATTCAATTAAAGAATTTGAGGGAAATGATTCTCATTAGGCTTTTCCTACATTTAACATTGGTATCTTTTTTTTTCAAAAGCTATGAAAAAAACAAGAATTTCATAAGATTTTAGAAAATGGCATTTTAAACTATATGTTATAAAATTATGAGAAATAAAGTATGGGTTAGCTGGCAAAATTTTCATTGGCATTATGTGGATAAAACTAGAGGAATCTGAATATCTACCAAAAGTTAAAAAAAACCAACAAGAGTAGCAAATAGAATATTTTTTTTAGTATATATATTTACCATGTATATACCATATAGTTATGCAAAAATATTAGTACAGTTAAATCTACTGAAAAAAACTTGATGGCCATATTTGTGTCTGTGGCCCTTTATCTCAGTAAATAGGCCTTTTAAAATATTTGTAATTAATTTAATGTAAGATGTGTTCCTTTCCAAGATATGGCTGAAATATTTGCCCTGAATATTGGGCAAACAACATCAATGTATTTGTTGAGCATATGATTTTGATGTTTTTTAGTACCCGTTTAATTTATTCCATTTCTCCTTTTCAGATGTCCTCAGCTTCCTGATTCACTGCCTAGCTACTGTACCAAAATATCAATCCCGGGTCAATGTTGTGCTAAGCTTAAATGTGATATCCCAGGGGTATCATATAAACCACCAGGTGAAGTCATTGCTACATCAGCCCCCTTCATTAAGGTCACAGGTACACCAAGTGGTATAATTAATGTAGGAACACCTAAACCAACTGATGCTCCAACTTTACCAGGAGGAGGCTTCCCAATCCTCCCTCAACAGTTTTCGGAAATCAGAAGTAAGTCTCTCTTATATACTGTGGATTCATTTTTTTTTTTCGTGGATATCAATTTTCGTGGTTTTAAGAAAAATTGTAGTTTCATGGATATTTGATTAAACAACATCTGCATACAAACCTATAGTAAATTTATACTTCGTTGAACCTTTAAATTAATGAATTTGGTATCAACAGTAGAATACAAATTTACAGCAGTATTGACAAATCTATAAATGTAGAATTTATTATGATATCGTTGAACTATGAACAGAAATGCAAGATTTATTATTTTGATTTCAATAAATGCTGAACACGTATAATGAGATCATAAATTACAATGCAAGTTCATATTGATATGATACTAATCAAGCTGCAAAGTTAGAAAATCATGAAAATGAATCGTCACAAAATGGCTAGAAACGGATAAATAAGAAGATAAGTTGGTTTTCAGTACACATACTATTTATCTTTAGCATTTCTTAAACCAGTGAACATAATTTAAATTTTCTACTTTATTTCCAATAGAAATTCCATGGTTCAATGTAATAAAATAACTAATCCAAGAATTAAGATATCGACAAGTATTCAACTCGTGAACAAACAACACTGGTAATTAACTCATGCCCTACATGCATTCGTGAATTAATGTGTTGTTCGGTCACTCATTGAATATTTTTTTATTATTTGAATTCTTGGATTAGTTATTCTATAAAGATTCGTCTGTAGAATCGAAGAATTCATTGTATAAATGGGCCATTTATTATTACATTTTAATTTCCCCAGGTCAATGTGTATTCCATCGTAAAGCTGCTAATGGTCAACCAGAAAAATATCTGGTGTACAACCAAGGAGAAAAATGGAATGATGGGTGTGATTTCAGCTGTCAGTGTATGGATGGAAAAACCGGATATTATTACTGTGACCCACTGTAAGTATAAATAAATATTACTATTTTAAATACTTTTGTCCGGTTTCCACAACACTATCAAAAATGCAAAATTAGTATCCTGCAAAAAATGTATATATTGTACATTTCATGTAATAATATTGTACTGATGAAAAGTAGATAGCAGTATCATGCTGTGGGTAACATGATGAAAAGTAGATAGCAGTATCATGCTGTGGGTAACAAAAACATTCACTGTGTACAGTATTTACAACTTCACATTTTCCACATTTTATCTTCAATAGTATTGTACAAGCTGATGAAAAAAATACATTTACAAATAACAACTTTTCCATATTTAAAAAATAAAGAACTGCTGAACTAATGCCTCCTAAATTTTGTGCTGGTAGAGTTCCATTAAGTTCCCTTAAGTGTTGAAATTTTCACCAGTATTTTTTTATGATACAATTTATAATTTTGCTTTATAAATCTTAGTTTTCAAGAATTAAATTTTTTTTTGTATTTTGAATTCACTTTATTTCATAACAGATGATTTATAATTACTTTTAGCTGCCAAGGGAAGCTTGGTTATGGACCCACTTATAGTAGACCCAAGTTTTCAGGAATTAGTGACTTAAGCATGAACCTATTTTTTTCTTTTATGTGACAATTTGCTATATTTTGATGGATAGAATTAAATTTTGAAATTGAATAATGATTTCCTGATAGTCAAAATTTTGAACAAAATTATATAACAGTAACCATAGGAAACTAAAACTAATCTGAGATTATGGTAAAATTTCATGGAAATTCAGTAAAGAATGAGGTAAAAATATTGTTTTGAAAATTGATTTGATTTTCATAAACTACTGTGGATTCAGTATTGTTCACAGGATATCAATCCTTGTGGATTTAATGGGTAAAGGTCAACCATGAATTTAAATGATAAAGTACAAATGTTTTATAGGCTAGCATGCAGACTTTGTTTTTAAAACTAAAAAATTCAAGTATCCACTAAAAGACAATTTCTCCTCAATCCATGAAAATGATCAAATTAATGGATTTTGTTAACCTACTATTCATGTGTTGTATTAAAATATATTTCAGATGTCCTGTTTACAACAACTTACCTTCCAACAAATGTTACCTTCTGAAGGTCGCAGGAAAATGTTGCAACGAGCCAAGATGTCAGTTGGAGAATGGTCAAACGGTTAATCCACTAAAAGAACAGACAAAATATACCATCATTGGGAAACTGCCCAATGGTTACACAGGCTTTGGACCAAACTATAATTTCTCTACAACATTAGTTGGTGGAGGAAGTTATCAAAATTCATCAAACACTACTCCGAGAAATGGTAGGTTTAAAGATATTTGCTTAATATTGATGGTATTGATGTTTCAACCGAAACCAAACTTGTGTTAACCAATGTTTTTGCAATTGGTCATCTTTATTTTTATTGCATCGAAATATGTTTTCAGAACTTTATGAAATTCATACTAGAATTGTCCCAGGTGAAATTTGGCTGAATCTATTTTTAAAGTCATCTAAAGCAATGTTTCACCTGAACAATATATATATTCACACCTGAGCAATATACATATTTACACCTGAGCAATATACATATTTACACCTGAACAACATACATTTCACACCTGAGCAATATACATATTTACACCTGAGCAATATACATATCCACACCTGAGCAATATACATTTTTAGCTCTCAAAATATTTTTTAACCAGCTGTGCATAAGATTCCAGTTGACCTGACTAATAACCAGAAAATGGTTCTGCATCAAGATATACACTTATTACAGACCTCCTGTTATATTCTTTTATTTGAACTGATCAATTTGCTATAATCAAATAAAAAATGGAAATAAGTCATCATTGGCACTCATACCAAATCTTCTTATTTCTACCTGAGACTACTATAACACAGAGATTGGTCACTATAGATTTATTGGATTATCTGAGTCTCCGGTAGTTAGCTACGTTATTTTAACCTAGTTTCGTATTCGACCGTAGCAGACGACATATATCACCTATCACTGAGAATACTATAACAGTATCGGATATTATTATTTTTCTTTTAAAAATAATTTAAAAACAAAATTGAATTAATCAAAAAAAAAAAAGAATATAGTTTTTATCTTTCAAATGCAGTTATCTCTATTCATATTTAAATTTTTGTTTTTAATCATTAATAATTTGTTAATAGTTTGTTATTATGCGGCCACTCTTGAAAATGTGAATGTGATTAATCTTATCAATCTTACAGTTACATTGTTTTGCTACACGTCCGTTAATTGTATCTAATATAAAATATTTTGCCTGTAAAGACAGGTAGTCTCTAAAGCATGGGAGATGAATTTTGTTTCACAGCTGGGTGCCCAAGGTACACGAGGCTCCGTTTATTGCAGTAAACTTTTGTTCTATACTTGTAAGGTATTTCACTGCTGAGTGCCCAATATACATGTTTATTGTAGTAAACCTTGTCAAATATCGTCGGTGCACTTGTGGTAGGATTCAGGAGGGTGTGGATGGGGTTTTATAGAATGGAGAAATAGGGGCACATAAGTATAGAATGGAGAAAAATGGACCGACAAATAAAGAAAAGAGAACAGAAAATAATAAGTTATTAAGATTTAAAGAATAGAGAAAAATGGCATAGAAATTATAGGAAATAAAGAACCCCCATCCAGACCCTCATTCAGATTATCCAACGTAAATTTTTTTTTTCAAACAAGTTTCAACCCCCCCCCCCCCCCCACTTTTTTAAAAATTCCGTCTGATAATTAGGTCAAGTTTTTGCAAACAATGTAATAAGCGGTGATCACAGAAAAGAGAAAAAAATTCATTAAAGGTAAATGAGTAATTTCCTTGCGTAACAGATCAGCAAAGAGGTTATAACTGCAATGGATACATAAAGCAAACATAAGCCCTACAAATTATATATATGTTCCCAAAATATCGCCGGCATTTTCATTTTTCAATTCACAATGTCCAGTAACATTGATTTTTTATCTTGGGATGATAGTGATCTCAATCTTGATCTTTTACGTGGTGAATATACTGCATCAGATTTTGAATCTGAGGATGACTATACGTCCCTGCTGCAAAGACTGCAAAAACTACAAAAACTCCAAAAGAAGCATCAACCGCAAGTGCATGTAAATCAGAACGAAGAAGCTTCAAAATTACGTGACTGAATAATCAAATTATCTCCATGTTAACATAAATAGAACCACATTAGTGTAAATTACGATGACATTTTTTCAACACCAGAAATATGTGCCCGCTTTCAAAATCCCAGACAAGAAATTTTGTGCTTCAATACAGAGCCGTAAAGTTCTTGAAAATTTGAATATTGTCTATTGTTAAAGTGTCGTATGTTTTAGTTATATCGCTATGCTTTTTGTAACCCTAATAATTGAGCAACTCAGATGAAAAGAGTTGTGATTTGCTTTAGTTTTTTTAGCCACAGCAAATATAAATGTGCTTGTTCAATGTTTGGTGACAAACCATGTTAATTGTTGTCGGCATGCTGCTTTGTAAATAGGTTCCCTATGACATTTTTTTGTTGGGTAATTGCTGACAGTTTACCATGTGAAAATTCTGAGAAGCCAAAAATAATGCGGAATGTATAAATACGTAGCAATGTCAGATCTAAACAAGAATGTTAAATATGATAGCATATATTGATGTCACCTTTCTGTAAATTCAACTTCGATTCACAACTGCTTGTCAATGGCAACCCATATTTCATGTACAGTCAGCCTGATTAAACCGAAATGAACTATTTTCAAATTATGTTTAAAGTTTGTTTTTATGTTATGTCGTTACACCAATGTCCCATGCTAGTGGTGGTGATGAGCGCCTAAAAATATTTAACATTGTCACATTCTTTATGTGCCCCTCTCAAGTCAGGAGCCTGTAATTCAGTGGTTGCTGTTGGTTCATGTCCGTCATATTTGAATTTTCGTAAATTGCTTTGTTATTGTAGACACTTCATTTTCTCTAGTGAATTGTTATATATTTTCCATGTCGGGGACTTTTGAAGCTGACTGCACGGTATAGGTTTTCTCATTGTTGAAGGTAATTACGGTGCATTCCAATAACTTACATCCACTTCATTGAACTTCATTTGGACTAAAGGAGTTGTCTGATGATCATTAGCAAAAATATATAAAAATCTCCTTAAAGTTTGCTTCAAGTGGCTATTCCTTTAATATATAAAGATGTGTGGTTACTTGTTTTTTTTCTTTCATTGAACTGTTGTCCAAACTGAGCGTGTTAGTGAATTTCTGCATTCCTGTCTTAGTTTTAATGTATATAATAATAAAAATGTATATTCAAAGACTTAAATATTTATTTCTCCATGTAAGACAAGCATGACAAATTCAATGAAATTAAAAAAAATACTAAAAAAAGTCATTTTCTCCAGTAGTACTTCTCCCTTCTTCTAATGCGTGATTTCTTTCTGGGGGTATTCCTACAATAAAGAATATATTATAAATAAAAAGAAGTAATCTTTGTCAAGTTTATAGCATAGGCAATTCATTAATTTTTAAGACAGTAATCTGAGACTTGAGACTCAGCAGTAATTGACCAATCATGTCAATATGGATCAAAATAGTTAAACTGATAAAGGATGCAGACCAAAGATGCATGTACTTTTTACATCATGTTTGGGTCAATTATTTAAAAAAAATACGTCTATTTAGGAACTCATGATGTACTGGTATTTCACATGGTGACACATTTTCATTGCATAATATTATTATACTAGCATGTATAGACTGCATATATATTATCAAGGGAACCAAATATAAATCAAAATTTCTTTCACTAACAATACAAATTCACCTATCAGACCTCATGTTGTGTGTGTGCAACTTGTCTCGTGTGTTTCTCAGTTCTGCAGCGGGAACTTACTGATACAGAAAAATTGGAATTTCATATAATTACAAATTTTACATCATTACATGGGTTAATTACTAAGGCTTGCACATACATTATCCGGAAAACAGATTGTTCATCTGAATGTAAGTTATGGGTGAGTTGCTCATTGACCCTGTCCCACGGACTGGTAATAACTCGAGGTTACTTTCCGGTTTGGTCGGTAAATTCAAGTCTATAACTGCACTTATTTTATCTAAAGTGCTTATAAACCAACATTTATGAACATGTCAAATCTTATATTCACACTTACCGGAACATAACACTCTTTATAAATCCACATTTGTTAATTATTATTTTCTCTTTCGCTGTCAAAAATGGCAGTCGAATCCTTCTTGTCAATCATTGCGAGTCACGTGCTCGAAGACTTACAATTAATTACTATTTGACTGGTCAGTACGGGAAGTGACCAATCTCTGTGTTATAGTAGTCTCAGTTTCTACTTAAGAGCACAATAATTTTTGCATGGATATTTCATTTCCAAATTAGGTAACAAACCAGACAAAACTGTAGTCTTGTATCATATATCTTATTAATTTTGATGGCTCAGTGGTTGGATAGACATGGGTGTGCCTTAGAAATAAAAGAGTATTAACTTTGCTCTGAAATGTACATGAAAGCACAAAAATACATCAAAATTGCAATCTATATAAACTATTTGGTATAAAAATGCTCTGTAACTTTGATGGAAGTTTTAACAGTGCACTGGATTTACTATATTTGCTGCTTTAGGATGATGAGAAATAATGAATAATTGCTATTATAATTCATTTTCATAGTGTGCATATACAAAGGAAAAATTTACAAACAAGGTCAGCAATGGAGTGACGGATGCGACTTTGATTGCAGTTGTGACAATGCACAAAAAGGTGCTTTCAGTTGCACTCCTAGGTAATTATTGAATTATTGGCATAAGTGTAAGATGTAAAATGTCATGGCCAAACAACATTTAAGTAATTAAAAAACTCTCAACTGATAAAAAAATCAAAAATTACAATTCTGCAGATGACTGCACATTTTAACAACTGAAAATTATCATTGGCAGTTAGAATAAAGGTTTATATCAGGTGCTCTAGAAGGATACTGTGGATTCATTTATTTTTGTGGGTACCAATTGTCGTGGATTGCGGAAAACTTGCCTTTTCGTGGATATGTGATTTCGTGGTGTTGCCATATTCTGCATACAGCCTGATAGAAAATTTGTAATTCGTTGAACATTTAAATCTTGGTTCACCTGTATCCTTGAAAACCACGAAAATTGGTATCCAACGAATAATACTGAATCCACAGTAAGCCTAATTAACTTGCTCTGTTTGAGGAACTTTCAACTCTGGATTCTTAGTGATATTGTTTGTAATATTTGCCTTTTTTGAAACAACTGAAGCTAATTATTTTTAGTGAGGACTTGAATTCGTTGCTACCCCTGGTTTGTTTTTTTTATTTTGTGACATAGGGGTGCTGTGTCAATGACATGTACCCCACATTTCCTTTTATTTATTTGATTTCTAAATAAAGGACTTTTACTTTTTTTTTCCTTCAAAATTTATTTAAGCTTAAAACTGTTTACATATTTTACCATTAATTTTTCAATGGTGTAAATTGTTTTGAAGAAATGTAGAAGAATTGTAGAAAAACTGCATTGTAGAGGCTCTCTTTTCAAAGGTAGAAACTTTTGAATATCCTTGTATGATAAAATGTACATTTTCTTTATGACGATAAAATAATCGACTGATTTTGACGAATAAAGTTTTATTTTTTCCAAAAATAACGGTAACTGTTAATTATTTGTGACCTTTCACGAATCACGATAAAATTTTAACCAATTTGACAAAAGTAGCCGAAAATGACAGTTTGACACCTGACGATAAAGGGCATTCCTACCTTCTTGTATACTGTGGATTCATTAAGGATGTTTGCTCCTCTTGTTTTTGAATTTTTGTCACATATTCGGAATCCTTTGGTTTTTCCATGTAGTGCCATTACAAATTTTGGCCGCTAACCCCAACTTTTGTTTTCATAATTTTATTACATATAATTTAAAAAGACATTTTTGAAAATCTTATACAATCCTTGTTATTTTTTCAGTTTTTGAAAGAAAAAATGTGCCAATGTTAAATATATGAAAAATATAGAGAAAATCATTTCCCGCCAATTTTTTAATGGCTTATATCTCAAAAACAAAGACACAGACCCTTCATTTTTATTTGCTTTTTTGGTTCCCTTATTTGTTATAAACTATCAATTTATAACAGTCTTTTCAAAAGCTTGTTATTTTGAAACAGAGTAGCAAACATCCTTAACACTTGTGGGATACCAAGTTTTCCGGGATATTGTGGGTATAGGTCAACCTTGAATTTAAATGTTCAATGAAGTCCAAATTTTCTATGTGTTTTTTAACCAGCCAATTGACAAAGCCAGGAAATAAAATATCCACTAAAATGTCAATTTTTTCCTAACCCCATAAAAGTGGTAACCATGAAAATAAATGAATAGACAGTAGTGGAATAATTATGAGGATGAGAAAAACAGGGAAGTAAATTCCATCAAATATGTTTTAACACATGATTTAAGTGCATTCAGGTAGATCGGGTGTCTTTTTCTGAAAATCCCTTCTATTCATGTTGCAAAAATACTTTTTTGGTTTAAAAATAGTTTACCAAGTATCATTCTTACAAAAGAAACACTAAAACTTGAAAGTTAGATTTAAGTATGAAAAAAATAAATGTTAAGAAGTGTATTTAAATTTCCAGAAAAAAAAAAACTTTTTCAAATCAAGGGCAGATAATAATATTGAATTTGATAGGACAATTTGTTTTTTTTTTTATTTTTCAAGAAAATATGGTCTGTGATCCCCTATTTTTATTTGATATTTTGGATGTATTTATGAAAAGTAATTATCTCATTTAATTTTACCCAATTCTATCTTTTAAATGACACCTTAATAAAGAAAAATTAAGTTTCCCCTGTATAACCCATATGAAATATCTGTGATTGCATTAATTTCACTGTATTTTAATGAAAAAACTAGATATGTGACCACCCAGTTTTTATATTGAAATTTGAAAGAACATTGACCCAGAAGTCTTTCACTGAAGTTTAAAGAAAAATCTATCGTCAAACATATAGACACCCTAGCTACCTTTTTAATAAAACCATTACATCATTTTTATTTTAATCTTTGCATAGGTGCCCAACCTATACATCTCTACCATCATTTTGCAAACTGGTAAAATTAGAAAACGAATGCTGTAGCCGACCTAAATGTAATCAAATGAACGGCACACCTGGACCCATAATTACAACCACCACTTTACCTACACGTCCAACATGTGCATGGTGCAAGGATACACTAGATAATTGTAAAGCTTATGGACAAGCAGCTTGTCAAGCTCCATATATTCCATGGGCCAAACGTAACTGTGCTCACCATTGTAACTTCTGTGGTAAGTCTTTAAATTATTTTTTACAAATATTAATTTTGGAAGTATGAGTTTACTAGCAGGAATTTAATAAAAAGTGGTATTTTGCATCCAGCTTTTAACGTTAGTAATATTTATAAGGCTAACATGTCTAGGAATTGTCCTTCAAATCTCTCTGTTTGGCTTAACAAACCTATTGATGAAGGCTTCAATTTTATTGTTGTTGTTCAACTGGTGCCTTTGATATTTGCGGGGATTAACATTTATATTCCTTATTTATAGTTTTAGGCGACACTAAAAATGTTTTTTTTTTTTTTTTTCTGTAAAGTTTGCTCTTGGCATTAAAGTACAAGATGGTGCATTCCACAGAACTGTTTACTGTAAATCAACTTATTTTCATGGATACTTTGTTTCGTGTTTCGCCCTTTCTAGCGCACTTTGCAGCGATTTAAATTCGTAATTTTTATAAATTGACTTGATGTAGTTAAATATGGAAAGATATAACTTTTACATATATGCAACATTTATATTCACGTTAATTTTCTACTTGCGAAAGTAAAAAATAAAATCTCTTGTGAAAATTAGTTGGTTTACAGTATTATTCTTCATATAAAAGCTTCAAGGAAGTATGTCTTTATAATGTTGGTGGCATTGCCATTACACTACATCTATTGTTAAGAAATTCGATATGAGCGTTGATGATATTTTATAACAAAGCATTTGGCTTGGTTTTTGATTAGAAATCTAAGTATATCAAAGTAAACAACAACAAAAAAAAAAAAAATTATGTAAAGGAATTAAAAATTACCAAAACTGCTAGATTAATTTTTAAATAGAAATTGAAAAAAAAAGAGGAAATATATGTGGAAATTTCAATTTTGATATATTTGTGCCAGAAAATCATGTGAAAAAATTAAATTATGCAGAATAAGCGGCCCATTTAGAAGTGTTTTGCACAACACATTAAAATGTTGAAAAACTGAAAAATAAACCACAGTGACAATATTTGTATTAGTAATGAAATATGAAAACACTAAGATTCTTGATAAACAGTAATGTAAAACGCAATTAAAGGCCTTCTTAACTTTATCTTTCTGTGATTTTTTTCCAGACTGTTCAAGCAGTCCAACATTTACAAGTCCAGTAATCACAACTGTTGCATGTGATGATCCTAAATGTGTTGACAAGTTAGATAACTGTGATGACTTTGGAGATGATGCATGTACTGGTATATTCCACAGTTGGGCACTGGATAATTGTCCCAGACACTGTGGATTATGTAAGTTATTGTTTGTTTTATTTGTTCTTTGAAGTTCACCCTTTTCTAGAATGAAAGGTCTTTTTACCTGCGTCGCCAAAGCTCGAGTAACTCCTTCCATCCTTCCCTCCGTCCAAAAGAGTTAAAGAACAAAACATTCGTCAAACTTTTCTTGGCATCTATAAAAAGGATAATTTTATGTTTGGTCTGCAGCTTCATAATGTTGAGGTGTAGCGGGTAAGCAAATTTTACATCCGCTGTGCAGCCACTTCTTGTTTGCCGATAGTTTGAAATCTTACAACACTCATTGTTCAAGGAAAACTTTCTTCAAGATTTTCTTGGCTTCTATGACTGGGAATGATTTTATATTTGGTCTGCAGCTTCAAATGTTGAGTTGTAGCAGTTGAACTTTACATTTTCCATGCAGCCACTTCCTGTTTTCTGATAGTTTTAAAATTTTACAACACTCACTGTGCAAGGAAAGTTTGTTGTCAAAGTTTTCTTGGCTATAATGAAAGGGAATGATCATTTTTACTGCAGTATACATGTCACCTCAGTCAATTGCATTCAGTGACGCAGGTCCGGACCTGGTATTGGTTTTTTTTTTACTTTGTTGGAAAGAGGAGGAGGTTAACACAAATTCTCCAGTCAGTGTTTCATTAGATATCACTTAGAAACACTACGTGATGTATTGCAGAAATTGTTCTAAAGAGACCGAAATTGCAATTTGCATTTCTAAATACATTCAATTATTTCAACCCCCATTATTTTGTATATGATTTACTTCAGAAGTTTTGTTACCCAGTGATACCAAATTGATATAAATTTTTCAAGATTTAAAAAATCTTAAAGGGGATATTGTGGTCTTTCTTTAAGGATTGTCCTGGTTAATTGTGAATGGGTAATACATTTATTGTAATTAGCTCTTATACAGGTTTGGATTCTGTTGGTTAATGTTGAAAAATTACTCCTCATCTTTTACAAAAGTTGTCTTTCTTAGAGACTAGTACTCTATGTGCAGATTTTCAACCAGTATTAGTCCTAGGGTAAAAATGTTAGTTAAGAGCTAATACAGTGAAAATAATCATTAGATTTTGGGTTTTTGTCTCCCCTTGACAGAGTCAAAATGCGAGACTTACCAGTATGTTTGCTGTTTCTGATGGAAGCGGCAACAATTTGTTAAAGTTTGTGATCAAAGGTCAGTTCAAGCGGAACCACTAATGATAAATCAAAGATAATTTGGTATATTTAGTATACAATATGAGTTTTATTCATTGTGAAAACTGAAATTACCTGTAATTGTTCACATCTTTATTCTATGGTCTTTATGGACAGTTATTTAATTGACACATATCACATCTCCTTATTTTTATATATTCTGAAACAGTGGACAACTTACAAAATTCTTATGATATTGAAAGATCCAATAACCCTTGTACTAAGATATGAAAGTAGAAAAAAAAACAGTGTTACTCTATCTTATAGAAATAAAAATAGAAATAGAAATTCTTTATTTGACCAATTATGGACCCTTGCAGCCGTTGCAGGTTTTAAATTTCATACAATGATTACAATGATTTTTTTTTTAGACAATGTGATAATAGATTAAAACATAATAGAACAATGAATAGCTAGTGCATGCACAATGAAAGAGAAAAGGTAATAGGGGAGACAATCAATTAATAGGTAAGGATTATTTCCCTTTGAACAGTATCTTATAAACTTTCAAGATTATGAATTTGACAGGTTGTGAATTACAAACAACTGTACAAAGTGGATGTAGAGACATACAGCCTCAGATTTGTGGGTCTCAGAGAGATATCATATGTGGAAACGAAGCATACAAATCATGGGCTACAGTCAATTGTGAGAAGACATGTGGACTTGGAGGAACTTGCACAGGTAACACTTTATTTACAATTTTGTTTGTCATAAATTATTAACATTAAATAAACCAAATCTCTTTATTTTTATATCAATTAAAGGGAGGGGGATTGGGGTTGTTATGAAATATAAGCAAAAAACAATTAAAGACATCTAAAGACATGTATATTTATATGTTTGATATATGTATGATATACTTGAAATAGTAACTTTGAAATGACAGCTAATTTAAAATGCATTGCAGTATTTTGTTAAAGGAGAAAAATTGGTTTATCACTTAAAAAAAGCTATAACTTGTATGTTTTTGATTCTGAAGTAACTGACCAGCACTAGATGCAGTAAGAAGTAAAGTAATTCATTTATCTTTGCAGATCAATTTACAACATCAAAACGTAAGTTTTTTTCATTTTTTATGACAATACATTTTATAACACTTTTCAGAAGTTCATAACTAGGAGAAATGAGCAACTCACTATATAGGAGGGATTCTCTGTCCCCATACTAATAACTGTGAATTTAACAAGATTTGATTAAAATTCCTAATATTGTAAAGGCAACAAAGAAAGTCACAAAAGCGAGATATAGCAACTCTTAGATTCTGTAGTTGGCTCTGGTGTTGTCAACATTACGTTTCAGTCTGTGGTTGAAAGTTTTTTAAGACATCAATAACTTTGTCAAACCTTCATGGCATTCTATGAAACTCAGACAGAAGCTTTTATTATAAATTCAATTTCTGTCAAATTTCCCACTACAGCAAAACTGATGAATAAAATTATATAGTTTCCTACCATCTAAATACTGTAGATTCAGAATATATTGTGTGCATTTATAATTGCGTTTGTTGAGAAATGGACTGTTTGAAGAGCTCGTTTGTTTTTGTGATTTCATGAAATGCTAAATACAAATAATAACGAATTTAAAATGCAGGTTTTCATTTTTTGCAAAACCTATATCATCACAATTTTAAGCGCAATAATAAAAAACATTTAAATATTTGCTGAAATTACAGTAATGAAAAATAGATTAGAATTTTGATGGTTTATACTGCATATTTTACAGCAAGATCTTGCTCATTTAATGGTATAACTTATACAAATGGAGAAACATGGAAGGATGGCTGTGACAAGAACTGTACCTGTAATAATGGTATCTACAATTGTGTTAATGTGTAAGTATTTGGGAGACTTTTATGAAAGGGGGTCAACTAAGGTTAAGGGGAGTTAACTCAGATTAAGGGAATCAACTCTGTTTAAGGGGAGTTAACTCTTGATATAATTTTAGATGTTGATCATCCTTTTGTTACCATATTCTATTAAAATGATATTGTAAAAGGCAAATCTGAACAAGAGAATGCAGAATATGTATGCTACTACAGACATATTTAGCCATCTTTATATGAACTAGGTGAAAAATATTCAATTTTCGTAAACTTCAGCTTGACCTAAAATCAGTAATGGTGTTAACTGGCTTGATATTTAATAGAAATACAAAAACTTGTTTTGTAAAATATGCCAATATTTTAATCTGATAAAGGTGTAATTTTGCTTTAACTCTTTGTATCATTATGAACTAATTTTTGTTATAGATGCCCTGTATATGAAAACATTCCATCAAACTGGCAGTTAGTGAAAAAACCAGGAGAGTGCTGTGCTATTGTTAATATAATTTTAGAAAGTAAGTTTTGAAGATAAACATACATGTGACATAAAATAGTTGATATGCCAAGTGATTTTCCATAGAAAAAATTTTCCTTACAGGTCTAGAATGTTGAAGGCAGAAAAAAGTTAGTTTAAGGGACATCAAGGCCTTAAATAATTGACCAAAGTGGCAGAGGTATTACATTTCAGTATTGAACTTTTTAATATACTACTCAAAAAAAGTTGAGCGACACAACTTCTGACTGAAAATAAAGTAAAACAAAATCTTGAAGTTTGTGTTTTCTTAATCTTCAAATGTCAAATGACAAATGTAAAACAATTCAAACAAGAAAACTGATAGCCTGATTTATGTACAAAACAATGAACGAAAAACAATAAGGATATTATTTAAATTTTGTTTATTCCATTCAAAGGTATGAGAATAAAAACTCTAGTTCTACACATAGTCAAAGAGCTCTCCATTACTGTCCATAACATTTTGGTAATCTTAAAAGGTCATAGCTAATTTTGTCAGAGACTTTTTCATTAAGATCATTTCAACGCTGAATTCTCAAAATGCCAAAAAACCTCAAGATATACCAAGAACAACTAGTGTATGTTGATAAATATTGTCTACTTAATATTATATATTTATAGATGTTTGCCATTATGGTGGAAAGGTCTACCATCAAAATGAGACCTGGTCTGATGGCTGTAAATTTAGCTGTACTTGTACCAAAGCCACAGATGGAATCTATCAATGTAAAGAAAAGTAAGTAGTTACAGCATAGATTTATCTCCCCTTTTAGTGAGGAATGTGTTTTAGGTATTCATAAGGGTCCTCTGTGGGCAATTGCTCAAAGTTGTTCTGCCGCAGGTCGGTGCTTCTCTCTGGGCCTCTAACTTCCTCCAATAAAAATTTACCGTCACAAAATAGCCAATAGTGCTGAATGTGGTGTTAAACACCAATCAATTAATCAATCAATCAGGTAAAGGTTACAATATATTGAAATGAATTGGATGTACTATATGCAATTTCAAAAAAGATAATTCTTGGTCAAAGTGCTGAAAACCAAACATTGGAAATCTAAAAGTGTCTTTTGTTGCAGAGCAATCAATTCAAAATAAAAACAAATAGGAAAGCCAGAACAAAATTTTAAAGGATCTCCTGTGCATGCATCAGGACAATACATTTAGAATTGAACATAGTTTATGTTTTCATATAACCTGAGAATTTCTCAAAGTGACAGTATCAAGGAAATATCCCAAAAAAACACAAACACTGACAGCAGGGATAGTGATCCTTGTGTATCTGTCACCTATATATCTGCAGATAAAGAACAAGTGCAGATAGAATTTATTTCTTTTGGATTAGATTTAGAAATTCATTTCTTAAAAAACAATCTATGTAAATATTTTTATATAATTTCTCCTATTTATACCCTAACCCCTATATAAGGAGGGTGGTGTATAGCATTTTTTGTTGTTGTGATTTTTTTTTTTGGTGCTTTTTCCTCAGTCTATAAGTGTGTCCATAATCACCTTGTGTCCACACCACATCTAAGGCAATGACTTCTGTGTATCTTCTATTTCACCTTTAGATCTAAATCAGTGTTTGGGTTTATTTAATAGCAAAACATTGACTTCCAGATCTATTTATTGATTGATTGTTGCTTGTTTAATTTCCAGTGGAAATTCAGATCCAAGATGTATATGTGTTTCTTATCAGAAAGCATGGACCTTGCTTGAAACAAGGGATATCATTTTGTTCAGGTCTTCTCTCAGTTTTTTTTTTTATGAAATTTCTGATTTCGACATCGCAGAAATTATTTTACAATGTCTGTATCACTGATGTGATATAATATATTGTGTTTTGACTACTTCAAAATAGCTTCATCACATAACTTCATTTTATTTCAGGTGTCCTATATGGAAGTTGCCTGATGTCTGTACATGGGATGAACCTAAACCAGGAAAATGTTGTAGACAGCCAAAATGTCCACCACCATATGTCATTAGTGGATATCCAGATGAATAAATAAAATATTTTTTTGCTTCAATAATTAATAAATAATAAAATAATTTAAAATTGAATTCTTTCTTATACATGATTTATCATTGTCTGAATTGATCTCATAGCAGAGGGGAGGCAAAATGATGAGGATATCTGCTTTTTCATTCCCAAAATCCTCTTTAACCAGAGATATTCAGTCAGGAAACCAAAGAATCAGTTGAAATGATTGAAAGCATAATAATGACCTTACTTTCTACAAATCCCTGGGCTAACTGGATCACATGGAAGTTGCAAAGGCGAAAGCTAACCACAGGTGCATATCCAAAATTCTATGTTAGTGGGGGCGCAAACCTAATGTTTTTATGCCATTTTTTTTCTTCAGATTTTAGGGGGAAAGGGTGAATCTACCCCTGAACCAACATAGCCGCCTTAATAAATAGAAAATACTGCCAAAACACTTATTCTGACCACTTTCTTTGCAAGTAAGTGCATGTGGCTTATGAGAACATAAATGGGTGCATTATTCTTTTAATTGTTGTTCTTTCAAAATTGTGTGGACTTGCTCAGTGGCATAGATGCAGGTAATCCCTAACATGCTGCCTTTTAACGAAACAGTACAGCCTTTGTGGTCTTGATCTTGCCTATAGTGTAAGAGGTCATGTGTTTGATTTGCAGCTTCTCTTCCAATCATAATGGAATTTACAAGAAAGACCTAAGACTAATTGGCTCAACAAATATTGTGTCTGGATAGGATAGCTTCCTTTCCTGTTGATTGTAACCTTGTTAGTCAGCAGATTATGAAATCTGTCTTTGGATGTCAGTTTAGTACAATGAATGGTATATTCATATCCCATTGATGTGTTTATCTTCATTACAGCTCTTTTCATAATGCTAGCAAGACAATGGTTTGTTTGGCTTGCTTGCTTTGTTTGTATCAATGTTTGCTCCAGCATTGTAATTAAGATTGACATCTGCAAACAGAATAAGTAGGCGGAGTTAAACCTGTGTAAAGGTAAATCTTATTATTTGATAATGTCCAATCAAATTTAAATATAATGTATACAAGATTAAATCCACCTTTTTATGTTGTTTTCAGATGCCAATCTTAATTACAAAACTTGAGCAAACATTGATACAAACAAAGCAAGCAAGCCAAACAAACATTTGCCTTGCTAGCATTATGAAAAGAGCTGTAATATGCATTAAATATTTGCTGATTGTCTTTTGGCAGCCATCAATCAGTCACTTCAGAGATGTTTAGTGTGGCAGAAAATGAAAGTATGAATATGGTACAAATACCTTTTATCCCTTTTTCAAAAATAGCTGTTGGAGGAAACCTCCATCATACAAAATGAATGCACAAAACAAATCAGTTGGTTGTTCACAATGAAATCTCATTCACACTCTTTTCTCAATAACTTGATCGTGAATACAAGGAGATTTTGGAAATGAATCGTGACACAAACCCAATTAAAAAATCTAGAGGTCAACAAACAGGTTTAAACAAATTCTTTACAATATGTCAAATATTTTTATCAATGAGATGGCAAACCTACATAACAAAATAGTGAAAGACATTTAGAGGTCAATTTATGGTCTTCAACAATAGGCGGATATTAATATAAATATCAAGCTCTAAATAACTTGGATTCTAGAAATATGAATATTCAACAGTGAACACAGTCTATGAAATATCTACCAACAACACAGAAAAACATAGCACAAGTCTGGATTACCATTGATAGGGTTACTGACATTCTAACGGACACATGAGCACCCTCCCAATTTAATCTAACTCAGTGGAATAACTGTACTTTCTTACTTCTTTAACTGCTTATTTGTTGTGATGAGGGCATTGTTTTATTTTTTTTAATTAAATCTAACCAATTACAGGGTATTTTTTTCAATGACATACAGCCAGAAGAATTGTTTTCTTTAAAATCTATGTTCTTATTTTTTTTTTTCATTTCCCTTTTGAAATAGGTTTTTTAAAGAAATTTAGAATCAAACAATTATCTAAAAAAGACATGCTCCCAACAAAAAAAAATGAATAGTTGGTGCTATACAGAAGGATGGACAATAACATCATGTAATCTTTACTTTAATATCAGCAGCTGAACTTGTTCTTGAAATAAGTACTTTCATAATTAATAATTGCAAAAAGTCATATCAAACCAACTGAGTTATGTACTATACGAAGGAGTCCATGGAACATCAAGGTAAGGAAAATTAACAATACGAAATTAATAGTTGTCCTGTTTGTCCAACTTTTGGTATGAAGACTATCATGGAAAAATCTGAAATTGTTAATCGATATAATTTAGCAATGCAATTGTGTCCTCGTTGATTTTAACCTGTTTCCTCTGTTTTCTGTTTTGAACATCCACCAGTATATAAAGTGTCATTCCACTGATCAAAAATCCTAAACACAGTCCTAGTTTGACATTCGTGACTAGATAGCCACTCCAAGCAAAAGCTATAATAAATCCGACTGATTCCCACAATCCCCTGTTAGAAAAGGCAGCTACTTTGTCTTTAAAAAATAGATAACCATAAAACGCTGAAATTCAAAACAATTTTATTTTTAACTTTTGTAGTTAAAACTGCATGCCTTAATTTTCACTAAATTAAATACTAGAAAGAAATATTTCTATTTCAAATGCATATTAAACAATTTTAGACATAATGAAATGTCTCACCTGCTAAAGTAATTTTAACTGAATAATATCAGAGACATATATACACATATATGTATATATGTCTCTGATAATATGTTCAAATGCATCTGATCAAATTCTATGTGGTCAAGAGAACAATATTATGATGAAAACAATCTATCCAGTATTGTTCAAAGCATTTGGGCAAACAAGCTCCAACTATGAATGTGTAATTAGTGATGGACGAAAACTATAGCCGTTTCATTATCAGTGATGCACAAACTTGAAAATTGATACTTTTACAAGGAGTAACACAGCGAATGTCACTAGTGGAGCAAGAACGGCTGACCCGCACGAAGTACCTAATTTCAGCCCAGGATTTTGATAGGGTTCGTGTTGTTCAATCTTTATGTTTATGTTTAGTGTTTGTAGATTTTTGGTTATCTGTTCACCTGGGTTTGTTTTTGGCGAAGTTTTTTCTTTGACTTATTTTTTTTTTATTTCCCCCTTGAAATCTTCTACACATTTTCTTTTATAACTTACCATTAAATTGGGACTGCATTACAGCATCTCCAATAGCCCACAATGCTGCGAATATATAAAACCATATATGATGGTCAGGATGTGGTTTCCAAAAAAGTAATGCAATCTGAGTGGCTCCATGAGTAATGAAAGCTACAACATAGATCATGCGTAAACTTTAAGCATGATTTGATCAGCTCTGCAACGTATGAATTATGTTTTGAAATTTCAGATATTTTGGCCCCAGGCATCAATGAAGAGAGATTAATTGCCGAAATATGCATCTAGTGCAGTTAAATTGGTACCGTTAAGGTTATTGATATAATATATTTACAAAAGTAAAATAACAAAAATACCGAACTCCAAGGAAACTTCAAATCGGAAAGTCCCTTATCAAATGGCAAAATCAAAAGCTCAAACACATCAAACGAATGGAAAACAACTGTCACATTCCTGACTTGGTACAGACATTTCCTTATGTATTGATTGATTGATTGTTGGTTGCTTAACGTCCAGTGGCAAATATTTCATGCATATTCAGGACGAGAACAAGTTCACAATAAATACAATAGGTAGGTTCTGTAATAATTTAAGGGATTAAGGTCGGAGAAATTTAGACTGACACGGGAAATGAGGGTATATTGGATAGGGACAGAAATTTAGCCTTGCAACAGGTCACCTACGGACCCCTCAGAGTTGTTGCAAGGGTTCTTAACGTGCATAGAGCGTGGCAACCTCTTTACACGAGGCTTCGGATTTAACGTCCCCATTCTGACCGGACGTGGCTGCAAATTTGTACATCCCGCACAGCCAAACGGACGCCCCACTTTGACGAGGGTTTTACCGCCGGTCGGAGGAAGACCAATGGTGACCATACTTCTATTCCCCAGTCACCCTTGGGGATTTCCTTATGTTAAATATGTAAATGTACAAATATCTGCAATGAACATTTTTGTAATTAAGTATTTTTTGTAGAAAAATTACACTTTTTTTCGTCGTGCTTGAAGATATTGATTTGATATTTGTTATATAGTTTACACCATGACAAATTATAGATCAAGTTAGCATTTTGTTCAGTACAATGAATTTTTAACCGGCCATGCAATACTTTCAGAATGCTTGTTAGTGTTAACTTTATTATTTATCTAATGTGTTTCTTACCTAGTACAAACAATGGAGTATGTCCTGTGACTCGTACTAAGCGTCCAAATACAAACGAACATACAGCATTTACAGTTCCAAAGCAAATCATTACATTACCTACATTCCATATACCCAATGCACAGCTAACGTATGACTAGGATATAAAAAAATACTGATATAAAAAACAAGTACGAATTTATCAACAACATTTGCGTCATTCTAATTATTGTTTCGTAGTACACTGTACAAATTGTATCAATGATTTTACAATTGAAATTTTATTTGATAATATTTTATATTTGAATATGAAAATCTTTTTTTTTCTCAATGAAATGAAGATCACTCGTGCAATACATGCGTGTATTTCCTAAAACCTGGGACATAATATATTGTTAGTATAATAGTCCCAGCTCAAACTAATGAACTTGAAATGAAACTGTTGTGAAGTTATTTATGGTACTGCAAATTCATGTTTGTCTTATTTCTCAATATTCAAATTAGTATATAAAGTGTGTATGGTTATGGTTGTCTTAAGAGACTTAACTTTAGTTTCAGTCTTAAAACTTCTCTCAGAGTTCAAAATGTGTGCTCGAAACACCAAATCCAATATTTTGATTACTAGTAGTTGATTCTGAGTCTCCGTTCGATAATCGTACTCGAGAAATTTTTATGACTGTACGATTCCTTTTAGCCATGACACATGTTACGTACGTTGCAAATGAAATGGTAGATGAACATTTTTTATACAAGAGTCTTTCTTTTACAGGAAAAAAATACTGGTCTATAGTCCTTAAGACGTTAATTAAGCTCTTATCTCTCTAATAAGATTTTTAATTTCAAAAAGTTCTGTCTTCAAAAGTTAAATGATACGTTGAATATGGTTGTTCAATTTTGAAGTAAGTAAAGCATAACTGACTTTTGAAAATTTGTTTACCGATAAGTACAGAATTAAGGTGGTACCCAACACCTTGACTAATATTAATTTGGCTCGTTTAATTTTCATAAAATTTTGACAAAATGTTTACTTTGACCCTTTGACAAAAATATAAAAATTTCAAAAAATTTGAACCAACCACTTTATCAGAAAAATTTCATTGGTTATATAGCAGTTTGACAAACACTAATTTTGATCATTGAGAAGCTTAATATATCCTTAACAATACAACGTGATTAAAACGTTTAGCTGATTTTTACAGAGTTATCTCCCTGTAGTGTTAGGTACCACCTTAAGGTACAAAAATATACTTATCTTGGTCAGTGGAAAATCGCCCTCTTTTAGCATCCCCGTGATCCAGTGCATTATATTCACATTAGTCATTGGAAGAATTTATTTTACACAAAGGTAAAATGCCAAAATATCAATATTCATGACAATCTATTTAATATACACTTACTTTTGTATAATCCCCAGTTATAAAAGCTACCTCAATGCCACTATAGATAGTCAGTATAGTTAGCATTTTCTGTGGTCTAGAATACCACCAATGTCTAAATGTAGACATCACTACTGAGAGTGATATTTTTCTTTTTGTGTAATTGTTGCGAACGTCTAGATTTATGTTATCCAAAAATGTTGCTATAACAAAAAACGCCAGGAATGCACAACCCAAATAAATACTACAGAGCATATAAACCTGCAGAAAATGAATATGAAAATTAATTCAATGAAAATTTCCTACATCTAGATCAGGTAAAGGTAAAAGAATTTGCGACAACATACAATTAGTTTCATGCACATAAAAGCATCAACGATAGGTATAGAGAAAAAGTCAGTTCAATCAAGCTTGGAGTTTCAAGTTAATTCATATATATTTGTTGTAATTATGTATGTGTTAAACATTGCCTACTTACGCTTTTTCTGTTAGCTTTCACAAATTTTCCAAAATCTTTATTATATTGATCAAGTCACGTAAGGATGCAATTTGATTTTCTATTCATGTGAAACATTATACGAGTGTAATTGTAATTTATGTGTTTTCTAATCATTTTATTAAATTGTTATTTTGTGTTATATATGTGGGGAATACGACAACAAGACAGCAACCCAACGACATATGCAGCTATGTATAGGTTCCACTGTATACACTAGCGTTTTTCACTGATTGATATCTTTTAAAAATTTCCTGTTGTAATATAAAATATTAAATCTTTGCGTGCCACGTTTCTACAGATATATCGCTCCTATAATATCCAATAAATCATATACCTTCCACTTACGAAATGGAACGTTTAGTTAACTTAATATCCTCCTGGCAATGATAAGAGGATGAACGTTTAGTTGCTAGTAACGTCTATGCCATGATCATATCGGAGAGTCGTCAATATTTGTTTTTAATTTACAAAAGTCTCTAATGAGCACAAGAGACTTGAAAAGGAGACACCTTTCATTATTATTTAATAAAGTTTTATTTGTCACTTGTTTTTTTTCCAGGAAGCAGGATGCTACATGCAACATAATTACAGGTCTTCCATCTACACTCAAGGTAAAGAAATGAACAACAAGGAATACATTCCGACCTATCTACCCTATTTCTCTTATGTAGGAAACCATAAAAACACATACAATTTTATTTGGCCTGACATACTTGCAGATATCAAATACAGTTACCTTTGTATCACTAGGTCTGGCCAAATTAGAGCTATTTGTTGGCAATTTCGGATCGAAATTAGCTCCACATAAATGCAAATTAATTTGAGTATCATTACTGGATTTTGTTTTAAAAACAGTTGATGAAATCAAATTTCCCCAAATCTGACCTAGAATTGAGAAATCAACATTATAAAATCACTTCATTATTGATACATCTCGAGAAAATAGAGCTTGAAGATTCTAGTTTTTACATATTATGTGGTAAGAACTGTAAAACAATTTACATTAATTTGGTTGATCTGTCGGCAAGAATCATCACTTTTTGTACATATTGTCGCACGAAGTTGGCAAAAGACCTGCTTTCATCAATTTATATTACAATATGAAGTAGTTGTTATCTTTTGTTTTACATATCATTATGATAAATAACGAATTCAGATTAATTATTTAAAATCTCTTAAATCAAAAACTTTAAAATCTCGTACCCCAAGGATTAACTGAAATGTAGCAATCCCGCTCCAGCAGGAACACTCTTGATAAATTGGAGCGTCCGCTTGATGTATGGGAAGTATGAATTCGCAGCCACGTTCTGTCGGAACGAGAACGTCAAATCCGGTGCCTCGTGAAGGGAGAGTACCATGCTCTCTGCATGCTAAAAAAATCCTTGCAACAACCCTCTAAGGTGGCCTATTAAAAGCCAAAATGTCTGCCTCTATATCCAGCATACCCGCAATTTCCAGTGGCAGTCCAAATTTCGCACTCGGCTTCATCCCGGTCGTCCTCCCATGCAAAAAATTGTTGGTTTGTTCTTGTCCTGAATATGCATGATATAATTGCCACTGGACATTAAGCAAGACACCATCAATCAAGCAATCCAAAATATCATGAAAATTATAAACATCAAGTTTTCGTGTGAAAAAACCCAACTTTATACTGTGCTTCGTATTACACAGTCATGTATTTGTAAATAAAATCATTTAATCAAAAATATCTTTTAAGTACTCACTAGTTTGGAAAAACATATAGAAAAAGCCAAAAAAGGTATTTGTGACTTCATCAGTTGTTCTTTGAGTCAATTCAGCATACCATACCGCTATCTGAGTTAAGTATGTACTCGTAGCCGACCACAATGTTGAAGCACCAATGCCGATTATTATTGATGCTGGTACTAATGTTCCCCATACGGCATGGAAATTAGCTCCCATGTATACTACATAACACACCATAGATAAAGCTATCGTCCACTTACAGCCGAGATTTCCAATCACAAATGAAGGAAGAAATAAACAAGAAAGAACACCGGCGCAATAAATCACTGACAATCCAACCGTTCCTAAGGCTTCCTCTTTATTTAAGGTACTTTGGAGATTAGATAATGAATTAAAAGACGTAAAAAGAAGTAAGAACCCTGTGCTTATTATCGCTAAATTTTTAGATATGGTGAAAGTTGACATATGAGACTTCGAGGAAAGCATATCTTCTTTGTTATCAGGATTGATACTTTGAGTATTCATGTCATTGTGGAAATGCTCTGAAATCCAAAATGTTAAACAAAAGTGCATTAATATAGCTACATGTATGTAAACAATAATCGAAGCAAACATACAATTCTGCATCCGTGTAATTGTAATTGTAATTCTTCATAATGACAACATTATCATAAAGATTTACTGGTGGGACCAAAAGATAAAGATACTTTAGCACTAACCTTAGATTAGTTTTTCATTATCGTTGTCTCACCTAATGTTCTAGTGTAAATGGTTGTATTTCGGAGGCATTTCTCTGTTCAGTCATACAGGTCTATTTCTTTCTGACTTCCCTTAATAATGCTTATTAATTACCCTTGAAGGGGGAAGATTAAAATAAACAACATTGGGTTCATGTATTACCTTCCTTTAAATGTCATATTTCAAACATGCAGCAAAGTAACTGATAAATATATTGTCTGAGAAGTACACAAATGGAGATTCTTGTCCCTGGATTATCGTTTTAAACTATCGCGGCTTCTATGCTTGTTTTTAAAAACAAACAAGCAGTTCTTTTTTTCAAAGGATTAAATTATATTCGGATATTTCATATTGTACATATAATCTTAAAAGTTGTTTTCACTTGTTGAGCAACATTTTTTGATTTATCAGAATACACGTAGTGCAAAATTCCAATGTCCAACACACCTGTTGTGAAATATATAAACATTTTTGTCTTAGAGGTAAGATGATGATGATGGATGGCTGTTTAACGTCCAGCGTCGAATTTAATACATATACAGGGCGAAAGCATGTTAATGCAATATGAATATTAATCCTGTTTTGTATAAGACCGACACGCTGAGCCGAATTTTTAACATGCTAGTCCCCAAGGTAACAATCTGCAGGAAAACATGTCACCCTAACCAGAAGTCATGTCACCCTACCCGGACATATTATTCTGATTCCGAGTCGACAGTCTATGTTCTTACTCCTGAATGACGCGTGCTTAGCTGAGAAGTAGCAAATACCAATTATAACGTCTTCGGTTTTACCCGACCGGGGTTTTTTACCCAAATCCTCCAACAATCGAGGCGAACACGCTACCACAAGATCACCGAGGTTTCATAGATGTAAGACAAAGAAAATTAACAAAATAACAAATAATGTAGCACAACCAACTTACTGCAAACATTCTCGTGTTCTTGCGAAATATCAATATCATCAAAGTACTGTCCACACAGTCCACATTTGTACTGTGTACTAATATCAGTATATTCTTTCTACATATCACGTTATTATACTTACATCATATTACTTTGATGTTTACTAATACCTAGAAACAAAAAGTATTTCCAATGTTAGGATTCTTTTGAAGGTAAAAAAGATGATGAGCCTTTGAAGAATAAAATAGTACAGAGAGTCTAAGACAAAGGCTGGAAGAGAAAAAAAACTGTAAGCGACGACCATTAAACTTTTGGGGTGGTATGTTTCTTTTTGTAATTTTTACCAATTTTTAGTACATTCTTTCTCCATATCACCTTATTATACATTTACCCTTTACCTACAACGTACCATTTTAATGTTTACTAATACCTAAAGCAAACAAAATAATCAAATATTTTTTTTTATTTCTAATGTTAGTATTCCTTGAAAAGTATAAAAGATAATGAGCCTTTGAAGAAAAAAAAGTACAGAGAGTCTAAGACAAATACTGGAAGAAGAAAAAACACGGAACCGAGGCGATCATTTACACAGGGAGGGTTTTTTTTCTAGTGACAAACAAAGTATAAAAAAACAAGCATCCCACAAAAGATAAATGGTCGAAGTTTAAACACATCTGTTACTGCGGAAACCCAATTTAAAAATACATGGCACTGGAAAATATACCTACAAAATTAATGATGCTATAATAGACATAAGAGGGGTAAAGAATTTAAATACGGTCACCTGCATTTCATTTATAATCATTTTATTCAAATTTCCCGCTTTAATTTATCATGGTTGATTAAACAACTTCCCGGGGCCTCGGTGGCCGAGTGGTTTAAGTAGTTACTACTGTAATCACTAGCCAGTCAACACTGAGGTTGTGAGTTCGAACCCCGCTCGTGCGGGTGCACTCGACTCCAATTTTAATTGACTAGGATTGTATATTTTCCTATCGAAGGTCGGAGGTTTTCTCCGGGCACTCCGACTTCCTCCACCAATAAAAACTGGCCGCCACGAAATACCCCAAAAGCGGTGCTTAAAAGTGGCGTTAAAACACCAAAAATCAAAAATCAAGTAAACAACTTCCCGGTCATAAACTTAGTGTTGACAATGTATTTACTTTTGTTCATTGAAAACAGTATGTTGACTTCTGGATTTTTGTTCATAATGAAGCAACATGCTTTATTTTGTTGTTTTATTTCGCGTCTCGTTGATTTGTCTTCCTTGGTCATGTATCAGTTTAAATATCAAAATACAAATTTTAGAGATAAGATGGTATTGTGTTTTTTGTGTAACTATGTGTTTCGTGGTAAACACAATGAATCTAGATATTTTTATTTAAATAGGTTCTATGGTTTGAAAAAAGTTTATATAAAGCAATCTGTTAACAGTACTCACGATAACACTAGCGGTATCGTGTCATTGGAAAGCCACAGGAATGCATTCCATAAATAGCCCAATCTCGAATGTACAGGTAAGTTGTTTGTAAACATCAACGGTTACCTGATACATACATATATGACACAATCTGGTTTTAAAGTTCCGTTTTATTGGCAAATAATACACTTGTGTTGTCTTTTAATCTACTTAAAATCTCAGTGAGCACTAAAAGGTTTTTCAACCGAAAAGCAAAAATGGAAGGTGGAAAAATGCTGCAGAACTGCTCGATTCATTATATACGAAAATTATTGATTGTTGGTTGCTTAAAACGTTCAATGGCAAATATTTCCTGCATGTTCAGGACGAGAACAAATTAACGATTTATACAATAGGTATATGTCCTGTAATAGAGGCCTTCCGGGATGAAGGTCGGAGAAATTTATTACTGACACTGGAAAATGAGGGTATATTGGATAAGGACAGAAAGTGTGCCTTGCAACAGGCTATCTACTGACCACTCATAGAGTTGTTGCAAAGGTTCTTAATGTGCAGAGAGCGTGGCACACTCTTTAAAAGAGGTATCGGATTCGACGTCCCCAAGCTCTCCATTCTGACCGGACGTGGCTGCGTACTTGTACATCCCGCATAGCCAAATGGACGCCCATATTGGCAAGGGTTGTACAGCCGGTCGGAAGAAGACCACAGTTACCATATTTCTATTGCCCAGTCATCTTTGGTGGGTTTCATGCCAAAACTCATCAAAGATACCGGGCTTACAATAGAAAGACAGTTATGATCATTAATATTATACACCTCGGTTATCAAAAACAGCCCAAGCGAGTTCCTCATTAAGACAGAGTGAATAACTTAGTCGAACTTTGTTTTCATAAAAATGACAAGCGCCGCTACAAAGATCTTGTTTTAGAAACAGACAAATTATACTTTGTAAAAAAAAACCTCTGATATAAATGAGAGGTTATAATTGTGAAATACATGATGCTTAATTATTGACAAAATATTTATTTCGTTTGGTAGACGTGGTTTTTCAACGGAGGTCGGCATTTCTGTGTGAACTAACTGTTCCTCTTCTTACCAACATCATCCTTTATTTATACGTGTCAGACTTTTCAGAGCTCATCCAGTTATAATCTATTCATGAACATTAATAAACCCTCAAAAGATAAGGTATACGTAACAAGACATAGCGGATCATAAACTTTTATATCACTGAATCTGTATAAAACATTTTTAAAGAGTGATGAACATGATTATGCCAGTAAGTTTTGTTTTGATCAGGACCCGTCTTCATTTAAATACCACAAATTAAATTTTAACCAACAAAGCAACATTCAAATGTATTGATTTAATGTGCATTTGAAAATAACAGTATTTCATGATAACAACTTTACAAATCTTGATTTTTCATGGCTAAGAATTTTGCCAGCTTTATGCCCATCACCCTACCTTCCCTATCACACACAAAAAAGAGAGAAAAAACACTGCACAAAATTGATTAAAGATTGAAAACATGATTCCAACTATATATAGTAGAAATTTGTGTAAATAGTTATACACGAATTATATAAAAGATGTCTAAGTAGTCACTTGGTTGAGCCGACCGTGCGAGGGCTGTATAGCCAGTCAAGGTCGTTAAAAACTCCCATCATCTTGGCTTGAGCGAAATTTGAAATCACAACTTAGAAAAATGGTACAGTTTACATCCGCCAACAAGGACATATTTATTCCGGCTACATTTCGAATTCACAAAACATGTTAGTAAAATAATCATAACAGTTAGATGAAGATATTTGTTATTCGAGCGTCAATGATGGATTTTTTCTTGTAGACAAAACGCGCGTCTGACTTGTACAACTTTAAGCCCGGTATCTTTGATGATATAAATAAGAAGATGTGGTATGAGTTCCAATGAGACAAATCTCCAACCAAATTTACTCCCTTAGCTTCTTTTATACTATTAATACACATCATACATTTAAAAGGGTGTATATTGTCTATATCTAAGTTCACGAACCACTGAACGAGTGGTATCCACCGATCTTTAACTTTGAACAGGGCTGGACATTTTTTACAATTTTTTTATTTCTTTGATTACTTTGACTTTCATTCAAATCAATCTAAATATTGCCATAATTGTGGTAGAGGATTTTGTCATCAGTACCAGTATGATTTATTTTCTTTTAAATTGTTTACAGTAAGTTGAACTACCGATCAGTTTCATTTTTTGGTTTGCCTGTTTTAAATTTCTTATTGTTATATTGCTGTCGTACGTTAAGAAATAATTTAATAGGTTATCGACATACATCAAATATGTCGATTTTTATCGAAGGAACTTATAGTCAAACATTTGTCTTTGTCCTTTTGTGCGTGCGATTACGCCTGTTCTTGTGTGGTGTGTTAATGATTACGATGGTTTCTTCATTTGAATAATTTGATTGATGTTTGATAAAAAAAAAGTATGACAAAAATACAGAATACCAAGGTAAATTCAAAAAGGGGGAAGTCCATAAAAACTGACAAAATCAAGCGTTTGACTTTATCAACCAACGGAACGAATGGAAAGCAGCTGTCAAATTCCCGACCTGGAACAGGCATTTTCCTAAAAAAAATGGTGGGTTAAACCTGGTTTTATAGCCAGCTAAACCTCCCACTTGTATGACAGTTTTTAAACCCCACTAAATTCCTCACACTAATATTAAGCTGTTCACCTTCACCTTCTATATAGACAATGCAGAGCACTTCTTTTTATCATTAACATTTACAAAATAATTTAAGAAACTGTTTCTCTGCGAAAAAAAATCGATGTATGCTTTCTTCAATTTAATAGTAAAATTATTATAATTTGACTAAACATTCTAAATGTTAAATGTCTGGTAACATCTGGGACAAAGAATAATATGTTTTAATGTTACATGCCATGTGACAAAATTTGCCTAGGTTACTGCTCAAAGAGAGATCGCCAAAGTTTTTGACACAACTTTTGTTGATGAAAATTGTATTATCTCTCTCTCTCTCTCTCTCTCTCTCTCTCTCTCTCTCTCTATATATATATATATATATTCACAATATATATTGTCTGTCTGTTATGTTCATTAATTGATGTACTGTATATAATCATACCCACAATTAGCCCATATAAAATTATATGGTTTACAGCACATGATCTTGAGTGTGTAGGTAAAGGCAGTGTTTTTGGTTAGCTTGTTTGCTAGGTGAACCATGAACTCATCATCAGCTAAGGTACTTTAATTTTGATTGGTTTTCTGCTTGACTGTAATTGACTCTGCCTAAGGAAGGTATTATCTTAGCTAAAACTGATATCATCGTTCAGCCAACCGACAAACAAGCTGACCAATAATACTTCATTTACCTACACACTCAAGTGCATGTGCTGTAATACAGATTGTGTGTTATATTGTTTTCGTTCCGTTGGTTGATAGAGTCTCACGCTTGAATTTGTCAGTTTTAACGGACTTCCCCGTTCTTGAATTTACCTTGGAGTTGGTATGTTTTTTATATAGTTATTATGAATATCTATTTGGCAGTTACATTATTTCGATACATCATGAAA